TTCATTTGCACTAGCGATCATAGCCCCTCCCCAATTCCATGACCAATTACTCTGGGTGGCAATCGTGACAAAGCACACTGCTGTTCCCGATGACTGTACTACTGTACTTCTGCAGGCGTGACTCCAGTGGCCAGCAGAGACGTGGTCATTGGTTGGTGCTACATAACTAAAAGCTTCTGCATCTACTTGACTTTACCATATACTATATGCTCCTCCAGATGGCCTATTTACTGAGCATTCATCCTGAAGTGCATTGTGAGGTGTTTACAAGTCTTCTTGTTAATAATTTGCTCATTCCACACTTTTCAACGTGTTTCATTCCCTAACAGCAAAAAGTATGCTTCATTTTAAAAGGGGGTTTGTTGTGCTAAGGCAGGTTTGAGGAACCTTCAGCCCTCTAGATGTCACTGAATTAAAATGCCCATCAGCACCAGCAAGCCTGGCCCTTGGCAAGGGGTGATGGGAATTATAGTTCAGCAACATCTGGAGGGCTGAAGTTTCCCCATACTTGTGCTAAAGAGTCGGAGCATTTTAATCCATTTTAATTGCAAAAACCTAATCCTTCCCGAAGAATAAAAAGTCTAAAAAGGTAAAGGAGCCCTGGACGGTAAAAGATGACTATGGGGTGCAGCGCTCATCTCGCTTTCAGGCCGAGGGAGCTGGTGTTTGTCCACAGACAGCTTTCCAGGTCATGTGGCCAGCGGGACTAAACCACTTGTGGTGCAACAGAACATCATGGCACATGGAAATGCCATTTACCTTCCCATCACAGTGGTACCTATTTATCTACTTGCACTGGCATGCTTTCAAACTGCTAGATGCGCAGAAGCTGGGACAGAGCAATGGGAGCTCACCCCGTCGTGCAGATTTGAACCACCAACCTTCCAATCAGCAAACCCAAGAGGCTCAGTGGTTTAGACTACAGCGCCACCTGTGTCCCTGCCTCTTGAAGAATATTAGCAGTCTAGAGGCACATGGTAGATTTTATTGTGTGAAAATAGATTTTACTTCTGCTGAGTGCTGGTATACTGTCCTGTATAATTTTATTTTAATTGACTATCTTCCTGCTGCAAGGGAGCGAGACTAACTCCCATCAAATCTTCAGGGATGGAGATATTTATGTCTCCAAGCAATATTCTCTTTGTACAGGACCTTGTGTCCTGAAAGGCACCACAGTAGCTACAATTGATGCCAGTATATACTATAAAATATTACGATGTTTGCATCCCATAAAATGCAGCAATACTTGTAGCATTCCACACTCTTAGCAAACATAACAAACGTCCAAATTAAATCAGAAGATTTAATCAGAAATACTGGATTTTCTTGGTGCTGGTTTGAATTGTCTTTTGGGAATTAATACTAGCAGTATAGCTCCCTTCACCTGCTCACATGGTTTTGCATATATGGGGATGTTTCATATTTATCAATCGAGAACTATGAGCCCCCCTTTTGGCCATGCCTGTCATTCCCAGAGTTTCACCTTGTTCAACGAGTTCACAAAAAGAGTCACGCTGACTTGGTGGATTTGGGAGTGCTGAGAAAGACACTGAGCGGAAGAGACTGATTGGGGTGGAGTGAGAAACAAAGCCAAGCCAGCCATGCCATTCCTCCTCCCTCCCCCGCTTACTTCTGAGCCAGTTGCCAAATATTTTTCAGAATGCACAAGTCAGAATTTGGGGCCGGGTGCCAGAATATTTGAGCATAAATCAGCACCTTCATTTTCACATAGTGTGCATGCTTGAATGCTGTAGCCCACGCATTTGCATTAAAGAGCCAAGTTTGTTGAGCTCAGTCCCAGCTCCTGACCATTTCATACACTGCTGCAGAAGATACAGCAGGGTGTGTGCCTGTGCTTCCTTCCATGGACATCCCCAATGTTTCTGTTGAGCCTAGGGAGGCAGGGTGGGTAGCAGCAAAACAATGCATCACTTTGGTGGTGGCCACGGCGGCAGCAGCAGCAGCTATGGAGATTTTCTTATCCCCAATTCCTTGTGCAATTCCTTCACCAAGCACTAGAATCTTGGGTTGGGGTCAGCCAGCACCAGCCGTAAGCTAAAATAAAGCTTTTACTATTAAATCTGCCCCAGACTCACCCACGAATCAGTATCTTTGAAATAACAAAGTTTGGCAGTAAGGACTCAGCTACATTAGTAAAAAACACACACACCAGTGTTTTAAATGCATTCTAAACATGAAACACCAGATGGTGCTCTAGAGCACAAAACTTTTCTATGCAGTTTTACATAGGGTTTTTTTCTTTTGATATACAGTGGTACCTTGGGTTACATACGCTTCAGGTTACATACGCTTCAGGTTACAGACTCCGCTAACCCAGAAATAGTACCTCGGGTTAAGAACTTTGCTTCAGGATGAGAACAGAAATCGCGTGGCGGCAGCAGGAGGCCCCATTAGCTAAAGTGGTACCTCAGGTTAAGAACAGTTTCAGGTTAAGAACGGACCTCCGGAACAAATTAAGTACGAAATCAGAGGTACCACTGTAATGATTTGATTTATGACTTATTTATAGCATTTCCCCCCATGTGTAGATCCACCCTAGGTTTACAGCAGCAAGAGTAGGGGTCATAGCTTAGAGGCACTGCACATGATTTGATGCAGAAGACCCCAGGTTTCATCCCCAGCATCCCCAGTTAGAAGAATTGGTTAGCAGGTGGGGCTTGATACCCTAGAGAATCTGCTTAAGGCATTGAAGAGCCATGGCCGAACATAAGTACATAAGAAGATCCCTGCTGGACCAGGCCAAAGGCCTATCTAATCCAGCGTCCCGTTCTCACAGTGGTCAACCAAATGCCCATGGAAGCTGCAAGCAGGAGCAAGTCGTTCTTTTTCTTCTTCTTCACATCAACTTTTTAGAGATTCAAAAACTGTGGTAATATCATGTCTTTTCAGTCTTCTTTTCTGTAATCTATACTTGCTAATTATTTTCCCTTCTGTTCTTAACCATCTTTATGGTTTTCCTCGATTTTGTATCCTTATTAAAAATGATGACCAAATAGGGAAATAGTATTACAACTGATACTTAATCAGTACAGAGCAGCAGAGGACTGTTTCCTTCGTTGCCTTGCATATGGTTCTCTTCATACCACCCCAGATGGCATTTGTCTTCTTCTTTTTTGTGACAGCCTCTCACTGCTGACTCATATTCACATTGCAATTTACTATAACTGTAGTGCTTTGCTGCTTTCTGTTAATCTTTGTTAGCTTTATTCTTCTTGTTGTAATTTACTACATCCCTAACAGTCCGTTGTTATTATCATTTTGAAACTTAATCACATCCGCTCTCAAATCTTCTGAGTTTTGTATCCTGTATATTCTCCTTGCAGCCCATTACTGGAGGCCCATTAGAGTCAATGAGATAATGATGTAGATTAGTCAGGGTTCTATGCGCTCCCAGAAAATGATAGCGGTTCCAGTAAGAGACAGCACTGTCACACAACCCCAAGCATCCATGGCAATATTGCATACTTGCCTCAATCACAGCATAATGCCTCCAGATGATAACATTATTTAAGCTATATACCAACTATATGGGGTTTGTCAACGGGTCAGTATAGATGGACTCTCCACCCCATCACTTCTGACAAAAGACTGATATTGTTTCATTGGAAAAATAAAACTATCCCCCTCCTTGATCAATAGATAGAAGACTTGACAACTCTTGCAACACAGAGAAATCAAACATCGTGCTCTGATTCTGACTCTCTCTCTCTAGCCTATTGCTTTTCCTCTGGTTCACACCACAGCCCAAAAAACTCAACTTCAAACTTTGTCTTTCTAACTATCTCTGAGTTGAGGGCGGTCTGTCTAGCACAGATCCCCCTTTCCTTTGTTCTCCGAATGGCTCATCACGCGGGCAATCATCTCAACACAGGAAGCTAACCTGGGTTATCTTAACATTTGCTGGATCCAGGGGTTCGGAAGGCTAGCCTGTCTCATATTTTAACCCTTGCTGGGTGTAGGGGTTAGAAGCGTTTCAACTCTCCCCCACGCCCGCCCAAACTCATAACTCATAACTTATAACTCATTGTGGGCAGTGACCATTATGGCTTGGAGCTGATGGGAGCTGCAGTCCAAAACATCTGGAAGGAACCATGTTGCTACCCACAAACGAGCAGAGCACCTGGCTGGTTTGCATACAAAAGGTCCCAGGTGCAATTCCTGGCATTTCGAGGTAGGAGTAGCCAATTGCTGAGCTATATGGACCAACAGTCTGAATCGAGGTAAGGCGGCTTCCTTATATTCCCACTCTCTCCCTGCCCATCACTGGGTGCAAATCGCCGTTTTTGTCCCCAAAAGGGACCTATTTAATCAGTATCGCCTAGGGAAACCTGAAAAAAGCTTCATCCTAACTCATTTGAATGAGAAATTTGGGCGTGCCGTTACTTGTCGTGCTGCCGCAATCATCTACTGCTAATGTTTAGAAACGGAGGCTCGTGGCTGGGGGCTGGATTATGGGTTCGAGGGGGGGCGGCGGCGGCGAAGGAGACTAAGCCAAGGTTCTTGTTGCATCCATCCCTCCATCATTCTAGACGTCGACCGTGCGAAGGGATAACGCGGAGCTGCCCTTGATAAACCTCATTGGCTGCTGGTTTTGTCACTCAGGTAGATCCCCCGCCAGCGCTCCTAACCACCTCTTAATTCACACGGTCCTGCTATTGGCCGTCAGAGAGCGATGCAGGATCATCGCCGTCCATATATATAGATAGAGATATATAGTGCATCCAACCTCCCCGCCCCTTCCAGGGCTTCCTTCCTCTCTCGCCGCTGCTACGGCCGCAGCCCGATCCCTGATCGCTCCATGAGCAGCAGCTGCTGAAGAGGGGCGGGCAGGCGAGCGAGCGAGCGAGAGCAGCGAGCGCAGGATCCGCTTCCCTGGCGAAACCCGGCTTTCCATTGGACGACGCGCCCGGGTAGGCGGGTGCCGAGCGCGGGGCGCCCGGTGCAGAATTGGCCAGCCATAGGGAAAAGGAGGTGGAGTCGCCTTGCCAGTCAGTCTGCCCGTCCGTCCATCCTTCCCTGGATCTGGGCTGCCGCGGGAGGAGGAGGCGGGAGGCGGCCGTGGCCACCGCTCCGCTGGCTCCTCCCTCGCCGCCGCCGCCGCCGCCGCCGCCGCCACCCGCAGCAGCTCCTCCATGGCCGCTGCGGCTCCCGGCGTGGTTGCCTCTGCCTCTGCGCTGCTGCATGTGCCGCTAGACGGGGAGGCGGCGGCCGTCGAGGCCGGGCCTGGAGGCTCAGGACCCCCGCCTCCCTGAGCAGGAGGAGAAGGAGCCGCAATGGCCCTGGCAATGCCGGCCCCGCAGGTAGGAGGGCCGGGGCGCTTCCCTGGCAGCCCCTCGGGAGACCCCCGTCTCCTGCTCGGAGGCCTGGGCATCTTCTCGCCCAAGAGCGCAAAGCACCGTCATGGGGAGGACGGGCGGGGGCTCGGCGCCCCCCCCACCTCTCCTCATTCGCGCCCCCTCCCTCTTCCGCCGCTGACCCGGTAGTTTGTTTTCTGCCTCCTTCCTCCCATGTAATGCAGGAGAAGTCTCCTCCCTCCTTATTCGAGGGCTTTTCCATGCAGCCCCAGAGGGGTCTAAGGGGGTCTCGCTCTTCTGTTCCCCCTCCCCTCCTTGCGCCCTATAGGCAGGGCCTGAGTCCATCTGCCTTAGCTGTGTTGGAGCACTTGGCCTAAATGTCTTGGGACACTTGAATTTTCTCGGGTTGCAGTGACAGCCTTCTGTCTACAGGCTCTGGGCAGGCCGTGAAATGAGAATACTGTCTCCTTGCCCCCTGTTGCCAAGGGGGAAGAAGAGGGTTTTCCCAGAGGCTGTGGTTGGGGAGAGAATATATTTACTTTCCAAACCCCGAAGGTGTGTCCTCCTGCCTACACCCTGAAGAAGTGACTTATCCTTCTCTGAGGACTGCCAACTAAGGAGTGGTTTGCTCTTCCTTTCCCTTAGGCACATCAACAATTGCCATTTATCACTCACTTAGAATGTACAAAGTGTTGTGCAACCCTTCCTATTTCCACAATGAACTCATCGCTGCTGGCCTTTTTAGACAGGCACTGAGGCTGAACTTGCTAAGTAAGGTACCTAGTATGTTTGCAGCTGATCAGTGGCTTGAACCAAGGTCTATGGACAAGATAGATCTCCTTTGTTTTGTTAATTGTCTTCTGGCCCAACCAGGTCTTGTCACCTCCCAAGAGAAATGAAAGGCTCAGGGACATGGATGCTCTGTGTGCAGCCCCCATTGCTTGCTTGCTTTTCTGCCAACCTTTGTGGTCAGTGAAGAGAGACAGTACCTTCCCTGCCCAAGAACTAAAGATGCTTCCATCTTCTGTCCTACAAAGTTCTTAGTGATAAAAAGGTGGATTGGCAGGCTTCCTTAAGGGAGGGTGTATCTTTTTAGAAACTGCAACCATCTTAAAGGTTAAAGAAAACAGCAATCTAGTCTGGCAACCCCAGTGACTCTTTTTCTCTGCTGGATAAGGACTTTGTGTTGCCCGTTTTAGAATGGCATTAGCTGCTTACGATTCCCAGTAATGTGCCACCTTTACTCTTTCCGCCATTTCCATCAAATTCTATCTCTGTATGAATGCTGATTTGTAGGTTGGTTTCTGGTGACTTTGACATTTTCAAGGTCTTAATTAAATTCACCCAGGATGTGGGCTGTCATTCCCCAGTTGTTAACAGTGGGCAGCTTTTACAGGATAGAAATCAACCAAGGGCACTTTGTCCATCTTGATACAGTTTTTCTATGATTTGCTGCCAACTGCTTTTCGTTGGAAGATTACCACATATGTTTGGCTTTGGTGTTAATGCCTGTTATTTATTTAATAGTCAGTGTAATTTCTTTGTCCAGAATGGTGAGCATTGTGAATATAAGCTTTTGTTTTTGCCCTTTGCTGTAGCTGTATTGTTTTGAGTTTGGGAAAGCAAATAACTAAGCTGAACATCAGGGCAGTAGATATTTGAAATTGTACTTTTGGTTTCCTTGCTGTCTTTGCATTAATCAGATCCTAAAGAAAGTACTGCTGTTCTACTTGCCCGCATACCATCAAGTACCAGTGGGAAGCTTTCTTAATAGTATTAGGCATTTGTTTTTAGCTGTAGTTGGAAGTCCAGTGTTACAGCTTAAACAATGGGGGAACTGTTTCCAAACAGTGTGTCTCAAATGAAGCAAGAATGAATGTATGCATGGGTGCAAACTGCTGCTGTGGCTTGCCTTGGGGGCGGGGGTGGGTTTGACTCTGTACTGAGAGGAAGAGGTCCAAATTGCCAATCATTAAGTACCTGTTAGCTATGTCTCTTCAGAAGCTCTATCAGTCAGAACCTCTTGGATACTAATATGGTGTTTAAAAAGTTGTTTTCCTTGCTGATACTGGCTCATGAATTGCTTCTTTGGTATAGAATCTCTTAGCCAAGGAAAATAGAAATGATAAGAATGTCTTGTCTGAGTTAGAGTTTTAACATGTGGGGGTAAGTACATGTTGCTTGCTAAGCTTAAGAGTGAATGGATGTTTGGAATTTCAGCCCTTGGGTGCCCTTAAGATTTAATATTTAACCTCTTCAGTCTCGATGTCAGCAATTTGGTGTTGTCACAGCTGAAACAGAAAAGAGTGATTTCTCTCTAAAATACAATGTACTTGGGATATATATAAGAGCCTTTTAGAAACTAAGAGCTGGTTCAAATATCATTTTGACATTCACAGGGTATTTGGTTCTAGAAAGAAAGTGGGTTGCTAACCTTCCCACCTTATCATTAGTTACAATGATCAGTCTACTTATTCAAAGCATATTTGTCCTGTTTGTTAGCACTTACAGGTATATTGAATTGGCATGGCGAAGAAGTAACAGATTTCCAGAAAGTTGGGGTAGGTAGCAGTTCACTGTTGTAGTAGCAGTTCCACAAAACTCTGGAAAAATAATAGTTCCCAGCCTGAAATGTTACTTTACAGGAGTTCATGCTTTTAGACACAAACCCAGTTTGCACATTTTGCTTAGTCAAACCATGGCTTGGTATGACTGAGCAAACGTGTGGATTCCTGGAGACAACATCATGGTAATGTTGTTGATCCTTCTTCTTCTTCTTGCTGTTGCACTACCTGGAGTCAAGTCATGGTTTGGTTTAATATGTCCAAACCTGGACTCATGGTTTATCTCACTTGAGACAAACCACAGGCTGTAGCCAATGTTTGTTCTATGGCTTATCACATACATCCAACCCCAGGCTCATGATTTAACACTAAGCCAAACCATGGTTGTGCTCACAGCTGTATTGCACTAGCAGAACTGCAGGACGAGCAAAGCGATCACAATTCTTCTCCTTGAGAATCCACAAATTTGTTCATTCACACGAGGCCATGGTGTTAGTGTAGTGTTATGTGCACATGAGGTCATTGGGTTGGGTCCAGACTTAGTCATCACTTAAGTCCCATAAATATCAGTGGGTCTACTTGAACCCAATGACTGTCTGGATCCAGCCCATTGTCCCTCAGTGAGGAAATCTATTGCTTTGTTGATATAGTTCATTTTCTTTCTAATCATGTTTGGGCAACAATACTTTATTTTTCTTGCCCATATGCTATGCCTTGTGTTTTGTACTTTGCATCACAACTGTTTGAAGTCTCAATGATCTAAAAACATCTACTGGTGAAGAAATTGCTTCCATCCTGGGTTATAACATATTGCCATTCAAAAAGCAGCTTGAAATGAAAAAGTAATGTACTTGAAACTTTTACAAATGATCAAGAGGGTAAGATTTGATTTTTCATTAACTTTATTTGTTTAGGAGAATATCTTATACAATAGTGGAACATTGTCAAAAACATTTTTCACTCTGTACAACTAAAGACACAACCTGGTGTCACAGTTTATATTAAAAGATTATGTGCCATGGAATAAATAATATTAAACTACTGTTTAATGTTCGCAGTGGGTCATTGTTCAGATAGGCGTTTCAAAGCTCCCATATTCTCTTTTCAAGTGGAGAGCTAGCGTTATAACATGGGCACTTCCTTGTAGGTTTCTGCCGCTGTATGATATAGTGAGCCACGCACAATATCCTTCACTACTGTCATCTGAAGACTTGGCTGTAAGAGGGTGCAATTGCATGCTGATGAAAAGCATGCCTTTGTTTCAGTCCTTTTCTCTTGCTTGCACAAACCTTCACAGGCATGTGCACAAGCATTAAACTTTTTTTTTAATGATGGTGTTCCTGTGATATTAGGAACTTATGCCTTATTCTGACTCAGACCATTGGTCCATGTAGCTCAGTATTGTTAACACTGACTGGCAGCGACTCTCAAGGGTTACTGACAGTGGACATACCCAGTCCATGCTGGGGAATGAACTTGGGACCTTCTGCAAGCAAAGCATGTGCTTTGCCCCTGAGCCACAAGCGTTTCTTCTTGGTACATTACATCAGACCAGCTTGCCATTTTTTACAATGTGGAGAATCCCCACATACTTGGCCTCTTTCTGGTTGCAGTGACTGGACCTTAAGACTAATGAGTAATTTGTATTGAGCATAGCTCACCACCGCATGGATGACTTTCAAAATGTGGCTTGTGCTATGATTTTGTGAGCTGCAGTCTCATTGTATATTGGAGAACTCAAAGAGTGGTTACCATGGCAAATAAGGCAGCTTAGGATGACTTTTACCATGTCATCATTAGATCAGAAAAGGGTTGATGTTAAAATCCATTTCTCTCTTTTCTTCCCTTCTCCCCTGCCCACTGTCAAACTTCTTGTCCAGCTCCAAATTGTGACTTCACTGTGTCTTTGGGAGGCTGCAAGCCTTTGGTAGCCTCTTCGGGTTGGCTGTATTAAGACACAATGCTCATTCCAGCATCTCCTCCATAACTTTGGGCGGTGTGGCTTCACAGAAGTGTGCATACATAAGGAGGGGATGGTGAAGAAGAAAAAGGAATGGAAGTTCAATTTAATTTTCTCCTCCATTTGATTTAATATTTGCACGCCACTTTTACAATAACCAAATTGAGCCCAAAGCAGTTCAAAACAATAATATTTAATATTTATTTTATTTATCGAATTTGTATACTGCCCTTCATCTGAAGAGCTCAGCACAGTTCACAGCATAAAAATACACAATAAAATACACAAAATACATAATACATACAAGAATAAACAAACAAAAAGTAAACAGCTAACCTCCCCTCCCACAAACCCATTTAAAAGGACATAGAATTTTAATCAGCCCAAGGCATGGTTGAAGAGGAACCTTTCTGCCTGGCACCTACAGATGTCTAATGAAGGCACCAGGTGAGCCTCCCTGGGGAAAGCTTTCCACACACGGGGGGCCACTACAGAAAAGGCCCGTTCTTGTGTTGCCACCCTCCAGACCTCTCTTGGAGAAGGCACACGAAGAAGGGACTCAGATGAGGAATGCAGAGTCCGGGTCGGTTTATAAGGGGAGAAGCAGCCCTTGAATTATTGCGGTCCTGAGCCATTTAAGGCTTAATAGTTCAAAACCAGCATTTTGAATTGCACCTGGAAACTAATGGGCAGCCAGTGCAGTCAGGCCAGGATTAGTGTTTTATGCTCAAACCCTCTTACCCCAGTGTGCAACCTAGCTGCTGAATTCTGCATCAGCTGAAGTTTCTGAACCATCTTCAGAGGAAGCCCCATGTATAACGCATTGTAGTAAACAGAAACAAATAAAAGCAATATTTCTTCACACACACACACACACAATAAAAGTACAAAAAAGAATCAAAACAATATAAAATAGCATTTTGTTTAGAATATAGGGCTCATTTGTTCTTTCAACCACCGATAAAAACTTTGCCACTGCTAACGTTCTAGCTTTTGTCTGGCCTTCCAGTAGGAACCTGACATAGTGAGCCTCTGTTTAAGGCTGTATGAACTGTGTATTGATTTGTAATGTTTTGTTGGGTCTCTGGACTGTAATAAAGATTGATGATGATATAAAATAGCAAGATCAGACCATGCAATTCAGTCACATTAGATACATATGTTTGGAATGTCCATCAACTTTGTGGCAAGAAACAGAAAAAACATTGATCAAGTATTTGTGGCAATACTTTCCTTGCATCCCCTATTTGTTCCTTCGATGAAATCTGTAGCATTGGTAATAAGTCTGCCGAATTTAACAAGCTCACAAATGCTTACAAGCCCAGCTACCCACACATACTTTTCCATATATGCCAAAAAGACAAAAGTGAAGAGCCCCACTTGTGTAAATCTTCCCTGCATGGTTGGCTGCAGGCTGCTGCTGATTATTCGCCTCAGGAAGCTAGAGTTGTGTCTAGCCATAAACCTGTTACAGTGTGAAGCAATGTCACTGGTGTGTAATGAGTACTTGGTCCGCTGGCAAAATCTGTATCCAAAGGCTTTGGGGAGAAGATCTAGAGAGATAGCCATGTTAGTTTGTGCAATAGCAGGTCACCTTAAAGACATAAGTTTTTGTTGGCCAGAGTCCACATACCTGGGGGAGGTGCAGAGTCATACAATGGGTGATGTTGAAACTATGGATTAGGTGCTCTGTGCATTGAGTTTCTTGCATAGTAGAGGAAACTAAGAACCCCTAATATATTTCTAGTGCAAGGGTGTGAAACCTGTGGCCCTGCAGATCTGTGTGGACTCCCTTCTGCTTTAGATAGCATGCCTAGCAGTTGGAGATGATGGGAGTTGTAGTCCAGCAATATCTGCAGGGCCTTAGGTTTTTTTAAGCACTTCTGTAGAGACAGATCAATATACGTTTGTTCCAAGTTTTTAAGGTAATTATGTCAAATGAATTTCAAATTGCCCACATATAACTTGCCTTTGAGGCTAATTTTGCATTAAAAGTTCAATTCTTGTGGCCCCTTCCATTAGTATATTTTGAAGCTTTCAGAAAGTGATTTGAACAATTCATTGGCTGTTGCTGTAATTATTATTATTATTATTATTATTATTTATTAATATGTATACCTCGCCCATCTGGCTGGGTTTCCCCAGCCACTCTGGGTGGTTCCCAATCAAATATTAAAAACACAATACAGCATTAAACATTAAAAACTTCCCTAAACAGGACTGCTGTTTAAATAAGAGCACAAAAGTGAATAACTCACAGGTATGTAAACCTCTGTGTTAGGTCATGGTCCTAGGCTGAACCTGTCTTAACTTTGTCTTTCGTATAGCACCTAACTTGAAATAGATGCTTGACTACTCCTGCTGTTCTAGTAAAAGCTTCCTTTTCCTGGTTGCTTGGAGGTACTTCTTACACTTGGGTAACCAGGCAAGTAGCTATTTACAAGCCTGCTGTAAGAATAGCTTCAGTTATTTTGTGATGCATCCTTTTATGATAAATCTTTCACATTGTAGCCACTACTGCGTTTTGAAACCATAAACAATAGCAAGAATAACTTGGACTTCGTTGTGTTCCATATTTTATAAATGAGGTAGCATTTAATTTCAAGTTAAAGCTTCAGAAAGTATTACTACTGAAGCTTTTAATTTTGGGCCTAATGGGAAACAACTTTGCAAATATTGCTTTGCCAGGGCAGGGGCAGGAGTTTCATTATACTCTGAAGTCTACACATTTTGGTATGTGTAGCCCTCTCTGTCATGCATAGCAAGTGCACTGCAAACCATCTATTGCTGGCAACACAAGTGCAGTGCCTAGTCCTTTGTGTGTGTACTAACAAGAATCCAGAGACACTTATTCCCATCTAAGTTAACTGGAGCTTAGCCTTGAAGTAGCACTTTACCAAAAAGCTACCACTTTTAACATGTTGCATAAATGGAAGCAAGAAAACTCAAACTAAAGATGCTGCCTTATGTCTAATACATAAATATGCATTGAGTATTTTTATCTGGAGGCTAGCTGAAGCATCTGAGCCACAAAGGGTGATGTGATGAATGACAGCTGCTGCCTTTTCAAGCCTTCTCACGAAACAATTTTCCCCTACCAGGCTCAGTGTTTACGTATGGCCACAAACCAACCCCTGATGCCTTATCTACCCAGAGGGTACTTCCATGTACAGTCATCCATTTGGAAATGTAGGAATGTCAGGCAGTTTCTTGTGAATAGTATAGCCTGCAGTGTTGGTGGCAACATCTGTGTGCACTCCTCTTTCATGTACAAATGGCTGGCCTGTAGTCTCTGATTGGAGGGAATGTATCTTAGCTAGATACTGTTATTAGGAAAAAGTTGAAGCGGCCAATAACTTAATTCAGGATCAATAGCTTGTACTTTTGCCTAAAGTTACTTTTCTCCCCTAAATGAAAAGGTATTTGTAAACAGTATCTACTATAATTGATCTTGACTGAGGGTTCAGTAATGGGGATTTTGGTTCACAACCTCAGCAGTAAGCATTTGATATGTAGCTCAAGATACGGTAGCTTCCTTGGTCCCAAAGGTTGACAAAAAAGCAAAAATGCCATAATTGGTGGGCACTCTGAACATGCCCTGAATTCCCTTCTTCTCATGGCCAAGAGTTTATTTAAATCAACTGAACCATTAGAAGGTTTGGAAAGTATTACTATGGAAGCTTTCAATTTCAGGCCTAACTTGAAGCAACTTTGCATTGATTACTTAGAGCTCTTGCAGGGAGGCCCGGGATATTGATAAGATACTCTGTTCTAGTGCTGCTTTTTGCTTCATAATCTTCTGACCTGATCAGTGGGGAATTCTTAGTTGAATGCTGCTGTTACATTTTTATATATTATTAGATATTCCTCCCCCCCCCCCCCCCGCCCATATCAGGATTTGTGTGGAGGAGGTTGTAAACAGCCTTTGCTGGCTTAGAAAACGTAATACTGAATGCTGGAATTAGCTCTCTTCTGCAGTCATACAAGCAGGATATGAAAGGAACCTAAATTACCGTATTTTTTGCACCATAACACTCACTTTTTTCCTCCTAAAAAGTAAGGGGAAATGTCTGTGCGTGTTATGGAGGGAATGCCTACGGGTGGCATGCCTACGGATTTTCCTCCTCTAAAAACTACGTGCGTGTTATGGTCGAGTGCGTGTTATAGAGCGAAAAATACGGTAATTTGAGGATGAAAGTGTCGGTGATAGGAAGCCATTAGGACTGCAGTGAGTTTTATGCATTTCTCTAGGCAATAGCTTGAACACAAAAGGGTTAAAACTGTGTAGGAGGAGGGGAGTTCACTCAAGCTGTGCCCCAGGGTCCGTTCAGGGGTGGTTCTCAGACCTTTGCATGTGGTGTGCAAAGGTCTAAAGGGGGTTTCTATATTCTTTGGGCTTGGAAGGCTCCGTGTGCAGTTGAAAACCCTGCCTTATTATCAGGGCTCTAATTGCACAGAGTTTTCTTACTGCAATCAACAGAACACACTTAGCCACTTTCAGATCTTTGCGCTAAATATGTGAAGGTCTGAAGGGAATTGAACCATGGGAGTGGAAGGAGATAATGACCAAGCAGGATTTAATTCCTCATGCATTAGAATTCAATCCTGCTTTCTGCAGGGATCAGCCATGGCTTTCCAGGCAGAGCTCTGCCTGCCCCACACCTGATGTCACTACGGTGTTCGGTGAGGGGCAAGGGTGTGTGTTTTGGTCACAGGCTAAATGGGGAGGCCAGGCAGGACCAAATCTGTGCCATGGGCTGAATGTTTCCCCACCCCTGCTTTAAATCCAAAGTGGGCTGTTGTTGTTTTGTTTATTATATTTGAATACATTTTTGATAAGTCTGTGCCTACAACTATCTTAGCAGACAAACTTGAAATTGGAAATGAGAAATTAAATAGAGAAAGGAAGGAATAAAATAAGAAAACACGCACCATTAAAAAGGGTAAGAATACACAACCCAGTAAGCTTGCCACTTGATAAATGAAAAATTGTTTTTTTAAAAATCTGATGAAGATGTCAAAAGGAGTTCATAGCTTATCTGAAAGTCCCAAATGTCTTCTGCTGATTTTGAATGCCTGCATCGCTGAATGTATTTACTTGTACTTTTACATAATATTTATTGTCTAAGGTTACAGGAACTAACTCAGTAAAACACAGTATGTGTGTTGGGAAACATGAGCCATGAAAATTTACAAATACCACTCTTGTAAATGTTAAAGCAACTCTGTAGGGTAGGCAAGTATTATCTACATACTTTTAATTCAAACTTTTCCAGCTTAGGGGTCTCCAAATGTTTTGGACGGCAACTTCCATTAACTCTTGCCATAACTGCTGTGCTAGCTGGGGCTGATGGGAATTGTAGTCCAACACATTTGGAGGACATCAGGTTGGGGAAGGCTGTGTTAACTGACAGAGTAAACCCACACCAAATTAGCAACTGTCCACTGTAAAAAAGGAAAAAAGCTTGGGGTTTATTCTAAGTTCTTCCTGCCCCGTCATAGAAGGAAGTAGCACACCATTCACTCTCCTTTCATAAGCAAAAGAAAGTGTAAAGGAAAGTAGGAGTGGGAAATTAGAATGAATTAGGAAAGATACTGGAATGAGAAATAATAAAGAAGAAAAGAAAGATATGGGAAGGTTAGGAAAATGAGAGAGAGAGATGGAAAAAGATACAGGCTGAGCAAGAAAAAAGGAGATGCATTAAAAATGGGGAGGTGTGGGGATGCTTCCCCACTCTTTTTATTTGGGATTGAGATAATCTTCCTTCCCTAACCTATAGCTGAATACTGAGACTTTCTTCCCCTCAGGAAGCGCCACAATAGCTGAGTCCCACCCCAACCTCCCAGTTATAATTATTTAGACCTTCTATTTATATTTACTGTTAATGGTATATTAGAGATCAACCAAGGCTCTTCACAAAATGGCTGCTCGAAAACTGCACAGTTGTTCATTATAATAAGGGGTTCATTTATTAATGTACAAAACAAGGTTTTGAGGACATAGGTAATCTGTGTATATTGGTCTGGAGGCCTTGAGCCTCTTGGCCTAACCAGCCTGTAAACCCTTGAGGTCTGTGGGGCTTAACTGAGGCCTTGTCTTAGGCTGGGAGTGTCTCTGAGTTGGTTGAAAGGAGAGATCTGACAGAACAGAACTTGCAGGGGATATTGGGGGGGGGGGCGGCAAGTTGTCTTAGAATTAATGGACTCTGCAGTTCCCTGAATTCCCCTCTTCTAATGGTTCAGTTGATTAATTGTGCATTTATCGCAGGTGTTTGCAAAATTATTGTCCATTTTATATGACTATACTTTTGAAATGGAGAGAAATGAGTAGGATGAAAAAGAGGTGCAGAACTTTTGGCACGTATGGGGAATGAACCTGTGGCCTTTAGTGTTATTAGCACCACTAGCCCAGAGATGGGGGACCTGTGGCATTCCAGATGTAGCTGGACTGCAACTTCCACCATCTCTCACTGCTGGGCATGTTGGCTGGGGCTGCTGGGAGTCAGAGTCTGGAGAGCCACAAGAGTCTGAGTCCTCATCCCTGTTCTAACCAGGCCTGTCTTCCCCCCACCCTCCTCCCAGCGACCCTCGTAAACACACAGCTTCTGTTGCTGGAACTGTTGACAGGTATCACAGGTTTTGACTGAGCATTTGCCATGACATATCTTGGCACCACTCACAGGTTAAAATAAGCAGCAAAACTGATTAAACCTAAAACTCTAGATGTATGGTGCGTTACTGCTAGGGCACAGTAGATAATATACTTGTCCCTTGACTTAATAATAATAAAAGATTTCCCAAAAGATGCAGTACAAATGGAGAAATCATGTCCAACAACAGCGAACATTAGGAGGGGAAGAACTGGCAACACCTACTTACTGTAAATTACTTGTCAACCTTGAGACTCCTACAAATTGGTATGGACCATCCTCAAATCTACCTTTCCTACACTAAGTTTCTTGTATATCTATTAAGCTATTCTCTAAGCTGCAGCACGTACTCCCCCATCCCTGGATATCAGGTTATAATGGAGAAATGCTGTACGTGTGTCTTACCCTTAACATAGGGCTTCAACTATGGCCCTATTCAAGCCTCAATCATATCCTCTTTAGCTGTGCCCCTTCCTACTCCTTTCTCACAAATTTCAGCGTTCTCTGACCATTTTAGGTGCTCTTTTCTGTTCTTTTTCCAGCTCTGCAGTATCTTTCTTGAGATGGAATCGCCAGAACTGTATTCTGCATTCCAAACAAGGCTGCTCCATAGATTTGTATAAAGGCGTTAGAGTACCAAGAAGAGCATTTTCAATCTTTCCTTAATAATCTCCCTAGCATGGATTTTGTTTTTCACATAGGATGCTGTATTGATTTCATTATACTCTCCACCATGATCCCAATAGTGAGTTGCACAATATATCCTAGCTGTTGCTCTGCTTCGGTACAACTACCTCATCGACGTATGTGAGAGGTTGGAGCTTATTTTGTACCACTTTGTATCTGTATCGCTCACACTCACTTACACTGAAGCTCATTTACATTTCATTTGTGATTTTTGTTGCCTGTCCACCCAGTTTAGAGAGCAGCTAAACAGAACACATCTAGAAATATATGTACAGTGGTACCTCAGTTTTTGAACACCTCCGTAGTCAAATATTTCGGAACCGAAAACCTAGAAGTAAGTGCCTCGGTTTTCGAACGCACCTTGGAAGTCGAACAGGAAACACAGCTTCCGTTTTGAGTTTTCCATATTGAGGCTTGTGTTTTGAGGCTTCCGCTTTCGGTTTTCGAATGTTTCAGAACTCGAACGGACTTCCAGAATGGATGATGTTCGAAAAGTGAGGTATCACTGTAGGTGCAAAAGAAATTACAGGGACATCTGGCAAATTTACAATAAGAGAGCACATGTTTTTGATAGTGCTTGGTCCACTGCAGCCTTGCAAACCCATTCTCCTTCACATTCATTGGGCTTTGGGGCATGAGATCTAAATAGAAAGTGAATAGATGACATGATAGGGAAATAAATTATGTGACAAAGCCTGGAAACAGGATTATTTTGATTTCTCTGGTAGATCAGACATTGGTCTGATAAAGACCCAGGCAGAACAATCACAAACTGCAATTAATGCTTGGGCCACAGATAATGTTGCCACAATGTCAGGCGAACATTTGCTGTGTCCAATACTTGCTCAGCCCACGATTGGTGGTGGGGGAGAGCAGGAGAACAGGACGAAGAGGCATCTAAAAACACTGCCAAAAAGGGCAGCTCCATTATCTTTGGCAACACAGCTGCTGCCTACAAATCTTGGGATAGGATTGAGTCAACACCACATCACTGCCCAGAAGTGGAGTGAGCCAGAATACATTGCAACACATACAGCTGTGGCATAGCAGCCCATCATTCATTTGATCCCCAGTGGCACAAGTGGCAAGACATGGCTCCTTAAGAGAGATATCTGGCTGCCCTTCAGGAAAGTGACACCAAATACCATAATCATTCCATCTTCAGGACCCAGTTGGCTTCCTCATGGCACCCTGCCAGTTTTTGTGGCGGGATTTTATGGTGTTATCTGGCATTCTGTGAGGGCAGGAGGACTTCTACCAAATTCTGAGGCCCCTCGGGTGGCCTAGCTCCACTTTAGGATTGCACCATTAATGCAGCCTGTTGAAAAAAGTGTCTTTGGCTGCAGTCCTAACCCCATTTACCTGAGAACAAGCCCCACTGAATTCAGTAAGACTTACTTCAAGTAGACATGGTTAGTCATGAGACTAATATCATGGGGGAACATAGTGAGTTGACTTCTGAGTCCTTCTGATGTCAGTGTTGCACTTTTTCGTGACATAATTAGAAATATCATTAAAAAATACCAGCCAGGATTTTCAAGCAGATTAGTAAGAATACGAAGAATTGAATGAGTAAATTTATTTGGGAATTACCTTTAAAGAATTTTAAATTCAGCAGAAAAAGCAATTTAATGAAGGCCTGTAAGCTCTGTACTGCAGCAGAGTTAACTAAAGGAAGGTAGTGTGACCTTTTTTCATTTCAAAAAATATTTGGAGGCTTTTTCTCAGCAGAGACTTAACCTTACATCTGAATTATTTGTGAGCTTAGAAGTAAAGTGTTGCCTACTATTGATAGAGATGTCTGTTGTGTTTTAGCAGCCTAAAAGAGATCACAGAATACAAAATAGCCAAATTGATAAAACATTAACCTAGTTCACAGATAACAGTACAGTGGTACATCTGGTTACATACCCTTCAAGTTACAGACTCCACTAACCCAGAAATAGTACCTCGGGTTAAGAACTTTGCTTCAGGATGAGAACAGAAATCGCGGCGCAGCGGCAGCAGGAGGCCCCATTAGCTAAAGTGGTGCTTCAGGTTAAGAACAGTTTCAGGTTAAGAACGGACCTCCGGAACGAATTAAGTATGTAACCAGAGGTACCATTGTACTCCTACATCTTTTAAAAGTTCATCTCTTGAACTACCACCTTAAGTTAAAAATTCAGTCGTCGTCATCTCGTAGACCCAGAAATTAATAATCTCTGTACTCTTCCTGAAGTGCCCGGTTTTGAATACGATGGCCTGTTAGAGCCTTAGCCACCTCCAACCAAATGCCTCTGAACAGTGTAGAACTAGACCTATAAAGGTCGTTCTTTATATTGACATCAGTCTATATAAGCAAAAAAGGACTGTTGCTCTGAAAAATGTGATTTCCCCCCTTCCTTTCAGGTGATACTTTGACCTTCCTGAAACTGTTTCTGAATACTTTTTTAATGGACATCCCCGCTACTCTCAAACTGCCTGAGATGGCAAGTCCGGCGATCAGCCCAGACTCTTCTTCCCATGAAGGACTCTCCTCCGTCAACTCCATGCCTGCATGCTCCCCCACGTCCGATTCCGAGAATCTGAGCCCAGATGAGTTGGAGCTATTGGCAAAGCTTGAAGAACAAAACAGGTAAGTTGAGTGATGTGAGCTGAACTTGGTTATAGTATGCATACACACTGGGTAGTTTAAAAAAGTTATCAATGTGAGTATTAAAGCTGAGAAACCAATCCTTCTAGTTGGGAGTGCTGTACATAAATACATATTTTTAAATGCTTTCTTGAGTATAAAGGCCATATAGTGTATAGCTCAATGCTTCTTGGACCTTGATAAATGCAGTTGTCACCTTTTTCTGTTCATTCGTTCAATCGTTGCTATTACTGAATGAATAACGTGAGCCATACTGTACGGGCAAGTTAGTCTGTACATTCTCAAGTGTTGCATATGCCATCATTCCCTGCCAGCATTTCCTTTTTTCCCTTTGACAGGTTACTTTAGCCTAGGGATCAGCCTAGTTCTGATCACATGGAACCCCCATCAGTCCCCACCTGTCCCGTTCCTGCATACATGTTTTTTAAAAGGAAATCTGCGCAAAACTTACTTTCTTTCTCCAACCTACATTTTAGTGGTCCAAGCAGCATGCCTTTTGCATTGTTCAACCATGTTTTATTGTCACACAGTGTCTCTGGAAGCAACTGACACACACACACACATCTCATCAATCCTGGGGCCATTGGTAGCCATGTTTTCAACTCGCATGGCAACAGGCATGATTATTTGCTGCTGCAATATATAAATACATCCCACTCGGACCACCTTATAGGGCTTTATTGGGTGGTCCAGATTCAGAGGCAGAACTCCTCTGACCCATGACTTTGTTTGCAAGGCGTAGATCAGATGTGCTTGCCTCATAATTCCTTCCTTGTCAGATCACTGACATTCCTTCAGCATCCCTAAATGAACCATATATACAAATGAACCATTCATTTGTAAGCACATGAACTGGATATTAAAAATAAGATGCTGCATAGATCATTAGGGCAGCATTTAAGTCTTCTTAGGCTTTCTACCTTGTTGGACTTTAGAACCTCTAAAAATCAGAGGCCAGGTGGAATAACTTGCTGGGACCCTAGAATTAGCAGACTTTCCACTGTTTCTCCATTTGAATAAGGACTGAGTGCAGTATTCCTCTTTCCAGCAAAGCACATGTTCTCCCATGTAGCAATCAGTGACCTGAGTGCATGTTGGATTTCATTGTTCAGGTGTCATTGTCTAGGTGAGGCTCCATTCCTTTTAGAGACAGAAGTTTTACCAAAGTATCCAAGCAGTGTGTGCTAGACTGAGTAGACAGGCAGTGAGAGCTCTGTTTTGGCATTGCCTTTCTGTTTTTTGATTTGCCTGGATTTGACAGCTGCTCATATCATATAAACAACTGTAGATTTGCTACTTTCAGTAGCTCTATGGTAGCTTCCTTTTACTGAATGCCCTGCTTGATTTCTAAATGGCCATGTGGTGGCATCCGAACATCAAATGATCGTGACAGCCAAAGAACCTGTAATGGAAAGTGACAAATCTTGAATTGAACAGGCAAAGATTTCTTGGTAACTTGTGTCTGGCTGTTTCTTTGAAATACTTATCTCTTTGACCTAATGTATAACAGCTCTTTTCCTAATCTAAAGGCTGTTTTGTTTACCAGACTGTTTTATCATGGCTGCTTCACTTGGGATTGAGAATTAGTAAAGTAGAAAACTGAGAACACCTTGCTGATGAGTAAGCATAAGTCCTTTATAGCTGCCTGAGGAATCAAATTCTGCTGAGCTGTGTATAATGAACAAGGTTTTCTTAATATTTATAGGAATTATATTGCCCTTCGTGTTTCTAAATCTGTTTTAAAAATGGTGATGTGATTTTGGCTAAAGGCTTCAGGAGCTTACCAAGTTGATGGGTAGAATAATCTAGTAGGGGATTTCATTGAAAATGATTTGTGAAAGTAACAGAATTCAATTTGTCTTAATTCTCTGGTCTTGCATTTGAATATAAATCATACCTTTATTTAAAATAGAAATTGGGTGAAGCCGAGATGTACCATAGACATGGAGAGGTTTTCTTATCATTCTTGACTCTTACTGCCTGAGATCTTAATCGTTAAATTGGGCTCTGTTGAGAAATATGCTTTGTTCTCCCACCACCCGCTCTTACCGGTGTGGCGTGGCGTGGGGAATGACTTCCAGGTTGATGACGCCTGTGCACATGCGCACGGGTGCTCCTCTGACCTGGATGTGCGCCGGAAATAGCGTGTGCGCACGCGTGCGGGACGGAGAAGCGACCCAGAAGAGCACGCGTGCACACACGCTGTAGCCCATCCTCCGACAGATGGAACGTGGGCCGGCCCATCGTTTGGTAAGCTTGCATCGTTTGGTAAGCTTGTTACAGACTCCATCAGCAAACAAACTTTTCTGTGATTCATGTGATATGTTTGTAGCTGTTTTACCTCTGGAGATGCTTTGTATGCTGCTAGAAGGGCTGGCATGTCAAAAAGCTTGTGTGCAAAAGCATTTAAACTTAGTTCAACTGGAAGCTCTGTGCATACCAAGTGTAATTGAGGAGTCCTACTTTCGTGGTAGCTTAGTTAGATGTTGATGCACTTGCATAGCTCTGAAGGTGTAACCTGATTGTGGGGCTGGTAGGGATGCTACTAACAGGCTGTCATTTTCCCAGGCTGCTGGAAGCAGATTCCAAATCCTTGCGCTCCATGAATGGCTCGCGAAGGAATAGTGGGTCCTCTTTGGTCTCGAGCTCTTCTGCCTCATCCAACTTGAGCCATCTTGAGGAGGATACCTGGATCTTGTGGGGGAGGATTGTAAATGAATGGGAAGAATGGCGGAAAAAGAAGGAAAAACTGCTCAAGGTGAGGGAGTCTGCTCTGGTGATGGGCAGTACCCATGACCACGCATGAATACTACTCCTCCTCTCACAAGAAGTATTGTAAAAACAAGAAGTGATATGGTTGGCTTGTGACAATTGCTTTTAATGTTCATACTGTGTTGTCTCATTTGTAAGTAATGCAGCTAATGAATACTTTTAATTATAATAACACAAGTGTGATTGCATAAACTCTGTAATCCTTTTCACAGTTGTACACACTTACATCACCATTGTGGGCTAATATGTAAGTAATGATGTGCCTGTGGTTGTTTGAGGGGAGCAGAATTTATCAGAGACAAGATATTGGAGGGAAGGAAAGTTTTATTTATACAGTGCCACTGATGTACATGGTAATTTGCAAAGAATGCATAAAAAATTATGGTGCAATCAGTTAATAGTTACAAACAGAGAACTAGATAGTGAACAGAAATTCTCTGCCAATAGAATTTTGGTTACATTTTTGAAAACTTAATTTTTTTATTCATGTACTCCCTTCTCTCCTACCAAGCTGACTTTTTCCAATATGCTGTGATCATGAGGTAATTGCTTTGCGTCCGGCATCCTCCTTAGTTTACACCAAAGGTTTAAAATATGCAGCCTCCTTATGGTATATTGAGCAGAACTACTTCACAAATGTCACTTGGGGTTTCTGATACTTTGTTTCTCTCTCCCCCCCCCCCCCCACTTTAGGAGCTCATAAGGAAAGGAATTCCCCACCACTTCCGAGCCATTGTTTGGCAACTTCTGTGCAGTGCCACTGACATGCCAGTGAAGAATCAGTATTCAGAGTTGTTAAAGATGTCTTCTCCTTGTGAAAAGCTGATCAGGAGGGATATTGCCCGGACATACCCAGAGCACGAGTTTTTTAAGGGACAGGACAGTCTGGGCCAAGAGGTTCTCTTCAATGTTATGAAGGCAAGTAGGAATCTCCCTAATGAAATTGCTTTAGAAATCAACACTCACTGCTTGATGCTCCAAAAGTCTGATCCTTTGTTATTCAGGCATTTCATGAATTGAACTTTACAAAGTGGCTTAACCTGCACATCAAAGGAAGACTTCTAGCTGCCTAGAGTTTGGGTATTAGCATTCATAATTCATAAGACAAAATGTGTGGTATCTATGCACTACTTTCATCTGCTCTGTAAAATCTTGGTACGATAATACATGCTAATTTCTCTGCCCCTTAAATTACATGGGCCTTGTCACATGGATCCCTGAATCCCTGGATACAGCTTTATATTAGGCTACTTGAATTATTCTTCTTTTTATATCTAGAAATTCTCCTGAGACAGCCTTGATAAGAACTGATGCTCCTTCAGCTCTCAGTATCATGAAATATACCAGCCATGGATAGTTTCTAAAGGAGTTGCTTGACTTCCACAGTGGGGAATGGGGTGTTTATTGCTTTGCAGACCTTTCTAATGTCATTTTTTGTAGCAAATAATTTTATGGCTTGTGGCTGACATCAATCTGCTGAACAGCCGTAGGTTCTGCCTAGCAGAAAACACACTGTGATATCCAATTGTTTGTGTCCAGACTTTGGGAAATTAAAACTTAAATACAGTTTTAAAATTTCAGCTACATAATAAAGCCATAAATAAAAGTGTGGTGGTAAAGAGAACCAACCTCTAGCAGGATATGCATTGTGGGAAGCAGGAATTAAGAAAGCCAGTTGACAAAGCCACACACACCACAGATCTTAGAACCCAGACCTTTGCAAATTACAGAAAACTTAGGAAGAGCTGTCACTGTGCCAGACATGGGAGAGAAGTCCCTTGCCCTCCACTGAGTCCTCTACACATGCAGAGAACTTGAGGATGTCTGTCTTGCTTCATGCCATACATTGGAGAAGGAAATAGGCAGTCCCTCTTTTTCTCCTGTTCCCATTTTTTGATGTGTGGTGTGAAGTGACTCATCTGTTACTTTAGAAGTGACTCATCTATTGGTACGGGAGTCACTGATGACCACACATAATTGACTGCCAGAGGCAAAATTTTGTTGACTTCTCAGGGGGAATATAAGATGTAGCTATTCCTGAGATGGAGGTGTCTCTGCATGTTGCTCTTTGAGGTAACTACACTGTGCCATTGGGATAGCTTAGCTATGCGTTCCTCCTTCCCAGTTGGCTTTGTAGTTGACACAAGGATTGCAGCTGAACTACAGTCTGGAAAGACAAATGCTTAACCTGCTGTATAAAGAGGAAGAGTTGGACAGATGCTGAAGCTAAGCCAATTGAATAAATTCCCAACTTCCCAGAAAGAAATGCGGAGGATACATCCTGAGTACCTTAGAAGGGAAATTCCCAGCCAGGAGCTTCAGCTAATCTTTAAAAAAATAAGTGTTCTGTGTGTTGTGGGGAACAAAGCACTGTTCTTAAGTACTTAAAGGTATACATCTCTTCATTTAGTTCCTTTTTTCAAAACAACAACAATTACTTGAATTTTAATTGTATTAAGGTCCTCATTTTAATCTTCATTTGTAGCATGATTGCAGAAACATTTGTAGAAATATTTTCTGTCATTCTCCTTGTGTGTATTAAGCAGTGACTTGAATGACATGGTCTGGATCCTTCCCAGTTCCCCTCCCTTTCCCACTGCTGATACTTGAAACTTCCCAGCATTAAGAAAATTCTGTGTGCGGTTGAACAAGTTGTGTCAAAACTCTGCCTTGTAGTTGTGTATTTTAGTTGTGCTTCAAATCCTTTGGGCATTTGGTGGTTGTATTTTGTGCTAATCTGGACCAGCTGTTGCTTAAGGTTTGCTTTTCTTTCAGGCTTACTCTCTAGTAGACCGTGAGGTTGGGTACTGCCAAGGCAGTGCATTCATCGTTGGACTGCTCCTGATGCAGGTTTGTGCAACATGGGAGTAGATATCTGGCCTGAACCTAAGTGTTCATCTTTATTTGGGAGCTTATGGAACAGTTCAGTACCTTGCGAAATATTAAAACAGGTTATAAATCTAGTTGCTTGCCCCTTAGCATTGGTCAGTGCCAAACACAATTTTTAACTGGGTTTGACTATATTATTAAAGTAGCTCCTTTAGTAGAAGGAAACATTATCTTATATGACCCTCCTTTATTAAAGCTTTTGATATTTCCAAATGGTTTCAGCTAGACAGCCTTTCCCTACCTTGGATCCCCACATTTTGTTGAGCTACAGCTCCTATCATCCATGGCCATTGGCCATGCTGTCTGTGGAAGATGGGGCTTGTAATCCAACAGCATCTGGGAGCCAGGGTTGGGAAAGGCTGAGCTAGAAGCAGGCCTAAAAAATCTTCAGGCACCTATATTAATGCTAGTGCCTAGGAATTTTGAAATCCATTGTAGGGTAAGTCCTACAAATGTGGTTTTTTTCTGGCCCAGGCTGGAGGAATGTAATCTAGAATAAACACAATGAATGAATATATTTTCCAGTTACATTCACTGTTGGGCCTGTGTTTGGAATAGGAGCTGGGCTTTCAAGGCATCTTTTTGATATCCCGCCGTCACTCCTTTGTACTAATGTCGTCAATACAAGAGTGGAAGCCTATTCATCAACTTTAGTAATGAAAAACCATATGGAATTTCAAGTGCTTCAAAACAAAACAAGTTGCCATTACTTTAAACAGTGATGGGTAGAGTGTTATGCATATGTCAGTATAAAATGGGGATATCTGATTTAGAAGAAGCATCACTGAAAAATCCATTTTTGAGAACACATCATTTTACTGCTGCAAATGAAAACTAATACTAGTTTAGGCACTAAAAGTATCTATTATAACACAACAAGAACACCAGTATCCTGCTGAGAAGCCCTAATGCAGTGTACCAAAGAAGAACAATTCTACAGTGTGTTCCCATATCAAGTTAATTGAAGTTATTCATACTGAATGCACTTAAGATTTGTGTTACTTGCACAAAAATTGACTCTGTGAATACAGTAGATAGAATGTTTTTCTTCAATACTTTTGTGGCAACGTGGCGGTTACCTGTTGAACATACGAAGTTGCCCTAAACAGATAATGGATCCATCTAATGCAGTTTTGTCTACGTTGATTTGCAAGAGCATTCCAAAGGCCAGCATCTTGCCCACTTCTGCTCCCTAGGCCCCATTTAACTGGAGGTGCAAGGGATTGAAACTGACATCTTGTGCAAGCAAAGTATATGTTCTGCTATTGGTATCACCTCTCCCTGTTGCATTCTTTATTTTTAAAAGGGGGTGGGGTCTGTGGTGATACCAGTCTTCTGTGATACCACTCTTTTGGTACAGAATCACTTTGAAGAAGCTTATGCAAGCATCTTGTCTCATTTCTAGATGCCTGAAGAAGAGGCGTTCTGTGTGTTTGTACGTCTGATGCAAGAGTACAGATTACGGGAGCTGTTTAAACCCACTATGGCTGAGCTAGGGCTCTGCATCTACCAGTTTGAGTACATGCTGCAGGTAAAAAAGACTGCGTTTGTCGTGCATAAAGAAGCTTCTAAGGGTACAAGTTGTTAGACTGTGCATTACTTCCCTCCTGCCTCCTAAAAATCCTGTAGCAGTCTCAAGTACATCAGCATTATTATTTTAGGGCAATAAAGTTAAGGATACTAATTACTATACGTGAGGCCCTGCCTTTGAGAATCCAGTGTCCTGACTCTGGGAATCCAACTGTGATGCTCAAGACTTGCTGTTATTCCTCTTGATTAAGAGCTGTGTTCTGTGTCTCTTCAGGAGCAGCTGCCTGAACTGAATATCCACTTCCGTTCTCAAAGCTTCCTTACCTCTATGTATGCATCATCCTGGTTTCTTACCCTCTTCCTTACCACCTTTCCTCTGCCTGTGGCCACTCGAGTGTTTGACATCTTCATGTACGAGGTAAAGCATTTGATATAAAAATGTGAAGGGGGTGGGGAAAGACACAGGGCTACAGGAAGAGCAGCAGTGAGCATGACCTGTTTAATGTGACATATCACAACAAGTCTTTATATATCAAGGAAGAATTAATGGCTGATTTTTAAAATAACATTGCTCTAGGCTGCTGTGTGCTATGAAATGTGGATTGTGTAAAGACACAGTGTAAGATTCTAAATATTTTAGAAAAAAACCTGGATCAAAGAGTGGTATTCAACTAAATCCCTGCCAGACTGCAATAGCTTAGAATCATAGAATCATAGAGTTGGAAGAGACCACAAGGGCCATCGAGTCCAACCCCCTGCCAAGCAGGAAACTGCTTGCGCAATGGGTGTGTGCGCCCTGTGCTGTCCCTAAATCTATCGGGGGGGGGGACGCTCAGAATAAACTTAGGGAGCACATGTGGGGAAGCAGTTGGGGCGGGTCCTGTTGTGAAAATGGGAGCCATTCCATCCATACAAGGATTTATTGTACTGGCCTGAATATAAGGCCCACTTTTTTTCCAAATTCCAACCATGGAAAGTTAAAGTGCGGCTTAAATTCGCGACCTTACAAAAATTGGCTTTTACGATATTGCTGCTGAAACAGACATATGGTAAAACGGAACGGGTGTGAGTGCCTGCGGAATTTTAAGGGAGCGGCTTATATTTGGGTATTGTATTTTTTTCTTTTTTCCCTTTGAATTTTAAAGGTGTGGTTTATATTCAGTTGTGGCTTATATTCGGACCAATGCAATACTTAGTGCTATGTTGAATGCAACCAGAAATAAACATGTTACTTTCAGCATTCTCATCTGCTGTCAGAAACTGACCTGTGCCCAGCAAGTCCACAAAACTACAAGGAAGTTGTTGTCGTCTTGTGAACTGCCCTGAGACCTCCGGGTATAGGATGATGTATAAGTTGAATTAATAATAATGATGATGATGATGATGATGATCATGTACACTGTGTCCATCTCTCCTACGCCACTAGCCCAGGTCTGTGTAAGGAATGATATTCTGTTTAAAAGTGACACCGCTTCCATAAAAAAGGTGTTGTAGCCAAACACCAGCTCTTCAAAATATTGCAGATTACAGAACATCCCTTTAAACAAAGTGTCTTCAAATGCTGTAAAAAGAGCCCTGCAGGATCAGACCAAAGGCCTTATCTGCTCCATCCTGTTTCCTGCAATGGCCAATCAGATACCTAATGGAAAGTTCACAACAGGGAGGAAATGGGAAACAAACCCTCCCCCTCTGCTGTTCCCTAGCAACAGGTATACAGAGGCCTACTGCCTGTGATTCTTGAGGTAGTATATAGCCAAAATTATTAGCAGCCGTTAATAGCCTTATCCTCCATAAATTTGTCTAATCCCCCTTTAAAGACATCAAAGTATTATCTCAGCTCCATTTGTCACAGAATTCTGTAATTGTGTTCATTTATACTTGTGCAAATGTGCTAGCATCCATATGCCCGCTGCTGCTTAAGCAAGTTGTTAAGTCGTGTTCAATTCAGAGCTCTCTCGGCCTAACTTGGCAATGGATGAGCCAACACATTCCCTGGATGATGTGCTCAAGCGGATTGATGATTTTATTGGGGGTTTCAAACTAGATATATTTCTTTTCTGTTGGAGATCTTCTAATCTCATTTGCATTTCCACTTCATAGGAAATGTGGCTTATTCCTCAATTGCTCCATAGGCTTACTCCAAACCATGGGAAACTCCATTTTGGGGTGGAGCCCATCTAACTTCTGCTGACTTCTTACAGGGACTGGAAATAGTCTTCCGTGTGGGGATGGCTCTTCTGCAATTCAACCAGGCTGAACTGATGCAACTGGACATGGAGGGGATGTCACAGGTCAGCTCTACGGTGAACTGTAGGACTAGAGGTAGACTTGCTAGTTTCTGTCTCTCATTCGGATACCCGTATGGGGGAGAAAGACATGATGGGGAAATGGAAGTAGGGGGCTGGTTGAGAACTGACACATCTTTGGAACATCCTAAACCCTAGCCATTTCAGCCTGACTATGCCTGAGGGCAACAGCTCACGGCCCAAATTCTGGCAGCTTCCTATTCTTCTGCAGTTTGATTTATGTAATGAGCCAGTCAACTTGTTTCCACTATCAGCTGTTGGGATCTAGAAGCTGCTTGCAGGGGCATACAGTCTGCTCAAGGCCTGACCAGAGTCTCAATGCCCACTTGCATTCCAGGGGGCAGCTTTGAATGCTTCTCAGTTTTGTGGTACTATATAAGCATTCCAAATGGGATGCTGTCTGAGTAACATGTCTGTAATAATAGAATCATAGAGTGGTAGGGTTTGAAGGGATCGAGAGGGTCCTCTAGTCCAACCCCCTGCAGGAATCTCAACTAAGAGAGAGCCAGTGTGGTGTAGTGCTTAAGAGCGGTAGATTTGTAATCTGGGGAACCATGTTCACGTCTCCGCTCCTCCACATGCAGCTGCTGGGTGACCTTGGGCTAGTCACACTTCTCTGAAGTCTCTCAGCCTTACTCACCTCAGAATGTTTGTTGTGAGGGATGAAGGGAAAGGAGACTGTTAGCCACTTTGAGACTCCTTCGGGTAGTGATAAAGCGGGTTATCAAATTCAAACTCTTCTTCTTCTTCTAAAGCACCCATGACAGATAGCCATCCAACCTCTGCTTAAAAACCTCCAATGAAGGAGATTCCACCACCTTCTGAGGGAGTCCATTTCACTGTTGAACTGCTCCTGCCATCAGAAAGTTATTCCTGATGTTTAGTTGGAATGTCCTTTCATGTAATATTATAGCCCTTTTTAAGATACCGGTGTATGTTGGTGTTTGGAATCTACAAAGTGAGGAAGAGAAGTATCACAAGAAAATACCTTGGGCTGCAATCCTAAGCCCACTTAACTGGCAGCAAATGTCCTTGAACTCAGTAGGAAATAATTCTGAGGAGACATGGTTGGGATTTCGCTGTTGCTAAGTGCAGCTCAGTTGGGACCTTTTGTTGCTTTTTTGCAGTTGCTAATACCATTAGTGTTGAAATATTGAGGTGAGAGGGAGAGTATACGTTCTTACTCTGGCCATTCAAATATCTATTTTGATCCTACTTTTCCTACAGTAATTCGAAAAGGAAGGTAAGGAAACCAAACTTTAGAAGTTGCTTTGAGTATTCCTGGTTTTGAGTCTTAAGAGGGCAGAGACTTGAACTGCTGCAGGTGGAGAAAGACAGTGTCCCCAGTGCCCCACCTTGATAACTATTGGAAGTCATATGCAAGATTAGCTAGCACTAGGAAGGGTGGGCTTGCATTTGGGGTAAGTACTATCCACCCAACTGGGTGGCAAATTGCAAGGTTGAACTTACAAAGTTTAAGCCTTTAGGGCTAAAGACATAATGCCAGAAAAAAATTGCTGAAGGTACAGAAACAAAAATGGCAGTAAAAATCAATCTAAATTGTGTTGACTCACAACTTTGAAGTGTAAAATCTTCTGAAAGCTGATCCTGGTTCTTCACCCTTGCAGAAGGAGCTTGGGAGCAATTTCAGCTGACGGGTTGCATAAAAACGTTTTAAGTATATAGCCAGGACCTATCCCATTTGTAATATTTTCACTGTGAGATTTGTGTTAAACACATTCTTCTCCTCAAATGAATCTAGTCTGTCTATACCAGATTTAATCTCCACTGCAGGTCAACCCAGTTTTCCCATAACATGGAATACATCTTATTCAAGGCCTTTATACTATGCTCTTTAGCTGGAAAATCACCCAGAGTGGCTTACAAATCAGTAAAAACAGCATAGTCCCTGCCTTCAGGCTTACAGTCTAAAAAGGCACTCACAAGTGGGGGGGGGGGAGGGATAGGGAGTGAAAGCAGAAATATTGGTCACCAAATGATTAATGTTACAAGTTTCTCATAGTGATCAGCTTGGATGGGAACAGGCTGCTCACAGTTTAAAAAGCAGGCCTTGGCAGATCCTTAAAAATAGCCCAGCGACCCAGCCTTCCTAGAAGTTGGCCATAGAGAATGGGGCCTAGCTGGAATCTGCCAGCTTCTTGTCATTCCTGTCACATCAAGTGGTCTAATCGGGGACAGTTGATAATACAGCACACATGCACACCAGAGAAGGTAGTCCTGACACTTCTCACAAGAAAGTTGGCACTGGGGGCCTCTGTGAGAGCAGAGAAGGGCCCCACCCTGGTGATAGCAGCAGTGATTGAAGGTGGCAGTTCCTTGCTATCTGTTCATTGCTGCTTCAACACTGTTTTAGGAGGCCATGTCAAACACTTACAAGCTATCTTATAGCAAAGGATTGAGCCTATAGGCAGCCTGTTTTGAGGCCTGCCCTGTGTGTTTGGTGTGTTGCACATGTGCCTTGAGGTGGGGAAGAGTTAACGTTTTTAAAGTGCTTTTAATGCACTAAAACGAACGTGGTCAGGAGTGCTCCCCCCCCCACTTCCATTCCAGACCGTAATGCTAGATTGTGTGATTCTCAAGAGGTAAAATTCAAGTGAGCAGCACTTAGAAGTGTTATATCACAAGAAGCATTCCAAAGACTGGCCACTCCCTCTGTCTTAGCTTTCTGGGAAGGAGTAGATACAATTAAGCTGGACGTTAGAAGCAGGTTTGCTGACCAGGGAATGCATCCTAGGCGCATTCTGACTTCAGTGTTGCCTTTTTCACAGTATTTCCAGAAGGTGATTCCTCATCAGTTTGAAAACTGTCCTGATAAGCTGATCTTTAAGGCTTACCAGGTCAAATACAACCCTAAGAAAATGAAGCGGTAAGTATTACTTTATCATATATCTCATAAGTGTCTTTTGTCGCTTTCTTTGGAAAGCTGTGTAGGTTGATGTGGGAAGTCCCCTGAACAGCTACAGTGGTACCTTGGGTTACATACGCTTCAGGTTACATATGCTTCAGGTTACAGACTCTGCTAACCCAGAAATATTACCTCAGGTTAAGAATTTTGCTTCAGGATGAGAACAGAAATTGTGCTCCGGTGGCACGGCAGCAGCGGGAGGCCCCATTAGCTAAAGTGGTGCTTCTGGTTAAGAACAGTTTCAGGTTAAGAACGGACCTCCGGAATGAATTAAGTACTTAACCCAAGGTACCACTGTATATCGAAGGAATTTCTCTTGGAGGAATTTTTATTGCCAGAAACAGGGTTTTCTGTTATGATTGATGGCACGTAAAAGGGGCCTTTTCACCAGATAGTGTTTGTGAGAAGTGGTCATGGACTGTTGCTGAAACTTGGACACAGTAGCACCTAATTTTGTTGACTGTAGACACGAAACACCTTTTCTTATGGGTGTTTGTCTCCCTCAGCTCACAAGACCTGAGGTGATACCCTGCTGTGCCCACACATTAGCAGAACAGACTTCAACCTGCCCAATGGGACTTCCCTTTCCTCTTCTCCCCTCTACAGCCCTCTGCACACCCACCAAATATGCTTTGGAGGGCTGGAAGACCCCCTGGAGCAGGATTTGGGACATTCAGGAGGCTGCAGGGTGGAGGAGCAGAAGGAGGAATCCACTCGCACAGCATCATGTTGGATGTTGCCCCTTCTGTCCAGAATTAACTCAATCTTATGTGTGTTTATTGCCTTCCTTGTGTGCTTCATGGATTTTAACAATCCCTTTACAATCACACATTAACATAATTAAAGTGCAAATTAAGCAAATTGACCCAGTCAAAAATAAACTCCCATTCCTACCCTATGTATTGGCTGTATAATCGGCAGAGTCGTTAAACATTAATGGGAAGGGAGAGAGAACTTGGAACCATTGTTTGTAACAAAAGTTCAAACAGGGAGACTAAATCTGATTGGAAACTCTTCCTGTACCATGCTTCTAAAATATGGTGCTCTCACTAATTGCTAAGATACCAAGTTCTAACCGGCAGTAAGTGTATGTGGAATTTGCAGTGAAAATACTAATGGTTATCCACCAAGAAACCTCTCTGTGGCTTGTCCTTTTCGATGGGTTTGATCATCCTACTTTAAGCTTACAAAGAACACCCGCAAAAAACACATGATTTAAAGGACATCCATGGTAAACAAGGGATGCGGGTGGTGCTGTGGTCTAAACCACTGAGCCTCTTGGGCTTGCCGATCAGAAGGACAGCGGTTCGAATCCCCGTGACAAGGTGAGCTCCTGTTGCTCGGTCCCAGCTCCTGCCAACCTAGCAGTTCGAAAGCATGCCAAAAAGTGCAAGTAGATAAATAGGTACTGCTCCGGTAGGAAGGTAAACGGCGTTTCCGTGCGCTGCTCTGGTTTCAGTGTTCCGTTGCGCCAGAAGCGGCTTAGTCATGCTGGCCACATGACCCAGAAAAACTGTCTGTGGCAAAACGCCGGCTCCCTCAGCCTGTAAAGTGGGATGAGCTCCAGAACCCCAGAGTTGTCTTAACTGGACTTAACTGTCAGGGGTCCTTTACATTTACCTTTTACCATGGTAAATATTACATTGGGGAAACTCCACTCCTAGTCAAAACGAAGCAAGCAGAAAACAACCCTGAAGGGTAAGGTTAGTGTTTGAATTAGTACAACATCAAAAAGCACCCAATACTAAAACTTAACTTTCTCTGTGTTTTTTCGTTTGCTCAATTTCAGATAAATTTCAGGGGTTAGAAAGAGCATGGTGTGGCTTTTTGTGGAACTAGCTAATTGTGTACCTTACATCCTAAATATAAAATCTGTTTAAAGATAGGAGATCCTGGCTGCAATTTAACATATTTGTAAACTGGGGTCCCATCTATTTTATTTATTTTTATCTAACAAAAATTCTATATTGTTTGATTGTAATAAAAACCCTGAGCTTTTTACAAGAGATATTAAAATGACTAAGAGTTCAAAACAATGAAACATTTTAAATATTGTTAAAATGAATAACAAGAAGATTAAAACATATCATGTATATCTAGATAGGCTTGCGCCGAAACAAAAATGCTTTAGCAAGAGCAAAAAAAAAAGAGAGAGAGAGAGAGAGAGAGAGAGTCCAGTGAAGGTACCTGCGTAATTATCAGTAGGCAGGTGGGAACAAAGCGTTGGTGCTGTTACACTAAAAGATCTCACAAACATTATGTGACACCTGTAACAGTGCCAGTTCCACAGGTTAAAGCACTTGAGTGGGCACATAAGGGATAAGGCAATTCAGCCTCAGTACAGAGTAGCATGAGAGTGAGTGTAAAATAACGTGTTGTAGGAGACTAGAAACACAGCCAGCTTTAGGGTCAATATGTTAACTGCTAGCGGATGCAGCTGAATCATATATTACCATTCCTTATTGACTTAATTGGAAGTTTAAAAGTCTCCTGATCGTGCGACAAATACTGCAAGCAGCCTTGTGTCACTTAGTAATCATGAAGTGTGACCCGGGAGACTTTGGAGTTGTGTTTGTCCAGCATGGATGGTTAGCTATTCCAGTCCTTGGCTTCTCTAGCAGCCAGATTGGGTGCAACTGTAGCAAATCTGATTTTTGCATAGAAAACAGGGGTTGGGATCTGGTTTAAGGAGCAGAAAAGGGCATCCTGGTGAAGGCAGCTTAACCTCACAGGCTGCTCACCTTCCTACAGTCCATTGCCCAGACTTTTGTACCAGAAATGAGCCTAGCTTGGAGAAAATAGACAAGGCAGGCAGTGCCAGTTAATTAACTGGCAGGCATGGGAAAGATTAAACTCCTGTTACCCATAAGCCTATTACCCATGTTCCTTAAATTCTAACCCAAATAGACTTCTTTCAATGTGATGGGGGCAGATCAGGCATTAAATGCACAGATGTGCTGCTATCATATCAGGCTTGCCTCTCAGAGCATCTCCAGAGCGCTGGCGTTCTGTAGGGAGAATCAGGGTGAACTGTATTTTGCCTGTGTTGCAGACTAGAGAAGGAATACACTGCAATCAAAAACAGAGAGATGGAAGAGCAGATTGAAATCAAGGTAAGCTGCCTCCTTACCTCCCTCCCCTGTACATTCCTGCACTTGTCTTGCACATATGGCAACATATAGAACAAAAACATGGGTGTTCACCATGCTTCCTTTCCCAAAAAAGCAAGTCAACTTACTCTTTGTTCTTCCAGTGCAAGGCCTCAAGACACTGTTATCCTAAGGGTGCGCAATGTTGTCTAATGGTCAGATCACATAGATGGTTTTGCTGTTTCATAGCAGTGCCTTGTACCCTTGGTATATTGGTCCTTCTGTCTGCTGCAGGGCTTGCATTCTTTCTACTGTGTCCTCTGCTGTTATAGAAACTCTTGCACTTCAGGCAAAAGTTCAAGTGCTCACGTACCTTGGCTCCTTTTGTGTCATTCAGTGTACCTTAGTTCTTTTAAAAGCATTCCTTTTATACTGAACTTTAAGATCTGTCTCTCTCTCACTCTCTCTGGTGTAATGCTTGCTTCCTGGTTATTCAATCAGCTGGTTGTGCAGATGGCTCTAGCTCGGTGTTCAGGATTTCAGCATAATTTCTGCATGCTGGCCATCGCTTAACAAAAGCTGATTCTTACAGATTAGAATGCATGTTGACTTTGATCTCGCTTGCAGAGGCTCCGTTCTGAGAACCGTCTTCTGAAACAGCGAATTGAGACCCTGGAGAAGGTGAGGAGAGTACCCAGCCGCATGAAAATTCACTTCCTCCGCTTCCAGACTAGTTTGGCCACCAAAAACGAGGCCTTACACAACCGACTGTCCCGGTTGACTGTGGACACTACTCAGGGCGCTAGCCATTAGTCTCTGCTGCATACCTTCACAGAGACTGCTGGGGGTGTTTTTATTTCAGGAGGGTAGGGAGTAATATATGTCCGAAGCAGTGTTACTCAGCTCTCTCACAACCTTTGCTGGTAATGAAGAAGCGGCAAAACCTTGGTGATCTGCTGCCTGCACTCTTTAAGATGGAAAAAGTAAACTGCAGGAGCTGCAGACACATGACTATATCGTCAGCCCAAAAAACTTCAGCTTGGATGATAACTTAAAACAGAAGCAACTTATATTATATTCTAGACAGTCCAAGTCTGCTATTGGGACTTCACTGTGTGGCAATTGAACCTTTCATTGTTTTTCAGCTATGCTGTGCCATATACCTCAGATGACCTTATTTTGTGCTAAATATTAAAGTTTTACATGAAAAATATAGAAGTTATTTGGCCCCGTTTTGATGTACTGTTAACAGAGATCTTGGAGACTTGCCCAGAGCCAGCAACTCCAGGGAGTCTGGCTGATTGGAGACTGGGCAACACACAAGTTTGACTCCTAAAATAAGATCTCTTCCATCGACCTAATGGGCAATAAAATTACAGGCCGCTGCATTTGCAGAATTGAAGCGAAGTTAACGCAAGACAAGATTTTCTTGAGGGAATCCATATCTGTTTGCCTTCCCCTGTGGACAGGCACAAAGCACATGCATAAAATGTGCCTTGCTTTCTCCATAAAGGGAAGTGTCACGCTGCAGACTGGACACTGTTCTGGAATGGAAGTTCTCTACTTGGGCTCTGTTGGGTTCTTTATCTTTTTTCTTCTTTGCTTCTAGCTATAGAGTGCGTGTGTGACCTTGCTTTTGTATCTTTTTCTTTCCTTCATCTTTCCTTCCTTGTCTGGATCTCCCTCTTCTGAGTCTGTAGGAGAGTGCTGCTTTGGCAGATAGATTGATCCAGGTATGGTACAACCTTTTTTTATTTCTAATTCTCCTCTTGGTGTAACATTTCATTCTAGGACAGAAAAACCACTTGCAGCCTTATCTTTGTGTTTGGGTTTACTTGGCACTTCCACCCAGAAGAGTTCAGACTAACAATTCTGTATTGGTTCTTGAATCACCCGTAACATTCTTTAAAGGGGGACTCTTAAGTTGCATCCATTAGATCATGTGATATTAATGATGCTACAATCCTCCCTGTTTTATGCAGCTAAGGATGTGAGCTCTGAAGCCGTAGCTTTCTACATCACTCTTTGCTGATTGGCTTTTAGCTAGAACGATGCTGACTTAAACTGGCTGAAAGTTTCTGGGTCTTAGCAGATCTATTATTATTATTATTATTATTATTATTATTATTATATTTTAGCAGAAACAAAATTAACAATGCTCTGGCTGACTGACCTGGTTTTGGGATACAGTGCTGTAGAGACTTTAAAAATGTAGCCCTCAACTACTTGTTGTGGGAGGGTGAGGGAAGTGAAGTATCAGAGGAAGAACCATGACACTACAACCCCTCTCTTGTGTGAAAATCACTGCACAGAAAAACATTTTCTGCAGTATCCTTGATATCTAATTTCTTACATAGATATCACGTCTATATGGGAAACAGTGTGCAGACTACTTTATTTATGGAGATACTGCTTCCATAGGAAATTACATGTCTTCAGTGTGAATGCCCATCATTCTTTATTCTGCAAAGTCCTAGAAGAAATAAGGGTTTATTAAAGCTGCAGGGGATTCCATTGGAAGCTTTCTGAATGGGCTGTAGATGTGGATATTGGAAGTTTCTCCATGGTTATCTTTTTAATATGTGGATGAATTTTCTTCCAAGACACCAATATATAAACTATAGCTGCAAGGAGGAGCAGGGACTAAAATCATTAAAACTGCTCTTAGCTAAACATCTGCTTCTGAGCTTTGTGTGGAAATGCATGGGAATAAAACCTTCAGGATTCTGAAAAATGAGGTTCTTAATAACAGTCTTCACCAACACCTCCAGATATTTTGGATTAAATTTCCATTAGCCCCAGCCAGTATAACTAGAGTTGATGGCCATAATAGACCAAAACATCTGGAGTGCACCTTGTTGGCAAAGCGGTTATAGCAAATTAGTTCCAACTAGTGTTTAACGTGGACGCGGGTGGCGCTGTGGGTTAAACCACAGAGCCTAGGACTTGCTGACCAAAAGGTCGGCGGTTCGAATCCCTGCTACGGGGTGAGCTCCCATTGCTCGGTCCCAGCTCCTGCCAACCTAGCAGTTTGAAAGCACGTCAAAGTGCAAGTAGATAAATAGGTACCGCTCCGGCGGGAAGGTAAACGGCATTTCTGTGCACTGCTCTGGTTGGCCAGAAGCAGCTTAGTCATGCTGGCCACATGACCTGGAAGCTGTACGCCAGCTCCCTTGGCCAATAAAGCGAGATGAGCGCCACAACCCCAGAGTCGGCCACAACTGGACCTAATGGTCAGGGGTCCCTTTACCTTTAGTGTTTAACGTTGGGCTACTTTTGAACAAAATACTTTTGCTAATTAAGTAAGAGTTGTATACCACTCTGTTTAGAATTGTAAGGTAGATTATGTGGATGACTTAACATCACCTTGACTTGCTTATACTACAGGACTCCTCTTGTATTATTGCCTCAGATGCCTGCAGGCAGAGAGGCAACTCATACAAACCCTCCCTTGGGTACAACACTTCTTTCCTTGCACTGAGATACATATATGGGAAGCTTAGTATATGCCCCAAATACTGGGCAAACTCAGAAGTTGCAAACAAGGTCTGGCATCTCATTGTGGAAGTGGCATAACCAACACCAATACTGACAAATACTGCGCTTGTCCTGTGAGGATACCACACTCAGATTTCCACGCATGGGGAAGAGCTCCAATCAAAGGGAAGGACCTCCTGTTTTCTAAGAACACCAATCTTTCCCAATAAGAATACTTACTGTTTTTCTTCATCAGTTTTCTTATTGCTGTCATGGGTCCTTTCTTGTGCTGTACAAATAGGAAGTATTCAGCTGTTTAGTGTTAACACTGAATGATCCTTGGACGGCCTGTTTAACCCTTATTCTAAACTATCCTGTTCAGTTACTTGATGCTACATGCCACTGAATAAAGTTTTGCTTAGGGTCAAAAAACAGGATTAGGCTTGAACTCTGTTTTTCATGGGAATCAGAATCTTTTACAGCTCTGTTAGATTTTAGTACTAGCAGCACTGCTTGAAGTTGGGAGGTATTGGCATGATATGTAAAACACAAATCCCCGCACAACTGTGGATACTGCTTCTCGTCCTGTTAGTGCAAGAAAGCACAAAAAGGACTGCCTTGTATATGAATTCATCAGACCCCAGCTTCCTTACATGTGTACCTGCAATTTAGCTCAATAAGTTATTAATTTGTCCGTTAGTCTTTTCATATAGCTTCCCATATTATTGTTTCTGGCCCAGATTTAGATGTCTATAGACATCTCCACCCCTCTCTCATTGCAGAAATTAATCATGAAATAAAGTAGGACAGAGTCAGCTGCTCAACAACAACAACAACAACAACAACAAATCGGCACTAAAAGGGGCAGCGGGGAGATCTTTTCTAAAAGATCTCTCAAAGCTAACCTCCACCACCCCCACGTCTGCCTGTTTCAATACCACAATTTACAGTCACAGAAATTGTGTGGGTCCCAAAATATCTCTTGAGTGTCAAAGGCCAGGGGAAAGAGGCACATCTTCTGTATTCACCAACAACTACATTGAAGTTGCCACACACACCATTTTGGGGGAGGGAATTCCACAACTGCCACAGAAAATGCCCTCCTGGGTTACCACACCTGAGCTTCTGAGGGCAGCTATCTCTCATTGTGTTTTTCTTACTGTGTATTTGTATCATTGGCACACACATTGATGTACAGCTAAGGGTAACTATTTTGCAAAAGCACACAGTGCTTCCAATTAGAGAGAGACACTGTAGTGCTTCTAATGGGTCCCAGACACTCACCAAGTGGTTCTTAATTAAGTCTGATGGAGGACCTACTTAAGATCTTTGCCAGCCGGAAAAGACTTGGGGTGGGGAGGAACCATGATGAATGCAGATGGTATTATTCAGAGAAGAAAAGCTGGTGTGGTGTTGAGGCTGACATAGTGGGCTTGGAAAGAGGAAGGAGGCTCACATTCCCTCAGTCTGAAGCCCATTTGCCCCCTAGTCCATGGGCAAGTCACAGATACCTCTCAAGGGCAGAAGGTGAGCTTCGTGGTTTCCCCTAATCGGTTTCCTGCCTCTGCCCACAGGTATTCTCTGAATTTGCGAATTGCTTTTGATGACTGGACATCTGTTCCTTGTATACACAATATGGCTGATGGCACAGGCTCTGTGTAAAGACAAATTCCTGGAACATTATGTTTTCACATCTTATGCTGACATAAGGCATATAAATATTACAGTTTCTAGGAATTACAATTTTTAACTAATAAGGCACACATCTTTTACAGTTGCGCCTAGAAAACCGTGAAATTCTTTGGCCCTCCCCAACCCTTGCTGCAGGCTGTGCCTCCCAAGGAGAATCTAAGAGTACAGAACCTTCTTTCTGTAACATAACAGGCCCTTTCGGAGCATGTAGATCTGGGGGTTGTATTAAATGGGCCTTGTGTAGATTTGGGAGAGCTGGAAGTCTTTTGGGGGGCAGTGTTGCACAACTGGAATGAGAAGCATGATAGCATTTCTGGGCTAGATGCCTTTTAAAGCACCACATGTATCAAAGCCTTCCATTCAAAGCACTTTGTGTCAGAGAGATAGATTCTAGCTTAGCCTTTTCAGTAAAGTGATAGCTTAGCTTTGCACACATGCAAAGAGTTTTACATAGGATTGCTTTCAAAGGAGCAGCCCCCCTTCATATACCTTGTGATGTCATATGAACTTAACCACATGTAGCATTAAAAGACTGGTGCACTCCTTAGTCAACCAAGTGAAATAAAAATGGGAGCAAAACCTACATGCACAATCCTTTTTCTGTAGGGCTAGCGCTGGAGCAATGCTTTGGGAAGCCGGTATGCTAATTAATGCTACTCTGCTTACCCCTTTAAAAAAAACAAACAACTCTTAAGAACCACCCTGCTGGATGAGACCAAAGACCCATCTAGTCCAGCATCCTGTTCTGACAGTGGACAACCAAAGGCCTATAAGAAGGCCACAAACAGAGCATGCACACAGCAGCATTCTTGGCAGCTGGCATTCGGAAAAGTGCTGCATCCAATACTAGAAGCAATCCAGCCACCATAGCTAGTAGCTGTTAATAACTTTATCCTTCACAAATATGTCTAAACCTCTTTCAGAACCATCTGAATTGAAGGCCATTACAATATGTTGTGGTTGCAAACTATGTACTGTGAGAAAAATGCTTCCTTTTGTCTCTCTAGAATCTTTTGACATTTAGCTTCATTAGATGGTGTTGGGTTTTGGTATTCTATGTGGCAGGCAGAGACGTATCTCTAGCCACTCTGTGTGCATAATTTTATATAGCTTTTGTCATGTCACACCTAACTTGCCATATTTTCAAAACTGAAAAGCCTCAAAAGTTGTAACCTTTCCCCCAAGGGAGTTGTTCCAGTCTCAACATCATGTTGGCTGTCCATTTTTGAACTTTTTTCAGTTCTACCAAATAACTTTTTTGAGTTGTGGTGTCTAGAACTGTACACAGTATTTTAAGTGCGGTCGCATCACAGATTTGTATAAGGGCATTATGAAGGTCCCTGCTCCTTAACATGGAATTTGCCTTTTTCACATTTGCCGCACACAAAGTCTGCATTTTCACTGGGCCGTCTACCAGGGCAAGTCTCAATACTGATCCTTGTAGGACTCCACTTCTTACATCCTTCCTTTGTGAGAACTGTCCATTTCCCCCAACTCTCTGGTTCCTGTTCTTTAACCAGATAACTGATCCATAAAATGACCTCTCTTCTTACCCCATGACCGCGAAGCTCAGGAGTCTTCAGTGAGGGACTTTTATCAAATGCTTTTTGTCAGACTAAGTACGTACGGTTGACTGGGTCACACCAAATGTTTATTGATACTCTCAAAGGACTTTGAAAGGTTAGTGAGACAGGAAAACTGCAGCCTAAAGAACAACAGCAACAGTCCTAATTCTGCCAAAGAACAACAGCAACAGTCCACCAAACCACACCCACTTGCCATATAGGTGTGGGGCGGTAAAGATGGGGAGCTTTAAAGTGCTCTCCTGATCGTTCCTTGGCAAGCAAAGCTTGGTGTCTGTGCTAATCAGTGCCGCTGGGATTACCTGCATTGCTGACCTGCCAAAATGACCTGTCAAAGGTGGAGAGCTCAACTAGCCATTAATTTCTCAGATCCATCCTGGACTCCTTTTTAAAAAAAATGTTGTTAGAGTGGCCACTTTATACTCTTGCATACAAGACTGATCTTGGGGAAAAGCCATGTATTTTTGTTCGAAGGATTCTTCAAGAACTCTCGGGTGGTTACCAATGGGACTTGGTGATTTGTTTGGTTTTAATTTGTCAGTGATGCCTAGAACTTCACATCTTCTCACCAGTTTGCTTCAGTTCAGGCGCAGGGATCTGCCCTGCATTTTCTGCAATGAAGACAGATGCAAGGAATTTATTCAGCTCCTCTGCAATCTCACTTTCTTCTTTTATCACTCCTTTGATTTCCCCTATCATTTAAAGGTCCAACTGCCTCCCAGTTTCCTGCTTTTTATGTATTCAATTTTTTTGTTGGTCTTAATGTTTTTAGTGATGTGTTTTGCAAACTTTTCTCTTTTTTTGCATCCCTTGTTGTCTGCTTGCATTTCTTTGCATTTTCCTGTTTAGGGAAGTTTTTAATGTTTGATGTTTTATCACATTATTATTATTATTATTATTATTATTATTATTATTCTATTGGGAGCCGCCCAGAGTGGCTGGGGAAACCCAGCCAGATGGGCGGAGTATAAATAATAAATTATTTTTATTTTATTTTATTTTATATTGTCAAAGTTCATGCTGCTTTTTGCTCTCCACATTTGGGCAGGACTTTCATTTTCTGAAGGAAGACGTCTTGCCTCTAATGCCTTCCTATACATTCTAGATGAGCTTCTGTCATAGTTTTGAATAACTTGCAAGCATCTTTGAGAGATTTGACCCTTTTGACTGGTAAAAAGGAAGCTGAACGGCAGTTTTCTCATTTTTGAGAATTTTCCTCTTTTGAAGTCAAATGTAACTGTTGGACTTTGCTGGCAATGTCCCACTTACATCTACGTTGAATTTGATAACACTGGTCACAGTTCCCAGTTGGTTCATCAACACTTACATCTTGCACCAGGTCCTGGCTGCCTTTTAAGATTAAGTCGAGGGTAGCTTCCCTTCTATTCATTTCCATGGCCAGCAGTTTTCGGGCACTGTCATTTGGGGTATTTAGAAACTGTATCTCTTTGTCATGAACAGATCACGCATGTACCCAGACACCCATTGTTACAACATTTTCTCCTTTGGATACCTGCTTGATTTCATACATCATCTCAAGATCACCTTGCACACTTTAGCTGAGGGCTGGGGGTGATAATACTTTCCCCAGTACTAAGGGACTTCTGGGACATGGAATTGCTTCTCATAGTGAAGCAGTGGAGGAGAGTGCACATCCTCTATTGGAATCCCATAGAGAAATGACATGTGGATGTGTTTCTCTTGAGATAATAGCTTCTCGTCTCGTTTTTCAGGGCCAAGTTACCCGCGCACAGGAGGCTGAAGAGAACTACATCATCAAGCGAGAACTGGCAGTGGTTAAGCAACAGTGCAGTTCAGCAACCGAGAATTTGCAGAAGGCTCAAAGCACTATTCGGCAATTGCAGGAACAGCAGGTGATGGGCATCACATATGAAACAACCCGGGGGAGGGGGAGAGGTGAAATTAAAGAGGTACAAGTAAACTGGTTTGGTGTTGGTGGTTTTCCTGGCCCAAGAAGTACAGGCCCTATTTCCCCCCCCCCTCCCTAATAGCACAGAGAATTCAATGCACTCAAATTCATGGGTTTCTAAAAATTAGTTTTACCATATTTTGGTCACTAAGAACATTAATGAACACAGGAATGTGCACTGAGTAAATATACCTTCATCTTCCTTTTTTTTTTTTTAAATGATGTTTATTGAGAATTTTAAAATTACAAAAAAAACAAAGAGAAAAAGAAGGAAAAAACAAGAAAGAAACAAATAGCAATTAAACAATACAAATCAATAAAAGTCAAAAGCAAAAAGCAAAAACAAAACACATAGCACATCAAAATCAGAAAGCAAAAATAAACCACAAAGATTTAAAAACAGATCCAATGTTCCCAAATCCTTAACTGTCATTACCTTATTTCATCGACCTCCTCACACCTCCCTTTTTTGTATTCTAGTTGTTGATTGTCACAGCAAATCCTTTCCATTTTTCATAATATTCTGTCATTAAATTACCTTAATCTATTTTAACCTTATCTTACCATAAAAAAACCTAAAACTTAAAAACTTAAATCTTATTTATACCAATTTCTCATAACCATAACATATTCTTACATAGTTCTTTTTAATATTTCTGCTAAAGCCAAATAATTTCGTTCCAACATTTTTCTAATACTCATTAATTTTAGAAAACATTCCTAAGTAGAATTTTTAAAACTTTCTTCCAATCTTCATCCAACGTCTCTTCCTCCTGGTCTCGGGTTTTGTCAGTCCTTTCTATCCCATCCATCTAGTTCATTAACCTGGTAACCTTATGTCCGAGGCCCTTAAGTCTCTTCCATGTCCCTTCCGCAGATCTTCTTCATATTTATACCTGTACTTTACTTTGTCTTCTGCTCCTTTCACTCGTGGAGACCCCAGCTTGACAATATTTTTGTCCCTTCTCGACAGATCAGCCCCTTTTCCATAGTCCACACTGAACTCCATGTGGTATTTAAAAGCATGCTTCAAGGTCCCTCCAAAGTTGAGGACTCCCACAACTCCAAACTCCTCCCGGCCCAACGCCAGACTTGAAGGGTCAAAACATCCCTGCATAGGGGGGTCTATCCAGCCCCCCATCTCCAAGCCAAGCAAGACTCTGTCTCTCCAAATCTGGCTTTTTCCAGGTTCATTCGTCAGATCCAACAACTCATGTTCCTGCTGGGCCATGGTTCCCTCCATCTCTGCATCCCGGGGTCCAGCCACAACCTCCTCCCTCATTTGATCTGTCAGAGCACACTCCTGAATTGATTTCTGAGTGGGTTCTATATAGATACCCACTACCTGTCCAAAACTTCTGATCGCAACAGTCATCAAATCCGTCTTCTCAAGTAACTGTTCCAATAAAGCACTTGTCTTGCAGAAAGCACGCACCAGAGCCTCCGAGTACATTGTTGTGCAAGGTCAAAGTCTGATCCCACGATCTTAATCTATTGCAGCTACAAAGCTCCCCAGTTCAGATTTAATAACAGTTTCACAAGCTCCCTCTAGGGGAAGAACTTCTATTTGTATCCATCTCTCTCTTTTCTTTTTTTTTAAAGCAGATCTAACAACAAAGTTTCCTTTTTTAGATATTTTGTCAATATTTTGTTCCTTTTAACTGCGAAGGAGAACAATGGAATCACTATGTTTCTCTTCTTATAACTATCTGTCAAAAACGTTTGTCTATAGTCAATGAACTCCAAAAACGTCTGTCCTGACACCCCGCTCCCAGGTTCAAGACGGTGGAAAATTGCTTTTCTTTACACTCTTCTGCAGGTTTAAACAGTCCAGAAAAAATCCCCCCTCTTCTCCTGCTTCCAAAGGGGGTTCAGTAGTTTTAGATGATGAAAGTTGATCCTTTACAAACAGTTTTCAAAACTCTAGCTTGCTATGTGTTTGCTTTAATCTTTCTACAAAAAGCGGAAGGCTGACTTCCTGTTTAGACCTTCCCGCTTCAGTGCCAAATTAAAAGGAATTTCTTAGTCTAATTTTCCGTTCTACTCACGGGTTGTTGTTTAGAGTCCAATTGTCCAAATTTAACCTACTCACGGGTAGCTGTTTTTGTAGCCAGATTGTCACAGGAAAAAGGTAGCGCTCTCCGGTAACGGCTGTGCGGCTTCGCTCCACGGAAGAAGCAGTTGACTCTCAGCACCGCGCCGCTTGCCCCGCTTCGCTCCGGAGCCCGTAATTGGGCTCCTTTACAAATTGGGGGCGCGCGAAAGGTGCCCGCCGAGTCCCACGGTCACAGGCTTCACCCGCCTGTGATTTTTTAAAGGGTCCCCGCTTTGCCGTAGCGGAACAGACCCGATTTCCGTAGAGCCAGTCCCTCTGGATCAGAGGGAGTCCGCCATTACCGATGGCGCCACCCCGGAAGTCCTCACTATACCTTCATCTTCCTAATGCAGGGGGAGGGAACCTTTTTGGCTCCACAGGCCAGATCTCTTTTCAGGATCTGCCTCATGGGCCAAATTTGACATGAGGGGAGGGTCAGTGGCAGAATGTTAAACATCTCCCTGCCTACTTTTCTGCCCCCTACAAGTGCATTTTGGTAAACACGCTCAACCACTGCAGTAAAAACTGTAGAAAACATTGGAGATGGCATTTGTTACTTGAAGGCTTATGGATGGTTGCAACATCTAGGAACTGTAGTAGCAGTAGTAGTAATAATAATAATATATTACTTGTACCTCGCCCATCCAACTGGGTTGTCCCAGCCACTCTGGTTTTATCAACGTTTCTCATCCTGTTTGCAGGGAAATCCCCGCTACTCGGAGGAGTTTGTGAGTCACCTGGAAACAGAGCTGGAACAGTCACGTTTGCGGGAGTCTGAGACCCTGAGTGCACTTAAAGAGATGCAGGACAAAGTGCTGGACATGGAGAAGGTACATTGGCTAAAAGGACTAGCATGAAACATGCATGTTTTAGAAAACAACCTAGGCTAGTAGGGCCTGAGCTCCCAAAAGCTTGATACAGACCTCTCTGCAATGCTCATGTTGATGAAGATTGTATTATGGGGGGTGAATTTACACTTATCAGTCTCAGCAAGGAAAAGTCAAGAGATTACCTTTTCTTGTTTGCTCTTCTATGATTAGTCTTCCTTTCTGAATATACACCTTGAGGTTACATCAGTAGTTTCTGCAGAAAAACTGTTGAAAACCGCACTTTTCAAGGGCAGTTTAAATACGGATTTTATCATGATCAAGATGCATTCAGGAGAAATTGTTGTCACTGGAAAGATAGCAGGGAAAGAGCAATTTTGGGTGAGATTCATCCTCACAAAACTCATCAGAACTTATTGGGTATATTCATCCTGGGACTCTAGGTAGCATGCGTGATATTTAAAGAGGTCTGGTTTTCCTGATTGCACTCTTCAGAATTTTGGACTTTTGGGCACCAGAGTGGGTTGAAATGCTTCAACAATATCACAAACCCTCTTCCCTCGGCAGAAGAATAGCTTGCTTCCGGATGAAAACAATGTGGCCCGCCTTCAGGAAGAGCTGAAGGCTATGAAAGTGCGGGAGTCTGAGGCTATGAAATCCTTTCGGGAACTGCAGCAGCAGGTGAAGGAGCTCAACGACAATTGGCAGGTATGATCCACTGGAATGGTGGCCCCCTAAAGCAGTGCCCTGCTTCCTTGTCCCTGTTGCTGAATTCCTACATGCTGCTGTTTCGGTGACATATGGTAACCCCCTTTTTTATGGAAGACTGCAAGGGCTCGACCTGTAAATTACATAGTAGTATATCTGATACTCATACCAAGCAAGGGTTTTAAATAAAAATTAGTTAGATATATAAGCAATCACAGCATATAAGGAAATAGCATGGTCTTAAAGTAGAGCACATGGGAGTATTGAGACCAATGAGCATCATATGCCTATATTAAGACGTGAAGGTTATCCTTCTGTCTCCCTCACTCTAGGCCCACCTGAGCCGGACAGGCGGGCGATGGAAGGACTCTCCTCGCAAGAACACAATGAATGACCTCCAAGACGAATTGATGAGCCTCCGTCTGCGTGAGACGCAGGCCCAAGCTGAAGTCCGTGAACTGCGTCAGAGGGTGGTGGAACTTGAAACCCAGGTGACAATCTTTTGTTGTTGTTGTTGTTGTTGTTGTTGTTGTTGAGTTGCGGTTATGGCAATTCCGCACAAACTCCTTGAAAAACATAAATTTCTCCCCATCTATTCTTATGCCTAGAAATTGACTTGAGATCTTTCCACTTGCAATGTGAGCATATTTCCTTAACTGAAGACCTGGTTTGGTTTGGGGTTTTTTTAACATGCAAACAATGACACTCTAGTCAGTGAAAGTATAGGGTTTTGTACTGTATTATAGGCACTTATTGAGTACACTCAGAGTGTGCCACGTAAGAATATGGTGCACACCAACCTATTTGTCATAAGCGTGTCTGGTCTTGGAAGGGTCCAAGTATCATCTTGCCTTTATTCCAGGATCAGATCCACAGCAACCATTTAAACCGGATGGAGCAGGAGTGTGCTGGGCTGCATGAAAAGGTCCAGTACCTTACGGCCCAGAACAAGGGGCTGCAGACCCAGCTGAGTGAGACCAAGCGCAAGCATGCTGAATCCGAGTGCAAGGTGAGATCTGGTCTAATGCCATGCAGTTGACACAGGCTGCTTTCTCTTAAGCCTTTCATGCATGACAAGGAAGGAATCTTGCTGCACTGCTGCTCTGAAGTCAAGGAACTCAGAGCAGAAATCATGCAAATTTACAGAATACACCCCACCCTCCAAATCAGTTCCTTGGCACTGGTGCCCTGCATTGGCTTACCAGTTGTGGTTTGTTTCATCCATTCCCATTTCAATATAACATTAAACCAGAGATTGTGCTTTGTGGCTTCATGCTAGGGAGGGAAGGAAGCGGGTGCCGATTTGTGTATTCATGAAAAACAATTGACTGTTTACCATAACATGCAAACACATCCATGGAGAGCCCAGATTTTGTCTGTTTATTCTGAAGAGGAGACTGGGCTCCTGCATGTCTGACATCTTTGATTTTAGCCGCTGTCCTGGATTTTAGTCAGTGTCCTGTGTGTATTCCTGGGAATTCCAGGTAGTTTAGTGACTCATTGTGGGTCTCGTGAGATCTTCAGCTGCCAAAAGAAACTGCAGGCGGTCCTCCCCCCAACCCCCAATGTACTGCCCACCGCCCCCATTGGCTGACCTCGTTGCTTGTACTCCACTGGGCTGCTGCCACTGGCTTGCATTTTCTGTTTCAGAGCAAAGAAGAGGTGATGGCTGTGCGCCTGCGAGAAGCCGACAGCATGGCTGCAGTGGCAGAGATGCGGCAGCGGATTGCTGAGCTGGAGATCCAGGTTAGGGAGCAAGGAGGATAAGGAGCAATGAACCTGCCTTGTACCTAAAGCAGCATTTTCCCCCCAGGAGTATTTGTTTCTTGTTGTATGAACTGTTGTTCCTTTTGTGTCTGCAGCTAGCTGAGAGGTCTGGGGGCTAAAAACATGTTTTATTTGTCATTGTTTAAACCAGGGGTAGCCAGTGTTGGTCCCCTTATTTAGTTCTGCTTACACAGCTTACAAGTTTTTTGTTTCTTTTTAAGAGACCTGAAGATCAAGCATTCAACTTTTGTTTACATAAGGAATTCTGTACAGGAAATACAGACTGTCTTGTTTCTCCAATTCCCTTTTTCAAAACGTAAACAATCAGCCACACGGACTGTGTCAAATTTGTATAATGTAGACAAAGTGCTTGCTCATTTGTGCAGTCTGTGAAATAATGCATACAAAGGGGAGGAGGAAACAGCAAATGTGCTTTCTCTCCACTTCCTTCTCTGCCAAGCATCCGACCCTTGTAAATTCCCATCTCTTCTTTCTTCCACACAGAGGGAAGAAGGGATGATTCAGGGCCAGCTCAACAACTCCGACTCCTCCCAGTACATCCGTGAACTCAAGGATCAGATTGATGAGCTCAAGGCAGAGGTGAGCCCAAACTAGTAGGAGAAAGGGAGGAGGAATCCACCAAGGGGTTGGGGTTGTGTGACTTCTGGTGTCTTCTCTGCTGGCCTCCGTTAGCACCCTGCATCAAGTCACGGCTGCCTGTTTTTCTTTTTGAAGATTTAATATTTATTGTTTGCAATCGAAGAATACAAATACGCCTCCGTCTGTGTCCCCATTCCTTTTCCCCAGCTGCCTATTTCTGTGCAGGGCCTCCAGCTGGAGAACAGACATAAGCGACTGGGGCTTACAAAACTGCTGATTTCCTCAGGAGCTGATAGAGATCAGAAGTCAGCTTTTAAGGTGCGAGTCAACCAGGTGGTTGGCTACCAGTTGGAACTCACTGCAAAGGAGCTCCAAAGACTCTCACCAGGGCATAGGAAGGAGATTTCAGTGGGCGAGAACTAGGGTAATGATGGAAGGTGCAGAGTAAGTTATCCCCCACGCCTATGTGATGTAAAAAACAACAACCCCTTTTTCTTGCTGTAAAGCTAGCCATCTCAGCCTCTCGCACACCTGCGGAAAAGTCTTCCCTCTCAAAAGTTATTCATTTTCACAGCCCAGATTCCTTGCCAACCCTGGGAGGGGATGTTCATGTCACACAGACAAATGTGCTCTTCTGTTCCAACCAGGGTGGAGACTGTATATGTTGTTTGATAACCCTCTGATCTGGGGCGCGGCTTCCATTTCAACTTATTCCCTGAGCACAGGATCGCCACTGTTTTCAGGAGTTTTTTGTGCATGTTCTGCGTGAGGCGTCCTCTCCACCGTGGGTTCTTTCTCTGCATCAGAGTTAATGTCATCTAACGGTCCCATTAGGCAGAGTGCCAAGTCCATCATGGCTGTCCCAGTGCAGTCGTGGGGAGCCTGCGTCCCTCTGGATACATTGGGGCTCCCCACTCTTGTCAGCCCCAACCATCATGGCCAAAGGGTCAGAGACAGTGGGAGTTGTACTCTGAGGGTTCGCAGGACCCCCCCTTCCTATCTTTGCCCTAACGCCTTCTCCCTGCAGATTCGGCTGATGAAGGGACAGAAGCCTTTTGAGGACTCCATGGGCTTTGACGGCATCCACATTGTGAGTCACCTGGCGGTGGATGACGACTCGCTGCACTCTTCCGACGAGGAGCTGCTGACCAGCCCCATGGTGGTAGGTGCCCTGCAGGATGTCTTGTATCCGCTGTCGCCCCACAACACGCACTTTCTACGGGGGGCCGAGAGCTCCGGCAAGGAGAGCGACGGCACCACGGATAGCGATGCGGACGACCCTGCCTCTGCCACCGAGCCCAATGGCGAGATCATCTTCGAAGAAGCCCTGAGCAAATGAGGAAGTGGTGCTGCCGTCCCAAGTCTGTCTGGAAGGCACCAGGTCCCTCTGGCCACGCTGTACTGAGGGTGTGGAGGCCATAGACAGATCACGCAAGATGGAGCGGAGGGCCCCCTTACCCAGCAAATACCGTGCCCCCGAGATGGCATGGGGGACGGACAGTCCTACAGCTGGCCTGCATTACATGGGCCACCTCCGTTGATCATTGTCTGCACTGCCTTTTTTTCCAGCTCTGTTGTCACTGGTAGTTCAAATCCATGTATTGACCTCATTCACATCTCCCACCCTCCCACCCACCGTTTCCACACCTTTTTTTTTCTTTTTTTTTAAAAACTTCCTCCTTACACACAAAGGTTTGCACACTTGAGAACTTTGAAGGGACAGCAGAAGCAACCAGGCCGCTGGTTCTATAAAATGCAGTCCAGTAGTAATTAACCTCTGTCTCCTTGCTGTGCTTGGAGAGATGAGAGGGGTCTGTCTTCCTTTTATTTATATGCGATCCCCTACCCTGCTGTTCTGCAGAGAGGTAAGAAGATTGGATGCCTCCACACTAGTTTGTGGTTTTCAGCCCAGGAAAGGATGGATAGAGAGTGCGCTTCTGAAGAGGTGGCTTGGATCGAGAGAGAGAGCTTTTATTTTTGTTTCTGTGTATATTATTTATTTATACTGTGCAATGCCAATCCGTCTCCCTTAGAGGAGGCTTGGCATAAAGCTTTAAGTTCAATTATCTTGAGGGCTTTTAAGGAGCAGCCAGAACTGCTTTTGTAGCTAAAGGTATGACATCTTTTCTATTTAATTGTGGTAAGGGAAGGGTTCCCCTTGGTAACTTCTGTGTCTCACTTTGCCTGAAGTTCTGTTCTGCTGCAACCATTACAGGAGTTTAGGCGCTGCCTTAATCCATATGGTCAGTGACAGTTCCTCCAGAATTCCCTGCCTGGAATTGTGTGAGCTGATGCAGTATTCTTTCTCAATTCCACCTTTATGGCTATCTTTTCAAACATTGGTTCTTGCAAAGTTCCTACCAATGCCTGGCTTACTTCGGGGGGGGGGGGTGGCAGTCCATCAAAGCACCCAAACCCTAGGGGTTTTTTTAAGGAAAGAAGGGTCCATTATTGGACTTTTAGTCTGTTCATGATTTACAAGGCCAGTGCAAGTGGCTGAATTTTTTGGCACCTGAGCGAATTGCCTAAAGAGTATTTTCTTCTTGGCAAACAAAGTGATGAGAAACATGGGCTGCTTGGACATCAGGTTCTGCCCTTTTTTAAAAAATTCTTTTTTTATTTTAGTGAAAATGCACAGACTCTTGTAGTGGAACTACATATGAAGCAAACATGAGGCTCCAAGCTCACTGTTTGCCTCCTAACACTATTGGGTCGGGGATGGGAGGGTTGCAGGGGAGATCAAGTGGGAGGTGTGTGCTTAACCCTAGGTGCCCCTTCCACTCTTGCCTCTGCACGTACGTGAACCTTCAGACATGCTTGTATAATGTGTAGCTCTGCTCCACAGAAGCAGACCTCTGTTTGGGGTAGTGGAGGTAGAAACATTGATTTCTCAACAAGAACGCTTACCATGGCCAGTGCTGACATAGCCACACCAGCTAGAGGTAACCCGTGGAGCAATGCTTTGGGAAGCGGCATGGTGCTGATTTGGTCCAGCCAAAAATCACTCTGTATTTGCAATTCATGGTCCTTCTCTTTGTTTTCAACACGGGGAGGAAGCCTGATAATTGGATCCTTCCCCTCTTAACAATAGAGTCCAAGATTAAAATCAGCAAGGCCTCTCTCGTGTCACACTTTCTTTCCACTGGTGACGGAGAGATCTCAAGGACGTGCTGGTGTGCGAAATGTATTTTGTCTTGCAAGGTGTCTGAATAAAGGCATTGTTGCAAATGAAGGTGGAGACCAGCTGGTGTTAGGAGGGATTCCACAGAAGGTCTGTGAAGGAGGCGGTGAAGTATGCTGAATTCTGAAGATGTAGGATTTCCACCCTGCTGAGGAGGTAGGCAGCTTCATCAGGCAACATCCCTGGTTATAGAGAATGTTCCCTGGACAGTACCAGATAGTTCCTAAACTGTGGGATGCTTCTGCTTTTAGGGAAGGAGAAGCATTTGTTGTCATGGGCATACTTTTCATCTGTTTCCTTATACCAAGCTTGTACAAATTTATGCTCCATTTGATTTTGCCTAATTTCTAAAACCTGCAACAATAAACCTAATGAAGGTTCTGTATGAGATGCATGGACCTCTCTTTCTGAAAGGTCTCCATGATTTTTCACTTGGCATGGATTTGCAGTATATTTGGTCCATAGTTGAAGGAGGAGTTCCTTTGGTTTTCTCCCCAAATTTTATGCTGCATGCCTCTTAGCTACAGGCAAGCCTTGTTGGTCATTTTACCTCCCCAACTCTGGATTCCTCTAGTGAGGTTAACCCAGCATTTACACTGCAGAAGCAGGAGGACAAACCTGCACCCACTTGGCCCAGCCTGTCACATGGGTGGCCCTGAAGTATTATGTATGTACTTATATGAATATGCCTGGGGGAAAGGCTCCAGTTTGGTATAACCTTGCATATTTTAATAGATGTATTCTATATATACATGCTGCACCGTATTGCCAAATCTCTGTGATTTTCTGTACCATTTTTCAGTCTCCCCTCCCCCCTCAACCCAGCAGCATAGTATGTGGTCCAAACAAGAGTTCAGCCCAAACTGTTGCTTTGATCTCCTTGTGTCAGTCTGATTTCATTTCTTTGCTAGCAGTGGGCACATGTTTGCAGTTTTGGATGGCTTGTGAAACTGTTTGCCGGTTTGTGCATCATAATTCCTAGCAATTGTTGTTGATACTTGTTTGTGTAGTGCTACCCGAATGCTCGCTTGCCTCCAAGGCTACGTGTTAGGAAGATCATTAATCGCTGCTGTTTCTAAATCTGGAGTAAAACCCCGCTGACTTCAGTGTTTCAGATTTACATTGGAGTAAATGGGAGAATATTTTTGTTAGAATCGAATCCAAGCGGCTTCTTTGGCCTGTTTTTGTCAGGGTTTGGGATTTGTTTTGCATATGAAATTCACTTGGATGTGCAGGCCTTACTTTTAAGTTTGTTCTAGCATGACTGTCCCTGAAGTGACATTGGTAATACTACATTAATTATTCACCTTTCTGTAACCCCTGTTGCAGTGGTTTCAAGACTATGGTTGTAGAACAGGGCAATATGTTTTACCAAAAGTTGCTACGTAGTTGATTACTCCGACTGCTGCTTTACCTGCAAAACACACTAAGAGCAAATTTGTGTTTTCCCTTCCATATTGTAAAAGAAATCACAGTGTGCTCAAAATAAGTGGTTTCTCCCAGAGTTGTCTGATCTCTCAGACTAGATCCATGCAACAACAGGAGAGTAAGGGACGAGCACTCCGGCAAGGAATATTTATTTATATCCTTTTGGTGCTCAGAGTGAGCAACATACAACCATATGATGAAACAATTATTTAAAATAACATGCAGTAAAGCTCTAAAAACAGTAGTTTATTCCTAATGAAAGCCTAATTTGACTCCTTGGTACCATGGAAGAATGACAAGCATTAAGGGCAAGGGCAATTCTAACTTTGCTATGATTTGTGACAGCACAAGGGACTCGATCTACTGCTTCAAGCTGATTCAGCCTGTTTCTCCCCACTGGGTTTGGCTAATTGCTAGGTGAGGATAATCCCCAGTGAGCTAAATAACATTAGGTCATGTAGCTGATTTTTTTTAAAAAAACAACCCCTAACCTTGTTGCTTATATTGAAGTGATTTACTTCTCATGCACATCTATTTAAGGTCATTAAAAACAATCCCTTTAAATCAAGGTAACAAAAAAAAAGTACTGTATTGATCTCAAAGGGATTTTCCTATTTCTTGTGGTAATCGTTGGCTTAAAAGGTAATGGTGTGTTTTGGGGGCTCATGTGATGGATACTTGCATATGGGAAGTGCTGGTCTTCTGCATACTATCCACACACAGACTACAAAGCAAGCTTCTGCCTTGGCATAGAGGATAGGAGAAGACTTGAAGCCCCCCAGTCTGGCTGCCCCAAAACCCTCTCAGGCAGCGTTGTGTTTGTGTCTTGGAGCAAGGGTTTTCTGCTCCAAGAGGCATAGAAAGGCCATGCTGAGCCACCTGCCCCCCCCCCCTTTGCCACCCTCACAATCTTGCTTTGACTTTTGTATTACATTTTTATAACACTAAATATTGTGAATGGATTTTAAATGATGATAGGGGGGTGTACATCTGCATACCAATTTCTACCCTAAAATAAGTTTGCACAGACCTTTTCTCTTCTCTTGAGCTACACCTGTGACCCTCCTGTATCTCTAACGGCAGCAGGTTATCAGGAATCTGGCCTTCTGTGTTCGATCGCCTACAGATTCCTATACTACGTACCAGCAAACGGTGGTGCCACCATTGCGGAAAAACCAATATCCTAGAGCAGGTGGTTATGTCTTGCTCCAGTCTGTTCTCCTGGGACGAATAGGCTGGGGATGGTGCCTGTGTGTGATCTTTACTAGCTATTGACAAGGTTCAATTTGCACTTTAATAGTAGCTCTTTCCCTTCATCATCGAGGGAAAACAATGTGGTGCTGTGTTTAGACTGGGGTTGGGAGTGCTGCTTCTGTTCTCCCACCTCTGACACTTGACTTCTAGTTATTCTCTACCTTGAATGCATCCATCCCCTTCTTGTGCACCACAGCATCCCCTTCTACAGAAGCGGGAGAGGCCGAGTGTACTCTTGTGAATAAATCATGTGGCCCTTTGTTAATTATACTAAACAGAACTTGGCTTCCCAGACTAGGTCCCAGTGTACAAGCTGCAAAGGCAGTATCCTGCTGGAGACAAAGCAGAGCTAGAGGATTGAAGGTATGATTGTGTGCTCCCCAGATTCTAGTTTGTTATCCTAGAAAGAATAACTGCGAGGAGCAGAGCTAAATTAAGAGTTTCAGCACTGCCATCCACCTAATTGTACATTTTCTGTCCTAGAGAAAGTGGCAACTGGCTCTGCCTGGTTATGTTTGGAACATGGATGGATCAAGTTAGTGCTTGTGGGTCCCACCTGTGAAATTGCCAACACACATTGTCCCCTGAAATGGTTTGCTGTGTTGCTTTTTAATGTTTGATATTTTTTTTCCACATGGTGGAAAAATTGTATGCATAAAACACACATGTGCCATTTTTAAAAAAGTAATAAGAGAGCCTGGCCCTAGGGCAAGAGTGAGAGTAAGACACATTTTTCTGCTGCAACATTAAGGCTGCTGCTATGTATGTGTAATGCAAGCTGCAGAGCTGGAGTCCACAGATCCATTGCCAGTGCCCTTAGAACAGGCATGGCCGAACTTGGCCCTCCAGCTGTTTGGGGACTACAGTTCCCATCATCCCTGACCACTGGTCCTGTTCGCTAGGGATGATGGGAGTTGTAGTCTAAAAACAGCTGGAGGGCTAAGTTTGGCCATGTCTGCCTTAGAATGAATGTTACATCAACCTGCAACAACTATTTAACCCACACACATTCACGATCTCTGTGGGAGCTGGTAATACAACCTCACTTAGGACCTGGCCTGTTGCACTGACTCGACACACATGCCCACACACAAACCATGGTGATGTTGTTATGATGGAAGGGTGCTTTTAATGGTACCAGAATTAAGCTTGACCTGAGTGACTTTGCATCAGACATTGCTATGAGGAGGAGCAGTGCATCCAGACGGGTTAGTAGTCCTTAAAAGAAAGGAACAGTGAACTAAGAAGGTAGCACAGCTGAGGAGTTTTATTTGAGCACTGCACTCTTTTTCAGCATTGAAAAGTATTAGCAGACGTCATAATTACACAAACACCACCGTGTTAAAGGTTGGTTACTATTTTAGGGTTTTCTGTAGTGAGTCTGATGCTCCTTCTACCCCTACGTCGTCACTGTTTCAAAGAAAGACTTCTTCTGGGTGCGTAAAAAAAATGTAAAATATTGTTGCTGTTTGTGTGGTAGTTTCTGAAGTTCACCTTAAAATCCAGGATTGCTCCAATCCAGTGAGAGCAGTTGCCCAGCTGATATAAAGCAGCATTGGAGGTAGTGGTACACATTTGCCACACCTTTAGCTAAAAATCCAGCTCCAATTTTATACCATTCTGTGGAACAGTATGAAATGACTATGTGGTTGAAAGCCCCTGTATTCTGCACGGCTCCAGTACTAGCCCACAGCTGCATCTATCCAAAGGGAATGTGCACATTGCAGTGTTCGGGCTTTCCAGGTTGGAAGGAATCTTTCTCTCCTCATAGTCCCCAAACTGTTCCTCAAGTCATGCGTTTAGTGTAACTATGTACCAGTGTCCCTTCTCTGCTCTTCAGAATATAAACTGCCATTCTTTTCAGCCCACACCCATTTTAAAACAAATACTGCTGTACAAAATAATATCTGTACTTTCAAAAAAACCGACGAAATAAACTATTTACACTGTCTTAATAATTCTGTCTCCGGCTTCAGTGGTGATGGTGGGTGTTAGTCACTGAGAAAACCACACCTGCGTGCATTGGGTGGGTGCCCAGCGCATAGTTTCCTCTACAAAAGACTTGTACTACCTGCCCACGTGGGAGTTCTGGGTTACATTTGCTGCGTGGAGGCCTAGATCATGGTATCCATCTAATTCACAGAGCTCACAAACACGACAGCATATCAGGCTGAAAGCTCTGCAACACAAGCAATGGCTCTTTCCTGAAGGAACACAAGACTCCCAAGCCTCATGCGAAATATCTGGCAACATCAGGGAGGTTGGACTCCAATTCCCACCAACCCCAGTGCGTATAACCGGTGCTGGGGGAGATGGGAGTTGGAGTCCAGCAGGATCACATGTTCACCATCCCTGCCCAAAATACAGCATTTCCTTCCCCACAATAGCACAGTTTATGGGTGGAATTGATTGCATGCTATTTCTGTATTTGCTGAAGAAAATATACCAAAAGCAACATTCACCTTTTCTCTCCACACTTACGATCACACGTAAGATTTAGAGGCTGTTTACTCTGTCTCCAGCCAAATTCTCAAGTACATACTTTCCAGTTGTCTATCCTGTTGAATCAGGCTTCTGTAGACAAAGCAGGGAGCAAGTGGTGTTTAAAGGCAATGGGGGCACTTGACTGCCTATTGAAAGAGCCTCAGCAACTCTATTGCACATCTGTTTAATAAAACTGGAGAAACTATCATTTGCAAGGTGGTTAACTAAAAAAAAGACCCAAAAGGTTTCAGAATTTGAATCTTTTTGTGGAGCAATCAGCTTTTTTCCTTGTGAAGCTGGGCAATGGCATGAAAACTAGCATTTATATCCCAACATAACATTCCTACAAAGAGAGTACAATGTATTACTATAGTCAGATAGGAAGCAACAACCAAATCCCCAATGGCAATGTCAGCCAAATGCAACGATGGTTTTCTTCTCCCAAAGTGCTGAAGCAGGCCTAAGAGCAATTGCAAGGCCACAATGGTAGCTAACAGCTTCCCCAAAGGTGAGGGGAACTGTAGACCTGATAGGCAGTAGTGCAAACATTCTGCGAAGATTTGAGCCTGAGTTTGCCTTTTAGTCCACACTCAGCAGTGCAGAAACGAAGAGCAAAACTCAATGAAGAAGCAGCACAGCTCTCTCCAGGCAGCTACCCAAAGCAATGAAAATCCCATACAACTCCCAGAAAACACAATTGCTTATTTAAGCTAAAGCTTAAAGTCTGAGGTTTTCCAGTGTCGAAAGGTATTGATTCAGAATCGGTTGTGCTGCTGGACTGAAGCCATAAAGATGTTGTGGCCTGAAAGAGTTGCTGGTACAGGGGAATGCAAGCGGATTCACCGAAACAGGTGCTTGGTCACAGGAAAAACATCCTAGAACCTACAAGATAGATAAATCAGTGCGGATGACAGGCTAGACTTCCCCACTGGCCCTGCTTTGCCTGCCTCTCTTGCCAACCTACTGCAGACCCAGGCTCCCCATTCCTCTCTCGTCCTGCAAACATTTTACATATTCGTCATTGTGCTACCACTCATCAGCTAACAGTTGCAGTGTTTCAAGCTGTAGAGGAATGGTTTTATAACTGACCCTAAAAAAATTCCTTCCATTCGGGCTGGAGTATCTCATTTGTGAATGCTAATATGAGACGAACAACAGAAAAGGACCATTTTCAAATACAAGATCCCTACTAGTTTTGACTTCCATATCTCAGTTACAGACATGGAAGGCATCCCATGAACAATTCCATCTATTCAACTGGTGTATTGCTTCAAGTCCCAAAGTGAGTTGCAGAGACAACAGACAAAGTACAATATGCAACAAAAATCCATTAAAAGTTAAACAAATGTGCTGAAAGCTCTATCTCTCTTTCAAATCGGAACCAGTGAAGGTCCTGTGAGTGTGTCTGGAGGCGGTTGGAGATTGGATGACAGCTAACAGATTGGGGTTGAATCCTGACAAGACAGAAGTACTGTTTTGGGGGGACAGGGGGCGGGCAGGTATGGAGGACTCCCTGGTCCTGAATGGGGTAACTGTGCCCCTGAAGGACCAGGTGTGCAGCCTGGGAGTCATTTTGGACTCACAGCTGTCCATGGAGGCACAGGTCAATTCTGTGTCCAGGGTAGCTGTTTACCAGCTCCATCTGGTATGCAGGCTGAGACCCTTTCTACCTGCAGACTGTCTCACCAGAGTGGTGCATGCTCTAGTTATCTCCCGCTTGGACTACTGCAATGCGCTCTACATGGGGCTACCTTTGAAGGTGACCCAGAAACTACAACTAATCCAGAATGCGGCAGCTAGAGTGGTGACTGGGAGCAGCCGCCGAGACCACATACCACTAGTCTTGAAAAACCTACATTGGCTCCCAGTACGTTTCCGAGCACAATTCAAAATGTTGGTGCTGACCTTTAAAGCCCTAAACAGCCTCGGTCCAGTATAGCTGAAGGAGCGTCTCCACCCCCGTCATTCTTCCCAGACACTGAGCTCCAGCGCCGAGGGCCTTCTGGCGGTTCCCTCACTGCAAGAAGCAAAGTTACAGGGAACCAGGCAAAGGGCCTTCTCAGTAATGGCTCCCACCCTGTGGAATACTGTCCCACCAGATGTCAAAGGAAAAAACAACTACCAGACTTTTAGGAGACATCTGAAGGCAGCCCTGTTTAGGGAAGCTTTTAATATGTGAAGGACTATTGTATTTTAATATTTTGATGGAAGCAGCCCAGAGTGGCTGGGGAAACCCAGCCGTATGGGCAGGGTATAAATAATAATTTATTGAATTATTATTATCAACAAAAATCACCCAAAAACATCACCACGCTACTTGCATAAGCCTGCATATTTGCAGAGGCAAACTCTGGAAATGCAGGGGGCACAAAAGATCCAAGTCAATAAATAATCCCCTTCCAATTCTCCAAATTCATTCCTCCCATGAACTTTTTGAAATCTAGTTACCTTCTTCGGTAGAGGCTTCTTAGGGTAGAGCACCACGTGCGACGTGCAGGGCCAGCTGCAGCTGGAGCTGACAAAGTGTCTTCACGCTTTGGAGCAGATGGTCCTACAGGGTCTAGCAGGAGGAAGGAAGAAAATGCAGCAGTGCCCCCCACCCGCCCCCAGATGCACTGCAACCATCCATCTCACCACCACACTAACCCCCTTCCAGAGGTAAACAAATGCACCCTCTTCCTGTTTGCATATGTTAGTTTCCCCAAGTCTTAGCATATTTATAATGTTCCACTTTTAAGTATTAAGATGAAGCAAAACTGCCCTAGCTTGGGTATATTTAAAACTGGCTAATCCTGGAGGCAATGAACTGGCTCTCTTGAATACAGCAACCTGCTTTAGTAAGGACAGCTTTCTTGAATTCCTGGCTCTGCCTTTGCATTATGGATGCTTCAAACGAGACCAGGTGTATGCAGAAGGTCCCAGGTTCAGTTCACCAGCATCTCCAGGTATAGCTGGAAGATAACTCTCCCTGCCTTATATTAGCTACAATAGGTGACTTTTTGGAAGCCTTATTTCAGCAGAGGGGAGGGGACTTGCAGGCACCAGGAAGGTCTCAAGGTGCCATGTGCCTGTGGTTGCTGAACCAGCCACTCATGCAATATGCATTCATTATTATTTCACAAATTTTGTATACTGCTTAGTTGTAGTCAAACCTCTAAGGTGCTTATAATGTTGAAATTATCAATTAAAGAACCAGTTTGAAACAACTAAACATTGAAAAATAATTAAAATTAATATAAGCGTGCACCACCGATTCCATTCACAGCCAGAGATGAAAATGAGTGCAGAATCAAAGCCTCTGCTCAAATGAAGGATTTCTCAAAAGCCAATGTGTCACCTTACCGGTCTCAGCTGCAGGCTGGCTCCTCCTCCCGGAAGCCGACTCACCTACGAGTTCAAGGCTGGCATTAAAATTTAGTAATTAAAGCTTTGTTCAGACCGCCTCATTTCAGAGAAAGGTGTGAAAATGCATGTGCACTGTCTAATAATAAAAAATAACCAGAAATAAAAAGCAGACTGGGATCAATATCATGGATGTGCACATAAATCCCTCTCCCTCCCCTCTGACCTTTACTTTCCTCCTTTGGCTGTCTGGCCTTTTTATCATCCTATTTGTTCTGTTTCTATTTCTTTCTTTTTTCCATGGTGGATGGGTGGACAAGTACAACTGTGCAAAAGCAGACCAATATGAATAATGATGCGAATTTCCTAGACACATAATCCCCCTCCAGACTTTTTTGTAACATTGATTCCAATATGTATTTCAGCTGCTGCATCTTCGATCGCCTAAAGGTCATGTTTCCCACTCTATGATCCTTCCCAGAAGCCAACTGCAATGGGCATCATTTGGCTGCCAGTTTCCACCCCAAGATCCATGCCCTACTGTAACTCAACCTGTGCACATGTGACTGAATAATGCATATTCTGTCTCTGACGGAAGAGATGGAGGCAGACAGTTGGCAGAAGCCAACCAGCCCCAACCTGGTGCCCTCCAGGTGCTTGAGAGAACAACTCAAAGTCCAAGCCCAGCAAGCATGGCTAGCTAGTGCTGAGAGCTAAAATCCAAAACAGCTGGAAGGCAATAGGTTGATGAAAGGTGTCATGATCTATAATTTGGAGTTTTCCCATCTTGGACATGTGGCCCAGTCTGCCTTTACAGAAATGCTAAGGTGTGCTCCCCCAGGCGTTGCCAAAAATCAATCATTCAAATAAAATAGATGGTACCTACGGCACTGAGGGGATCCTCCTCATACCCACCTGTACAGGTGTAAATGAACCAGAGCCCAATAGTGAGGCAGATGCCGATGAGGAAGGCTGCAATAGCTATCCCAATTACTGCGGGGACTGTCTGGCCTGGAGCAGCTGCAGCTACAGAGAAGCGGGATATGGGGAGGATGTGTGGAGAAAGAGCACAAAAATTTGTTCTCACTCTCTGTCCAGGAAGGGGAGATGGGCCAGGGCCCGAAATGGGGTAATACAGAATGAAAAAGTCTGAGGATCAGAGTTCTTGCTCCAGCCCACAGCAGCAGGAATCCTCAACTCCACTCCCCCCCCCCCCAGAGCCAGGAGTAGAATTCCAGTCTAAAACCAATTTCAGTCCCCAAATCCCTGGGAAACAAGGCCAGCAAGAGAGCATGGGGATGTTTACTTACTTCGGACTACCTGAGTCTTCCGCTTGTGGGCTGCATCCTTTGGTGCTTTTCCTTGTTGTTTGTCTGGGACCTTAGCTGCAGAAAAAGACACCAAAGTCAAGGAAGGAACAGATAATCTGAGGGAGTGTCTGAAGAAAATAGCCTCTGGGTGGCAAGGGGGAGAAAAGAAATGAGTGCATAACTCTGCCCATCATTGCTACTTTGCTTCACTCAGGATGAACATGTAAGATGCCATTGGCAAAGTCTGGGCTTGTAGCATGTTGAGATCCAAGGCATCAATCTCCTGGGTAGGAGATGCTGGTGAACTACAAGCCCCATCATCCCTTGCCATTGGCCATGGTGGCTTGAGGTGATGGGAGCTGGAGTCCAAGAATATCTAGAGGGCTACAGGTCCACCACCTCTGCTCTGGAGAGATGCACAAGGAGACACTTCCATCTCCCCAGCAAGCAGGACTCCCCCATCAGTTTCTTTCAGTTCCTCACTCACTCTGCGGGGCAGTTCTCTCCAGCATGGAGCCAGGGTGCTGAACTGCAAGGCCTTCAAGCCAACAGCTCTCTCCTGGCTGCTATCTAGAACCCACAGGAAAGTACCTGGTTTCGGGCCAGGAAAGGCAGCTCGGAGTGGAGTCTCCACAGTCACTAACATAGGCTTTGTGATGGTGCGCTGGAAGCGGCTTGGGACCGCCTCCTCTTCTCCCTGGCAGGCCTCGTTCTCAGACTGACACTGAAACAAAAACCTGCCTCAGAAGAGTGCCTCATCCCAACAGTGGGAGGTAGGCCTTGGCCCAGTTACATCCCACCCGCTTCTCCATAAGCCCAGCCAGCTCATTTCTACAGCTAACTGGGAGGCTCTTTTGCACAGACCCATTCCAGAGGGTTTTCACCCCTCCAAGGGGTTTCACTTTCCTCTTTATTCCATCTTTTCTTAGGCACCACCCCTTCCACCCTCAGAGCAGAGATGGTCCAAGGATTTCTGGAAGGGGCCAGTCATAGCTGAGGGGCAAAGCACACAGAGGGGGCCCCATTCAACCCCCAGTCAAACATATCAAAGGAAAGACCTCTGCTTGAAACACTTGAGAGATACTGCCGTTCAGAGGAGGCTATAATAATAAGCTAAGGGGTAACCAACATGGTGCCCCCCTAGATACCAATTGACTACAATTTTCATCACCCCTGGCCAATGGCCATGCTAGCTGAGGTGCTGGGAATTGGGAAGCCAGTGTCATCATCGAGCAGAGGGCACCATTTTGGCTGCATCTGGGCCAAGTGGAGAGCTTGCTGTGGCATATCAGTTTCCTCCCTAAGCATCCCCAATCAGGAGAGCCTATTCTGAAGCAGTAGCGCTATCAGGCCCTCAGACAGCTGCTAGAAGACAGGGTTCCCTAGCCCAGGGAGCCAGAGACCTTGGGGATTGCGCCCTTGGGTCTGGCGGAGTCCTGAGACCCCCTGCTGCAGAGCGTCAGACGGCAGTGCAAGAAGTGGATGGAGGCATTGGACCGTGGTTTCAACACAAAGCTCAGTCGCTGGCGTTCCTGGTACCCCAGAGGCAATGCCTGGGCCTGGCCTGGCAGCTCGGGTTTCCACAGCCTGACTTGGGCGGCGGCCACAGGACAGCCATGCTGGACCAGCAGATACACGGAGGCCTCTGAAGCATCTGAGGAGCTAGAGATGAAGCACTTCTGGATGGTGAAGCTGAGAGATGAGTCATAGGTTGCCAAGGAAGCCTGGAGGAAAAAGGAAACGCCGTCTAGTCTGCAAACACAAGTGCCAGTTTTGCTGCCAACGTTTTCTGAATGCTGCACTGAAAAGCACATGAATCTGATCATTGGAGAGTCTGTAAGTAAACCATTTTGAACTTGCCACACACATGGTATTTTCTATGCCAGGAGAAGAGGGGAATTTTGGAAGGAACTTAGAAAGTCATATTCTAAGAATAACAACCTATATTTCCATGCTTTACTTTGCTAGATGTTTGTTGTTTTAAATTTCTGCTGGGGTTCTCTCACCAAAGAATACTTGCCCCAAACTTGGCTCTTGGCATCCAGGAATTGTCTTTTTATACCTATTTTTTCATTGCCAACCAACCATAAAGTTGGACCTTGAATTGGGCCGCAGTATGAAATCTGCTAAGTCTATTCCTTGCTGTTTTGCTTACAAAATCATGACCTTCCCTGGGATGCACGTTGCCCTTCTAAGCTGGTAAAACGTGATGGCAAATCACCCCTGTTACTTCGTCCCTTTGAGAGCTACAGTGTAAGTTTATCACCCCCCATAAAGCAACAAGCAGGTCAACTGCCCTGTTTGAGGCTCTGAGAGAGACAGGGAGTGCTGCAAACCACCAGATCTCTGGACAGAGGAGGAATCACTTAGGGACAAGATTCTGGCACGTAACTGCTGCGTCCAATGCCAGCTCTTGCATATTCATCGTCTGCTTTACCTCCACAAAGACAAGGCTGTTGGCTGAGACGACAAAAGGTCCAAGTTGCTTGGCAAAAGCCTCTGTGTTGTAGAGCTCTAGGTTAAGGAGGGCGTTGCCAAGGTGAAGGTGGGGATCCTGGAAGGCCGTTGCAGCTTCTGAGGGAGATATCTGGGTTGGAGAAGGTGAAACACAGGAGACCTGCAGGAGAAAAACAGGTCTGTGGAGCGGTATTGATGTACAACGGCAAGAGAATACCCACCCATCCACATCCACATGAAATGGCACTGTAGGAAATAGATTCCCTCTGTCCATCTGGAGATGTCATCCTTGGCTACTCACTCTCTGAGTGTCCTGGTTTTCAAGAATAGGTTTCTGGTCCCCAAGACACAAGATAGAGTCTGTCCCCTCTGTTTTGGCTGTAGACGGTGGGTAGGTAACGGAACCGTCCTCTCCCCCAAAGTCTTGCCTTGTCACCCCCCAGCCAGCTGTGTTGGCTTCTGCAAAGTCCTGTTGAGAGGCTGTGAAACTGGGAGGATGCAGAAATATGGGCCAAAAGAGTGTTGGCTCTTCTAGAGGAGGTGTGGCCCCTACAAAGGAAATACAGGTGTGTGGGTGTGATGCAATCATATGCCTTATACGCTGCTGCTGTTAATCAGAATATGATCTATTCCAAGCATCACCAGTGTGGCCCCAAAGGACACATGTGCCCAGCTCACAGAGGCCTTCTCTACAGTCTACAAGCTAGCCTCCCCTCCCAGCACTGAAATTAGGCTCAGAAGAAGCATTCTATTGGAGCCCATAGAATAGTTTGCAGGAGAGGAGGGGAGGGTACTCACAACATTTTCTCTGTTGCAGACTTACCCATGGGCCCAAGAATGTTGGCAACCCTGTATCTATTCCTTCTGTTACCTAAGTGAAAGGTCTGCACATTCTGACATAATATGGCACGCCTTCCTGTTCTCTTCCATGGGCTCAGCATTCAGAATGCAATGCAGTTTCATTTGCCCTTCTTGATTTTACCATTGTAGCCACAGCTGATTGCCTATTTGATGCCATTTATCATCCCTACGTGAATCCTGATTGGCTGGGATCACATAACGACTAGGAAATAAGCTCTCAAAAGGGTTTGGGAAAATGGCACTGAAGCAGCAAAATAACTGTTAACAAGCACCAAAATATATGCTTTGGCTGGGTGGGTGGGTGGGTACCATTTAAGCCCCCTTGGAAGCATACTTTTCATGCTGAAAATGTTTTGATTTGGTGCATTCCTAAAATAAAACTGAGGTTGTATACCCTAGGGTAAAAAGGTGCAGGAGGAACTGGAATATAAATGCCAGGAATCTACTGCAGCGGTCACTAGTGGTTTGCCTCTAAGCTGTCTGGTGGGCACTTTTCCCATTCATGTCCATTGAATCCCTCCAAACCTACCGTTCATCCCAACAAAAAGGAGAAACCTGTTCACCCGCTCAGCCTCAACGTAGGATGTAAAGGCAGGCAGATTCTGCTCCGTTGCAAACTGCAAAGGGTCGAGGGTCATCAGCCGAGGGGACGTCCGCTGGGTCACAGTCAGAGGCAGATCCATTTCTGTGCTGCTGACTGTGACTTTGTGCGAAGCCTAGAAAGGAATCCCAGCCTGAGTTACAATACAAGGCCCAGACATGGAGAGCAGCAGCAGCAGCAGGCACACCATAAACGAGAGACAGTCCAGGGGAATCAAATGGCAGCATGGAGACAGACTCCCAAGAGGGAGTAGCCTAGTGGGGTGGAGAGTTGGAGCCAGGAAGTAAGACTCCTTGGCTCACTTTAGCAAAAAAAAAATAAGGCTGGAGGAGGAGGAGGCAAACCTAGAGTTATAGGGAGAATGCAGAGGAAGCTTATGGAAGAGGGTTGGTAAAGCTCACTAGTGGGCCTGTGAAGGCAGGAGTCAGCAGAATGAACCCTCCATAATATAACCCTTATAATAGCATGAAGCCAAGCATCTAAAATTAACAAACTGCTTCCACTAGGAAAGGTTGCAATTCTGCATAATGCATCTACAGTGGTACCTCAGGTTAATTAAGGAATAAATCCCACCCAGTTTTGTACTGATGTTGATGACACACTTGGCTATACAGTGGTACCTCAGGTTAAGAACTTAATTCGTTCCGGAGGTCCGTTCTTAACCTGCAACTGTTCTTAACCTGAGGTACCATTTTAGCTAATGGGGCCTCCCGCTGCTGCCGCGCCGCCATCGCATGATTTCTGTTCTCATCCTGAAGCAAAGTTCTTAACCTGAGGTACTATTTCTGGGTTAGCGGAGTCTGTAACCTGAAGCGTCTGTAACCCGAGGTACCACTGTATCTGGCTTTGAGCACATGTGTGCCCTGCTCCCTTCCAGATGTGTGCCACTGCCACCAACTTGGGGAGGGGGAGAGAGAGAAGTGTATTAGCTGGCCTAGAGCGTTACAGATCTATACCCAGAGCAGGTCCTGCCCCTACCAGGACATGCAGCCGGCCAGTGAGGCGGTGGGTGTGAACCATCCACTCAGCAGCTCCCTCACTCTTCAGTATCAAGATCAGTCCCCAGTGGGGGGGCCTTCGGACAGCATGAAGTTCCACAGTCAAATGAGCCAGGGTGGGCCTAGAAGAGAGCAGGCTGCCCCCCCCCACACACACAACAGGATTAAGCACATGATGGAAGCCAGTGAAGCCCCACGCCACCCGTCCCCCAACTCAGAGATGCCTGCCCAATATTCAAGGCCTAATACCAGCCACTGTCGCTACTCGTTTTTGGCTCAGTGTCCATCTGGCCTTGACTTTCGGGGGAAGAGCCGTAGCTAAGTGGCAGGGCAACTGCTCTGCATGCAGAAGGTCAGAGATTCGATCCCCATCATCTCCAGACAGAGCTGAGAAAGACATGGGAGATCTGCTGCCAGTCTGTGTCAGCAGTACCAGGCTAGATGAACCAGCTTCCATGTTCCTGTTTATTATATCTTATCCATTTTAACACAAGGGTCACTTATCATAGGCAGCTTCTTGCATAGGTTTCATTCTTCCTCACCATCCCCCTTCCCCATCTACACTAAGAACAATTTCAACCTCCCTGTTCAAGACACGGCATCTCGTTATGAACATTTTGCCAACCCCCCGCCTCCCCCCCCCCCGGTTCAACAGCCGCATGCTGAAGCTCCGGCGATGCCTCCCTGGCACGCACCTTGGTGCAACTCCTTTGGAGAGGATGATGTGAACTTCAAGGACTTGCGGAGGGTCAGGATGCAGGCAAACTCTCAGAGGCTGGAGTTGGCACTTGGAGGCAAAGTGCACTGGGGTCAGGAAATTCCTACTTAATCTGCAAGCGGCTGGGGCAATCCGATCTGGAGAAGGAAAGGAATGAAGCATCTGGACTGAATGGTCACAGAAGAGCTGCTGCAATTTACTCTTTTTTTTTTGCAAGCAATGCAAACTCTTTGGCAACTGCTCTCCAGTTGATACTGGTGAGTCTTATTTATCTGTGCCGTGTATATATTACATCTTCCCTCTATGATTGCAGTGCACAGATCTTTCCTTCCTGGATGGTCTCCCTATAAGCACTGACCAGACCCAGACCTGCACAACTTCTGCAAAGTTACTGCATTAGCCCAGGACCCAAAAGACCAGCTGGCTGCCTTCCTCCTGCAGTAGCGAAAATGGGGAACCTGTGTCTCTCCATATGTTGCTGGACTGCAACTCCAATCAGCCCCAGCCAGGGTGGCCAGTGGTCAGGGATCGGGAATTGTAGGAACACAGCCATAATGCCACCCTTTCCCTCAGAGCCGATATCTACCCTCATTGCCCATGCCAGCCCCCAGGTGTGTGTAGATTCTGTTGACTCCACGGTATTCAGCCAGAGAGGTGACCCCTCCATGCTCCCTCCGTGCCCACTTCAGCAGGCGTTTGGGCGTCTTTGGTAAGTTGGTCTCAGCAGAAGCCACTGGCCCCGGGGCTGAAACATTAGAGCCAGGGGAGACCTGTAGATAGGAGGAAGGCAAAGGTAAAATATACTAGCCTGGAGAACCTCCCCCCTCTCTGACACCCCACGCTGGGGAGTGCATTAAAGTTGAACAGTTCTGCACTTTAATCTGGGAGATCTGGGTTCAAATTCCACCTCAGCCACAGACTCACTGGGTGGCCTTAGGCAAGCCTCCCTCAGCCTCAATTTCCCCCATCTGTAAAATGGGAAGAATAGGAACTTACTACACAAGATGCTTCTGAAGACAAACAGAGCTAGATCTGAAAGTATTTTGTAAAAGTGCTGTGGAGGTAGCAAATTAGCTTTTCCATCCACCCTTCCCATAGCTGCCACTCATCTTCTATGCTTGCATAGAGCAGGGACTCCAACGACCCCCTCAGTGATCCCCATGATGTTCTCTAGGCCCTTTGGCCCTCTATCCCATCTCACCTGGAAGGTCCAGTTTTTTCCAGGGGGAGACAGCAACACCCAACGCACAGGCTTCCGGGAATACAGCACAAAGATGGGGCCTCTGTCGTGGGGATCTGGGTCCAGAGTTATCAGAGTTACCTGAAAGAGGATCAAGGGGACAGGTACCTTCTCCATGCATGATCAAAGAGCGAAATGGAGAAGGGATTGGAAAAGAACCAGAGAAGGTAGGATATACCACCAAAGGCGGCCTAGCAACTTACCCCTTGGATGTTCAGCAGGTGAGGCATGTTCCCACCCCCAGCACTAAGCTGGCCCTGCGCAAGAGTGTTCCTCTTTGCTTCTCACAACTTGGCTAACCTAACGCTTCTGTGACTTAAGAGAGGCCCTGACAACTGTGAAGAAGTGACTGAAATGGAGTTTTGCCTTTTTGACTGACTGAGACACCTTGAACTGTAGTGCCAAGCTGAACGGCCATCTTGTTTGGGTATCCAATGGAGCTGTAGCAAGACCCATCATACAGCCTCATACATGGGAAGGTGGTATGGATGGGGATCTCCCATACCTGGCCATTTGCCGGCAATCCCTTCTTCAGGCTGATGACATGGACTTCTTGCCCCAGGGTAGAGCGGCCCCGGCTGGTGCATCCGGTGCCTTTTCGCAGTGATTCCCAGAAGCCGAGGACGGGATGTGGGGTAGAGGCAGACATGGGGAGGCAAGCAAGATGGTGCCAGGCGGCTGCAGGGGAGGAGAAGAGCAATGCTGGAAGAAACGGGGTTTCAGAAAAGTAGTTTCCAAAACTCTGTACATTTGGCATCCCCTTTCTCCCAAAACACAAAGTGCTCAGGTGCCTGAGCTCAAAATGATACACCAGCTTAACTTTTTTTCTTTTCTTTTTTTTGCATAATTCATTCTGTGTCTGAGAAACAAAAAATATGGAATATCTGGCCAATGACTGAGGATGATGGAGGGAAAAAATAAAACAAGGAAACTCTGGGGGAACTGGTATGATGGGACAGAAATGGATTGGTGTGCATTTCATGGTCCCCACACTGAGGGGGGAGGGTCACTGTGAATTGCTCCTAACAATGGCTTACTGGCTTATTTTTAGATTGTACAAGTTGTACAAGGGAAAAAAGTGTTTCTTTTTCAGCCAGCTATCCTTTCCCTCCACCAAGATACTATAAACTGTAAGGGGCTCAGTCTCCTCCTTCCCTTTAAATTCCTTTTCCAAAGGATACTCAGCATGTAGAGCCTTTGCTGGGTGGGAAAGTGGGGGTTTTTTTGGGGAGGGGTTCCTCCCTTTTAGTTCCATTCCCCCCCCCCCCCGTTTCTCCTGGGCATGTTGATCGCACTCCTCTTGTTTTTCAGTGGTCATGTTTGGCACTCAACCCTATTAAAGAGAATTATTATTTAAAGTCTGTTTTCATTATGAAGATGAGAGCATTGTCTTTTGCACTGACTGGCTGCAGCTCTCTAGGGACAACCTCAGTCCTACCTGAAGATGCTGGGAAATGAAGCTGGGACCTACTTCATGCAAAGCAGGTGCTCTAACCACTGACCATTCATTTTACGAATTAAATAATTACAGGGAAGCTGCTAGCCCTGCACGGGGGCTACACATTACATACACAACAATAAGACTGGGTGAGAATGTGGTGGCAGACCAGACTATATACTATTCTGAGACTACAATGTAAAAAGTTCCTTGTAATAGGAAAGCTAACACAGTAGGGAGCCGGCTGGGCTGGTTTGTTGCCTTTCTACCAAGGCAATTTTCAATTTAAAATACTGGAAGGAACAAAAGCTACCAAATATTCTCAGGGCGACCTCAGGAGCTGCCTGGCCTGAGCTCTCTCGTTTCTGCCTATGCTTCTGGGCAGAGTTATTAAGTTGCCCCAGGGAGCTAATTCTTTCTCCTCAGTGTACTAGAATTTTACACACAGACAGCTTTAGGGGGGAGGGGTTTAAAAAAGACACACACACACACCATCTGCAGCCTGAAATGGTACAATTCCATTTAGCACATGAGGATTCTACCAACTCAACCTGCCTTAACATTCCATGTGAAAGAATATGCTCTGGCACCATGAGAAAGGAACAGAGAGCTGTAAAGGTAAAGGTAAAGGGACCCCTGACCATTAGGTCCAGTCATAGCCGACTCTGGGGTTGCGGCGCTCATCTCGCTTTATTGGCCGAGGGAGCCGGCGTACAGCTTCCTGGTCATGTGGCCAGCATGACTAAGCCGCTTCTGGCGAACCAGAGCAGCGCATGGAAACGCAGTTTACCTTCCCGCCAGAGCAGTACCTATTTATCTACTTGCACTTTGACGTGCTTTCGAACTGCTAGGTTGGCAGGAGCAGGAACCAAGCAACGGGAGCCACCCCGTTGCAGGGATTTGAACTGCCAACCTTCAGATCGGCAAGTCCTAGGCTCTGTGGTTTAACCCACAGCGCCACCCACGTCCCACAGGGAGCTGTACCAGATACCAAAGTACAGTTGCAGGAGTGTTCAACGTGGATGTTTCCCCCCCAATTTGGGAATGTGAAGAAACAGCAGAAGTACCTTACAGCAAGTGCAGAGTGCCTTCCCCTCACCATTCAGAACAGAAACTATGACTCCTGGTCAACTTTGGAAGCCTGGGCTCTTCTCTTTATAGGAAGCAACCATGGTCGGCTGGCTATGAATTCAGCAGATAGCTTAACAGCCTCTGTGCTATAAACAACCCACAGGCAGCATCTACCTGCCCTATGGTAATCAATGTCAAAAACAAATACTGAGTGCCGAGCTGGAGATTAAAAGTGCCCTTAGCTGTGTGTACTTGAAATTGCATCCTGTGAAAAATAAGCAGGTACAGAATGAAGGACACTCTGTAAATCCAAGCTGCTCACTGAAGGTACATCCAATAAAGAGAAGCAGGACAAAGGGCATCAGAAGCATCATGCAGAATTGGGAAACCCCTAGTAAGGTAAAGGTAAAGGACCCATGAATGGTTAAATCCAGTCGAATTTGACTTTGGGGTGCAGCGCTCATCTCTGCTTTCAGGCTGAGGGAGCTGGCGTTTGTCCGCAGACAGCTTTTCCATGTCATGTGACCAGCATGACTAAACTGTTTCTGGCACAATGGAACACTGTGACAGAAACCAGAGCACATGGAAATGCCGTTTACCTTCCCGCCGCACCAGTACCCATTTATCTACTTGCACTGGCATGCTTTCGAACTGCTAGGTTGACAGGAGCCGGAACAGAGCAATGGGAGCTCACCCCATTGTGTGAATTTGAACGGCCAATCTTGCGATCGGCAAGCTCAAGAGGCTCAGTGGTTTAGACCACAGCACCACCCACGTCCCTCAAACCCCTAGTATAAAACCCCATTGAATACATTTATACTCTGACAACTTCATCTACCTATTCTGCTGCAAGGGAAGAAAATTTGACAAGTCCAAATGGCTCTGTGTGAGCGCACACATGTCTATTTAGCAAAGTTGAAAGACCTGCTCTACATTCAAGGTTTCAAAGAAAAATGTATTTTAAGACTGCTAATTTCTTTTTTACATGTACACTTCAGGATACATACAGCAATGTATCCTGGACAGCTCCCCTATAATAATGTTTTTGTTTTGTTTTGTTTTAGCAAAACGTTTTACACCTTTGGTGTGGATAATTATTGTGCAGCCCATTTAAATGTTTACAATAGCCACTCTGTTAGACTTTACCTGTCCCAGAGCACCCCCAGACGACAAGCAGCAGGAGGAGGTACTGTCTCCATAGGTGATCGATATGCAGGCAGTTTCTATGCATGGTGTTCAGAACCCAAAGAAAACCTGTGATTTCCCTCTTGTTCCACCCTAGGAAAGAAAGCAAAGCCAGGGCAAGAAAGCACAGGAGTTGAAGGGAATGCCGTCGCACGACCTCTGAGCTACTTGGAAACACTTTCCAGCCCTCAAGACCTCATACCAGTCAATTTGTGGTTCGGATTTTGGGACAGAACTTCAACATTTCCTCTCTCCATTCCTGATCTATCTGCTACAGAAACAAGCATACAGACCATACTCAGTGTCCCTTAATACAGATTATACATTCCTTCAACTATCCTGTCATATGCGCAATCATAGCAGGATGGGGTGGTGGAAGGATTTCATTTTGGTGCAGTGGGTGCTTCTGCAATTGTAAGCAGAGGGGAAGGTGGTGGCCACCCTTCCGATTAACCCCACAAAGTGAAAGGGTATAGCATATAGCCAGGTCTCCAACCTTTTCAATCTGAGCAAACAGTCAGAAATCTAAGAATACCCATTTCACTGAAGAAAAATGGGTGATGCTCAGACACCCCTCCCTCATCCCCAGAAACCAGACTAAACACCTACCCACTCAAAAGAAATAAAAGTGACACAAAAAGCAGGCAATGTCTCCCCCGCAAAAAACCCCCACTCTCTTCATCACAAAAAGCCTCAATTTCTTTAAAAAAAAAATGGGGTCAGAGGATCTTGGCTGGCACCAAGAGGAGGGCACTATGATGATCATGAGTGACACCCTGGGGACCCCAGAGCTTACCCTGCTTCCAAATTGTTTACTATCTAATAGCTTCTACTCCTTGAAAATGGGAAGATGTGTGAGCCTAATCCAGATCATCGGTCCACTTTGCTCAGTATTATCCACTGTGATGATCTGTCTCTAGCAAGAAGGATTTTGCCCAACACTTGCTTCTCAGTTCTATAGACTCGATCTGCAATCTTTCTCTGAAGACAACTTACTCTCCCTCACCTTCTGGTCCCAACTTCTGTCAGTCAAAAAGGCATTCTTCCCTCCTGTCTCAAGTTTCCCACAAAAACTTCCCTCCCACCTTTATGGCTCTGTTTTAAAAGAAGGATGCATTGAGACAGCAAGATTCAGTGTTACAGGATTAGACTGGCTGTAATTAAAAGTTTCCAGGACGTGTTCCACCTCCCAGCAAGCCAAGCTCCCGACTGTGGAGAGGGAATGCCAGAGGAACACTTACCTTGCCCAGCAGAGCTCTCCCACTGCCAGTGGATCTAGATGCAGGTTAGGAGAAAAATAGAGGAGGAGGAGGTTGGACAAAGTGCTACCTGAACTGAAGGACAGGAAGCAAGTGGGAGGACTCGCAGCGCTTAATCCAGGGGATGCAGAAACCGTGAGCCAATTCAAGGCCTCCTATCTCCAGACTGGCATAGTTTAATGAACAACAATAATAAAAAAGTTATGCGGGTCAATGGGAGGTTAAAAATAACTCTAGGCCCACAAGGAGGGTCAAGTTACAAGTGAGAGGGGAGGAGGGCATGGTTTATGTGGCAAGCTGTTTATTTCTAAGGGAATTCAGCAGTGGAGGAAAGGTATTAAGAAAGCAGAGACTTACAAGAAGAAGCATCCGCTCCCTTTCCCTCTCTTTGTGTGTCTGTCTGTCTCTCCTCCCTTGTCAGATCCCAGGAACTCACCGTGCGAGTGGCAGGTTCATCACCCCCTCCCTGTAGCAGGGAGATGGCTCCCCCCCCCCAAGCAGGGAGCCATCAAGCAAGCGACCTTCACCCCGAAGGATGTCCCACAGAGTGAGAAACACAAGGCAAGCCCCCGCTTGGGTTACCAAGGAGATTGGGGTGGATTTATGATTAACGCAGGCAGAGGAGGAGACTTCCTGAGAGGCATCGGCAGGTATGCTATGCTGAAATCTGGGTCAGCGTGACCTGCCTACCACCCCAGTGAGGTAGGGCCAGGAAGGAGACGTTCCTGGTATCTGTCCTGGCTTTAACAGATCACTAACCAGGGGACAGAGAAGAGGCAACAGGGAAGCAGAGGAGTTCCAGTCGCGACAAGGAGGCCTGAGGTAACTCGCGCTTTTATACCAGCAGGCAGGGAAGGTATCATTGCCTGTCAAGTGCCGCTACTCCTTTGCAAGAGATCCTGTCAGATGGACAGGACAGAACCCAAAAAGCAGGAGGAGCAGGCCTCTCTTTCTACCTGCCTGCCAAGCACCTGGGTAGAAATTAGGCAGAGAGGGCTGCACGCAGCTCCAAGGCCACAGGCTGCCTGTTTACAAGATGTTCATCTTTCCCAGAATGCTCTGGCAGACTCCAAGGCCTTCTGGAAAAAAACGAACAAGCCTGACGCAGGGAGGGATAAACGTAACCCAGGTGATTCATCCAAGGCCACAGACAAAGGCAGCAGCAGGCCTCAGAATGCACTGCCCCATCCTACACCTCCTGAACAGAGCAGCTGCGGAAGTCTGTCGTAGCAAAAGCAATCAATATAAGGGTAGCATAAGCATGCTGCGGACTATACGTTGCATGCTGTCCATTGCATAAGGTGCATGGAAGACCACTGGGCAGTGCTTGGTTACCATTAAGACTGGGTTGGAGAAAGTCTGGATAAGGGATTGCACAAGTGGTTGTAACTAGATTCACTAGATTTCCAACAGGAGTACCTGGTATGCCCTACGGAGGACCCTAGAGTCTGCAAACAATAACATCTTGGGAGGACCCGGGCCTCAAGGAGGTTAGGCTGGCCTCGAACCAGAGCCAGGGCCTTTTCGGCCCTGGCCCCAGCCTGGTGGAACACCCTGCCGCGAAAGACTTGACATCTCTCCACAGGGCCTGTAAGACAGAGCTGTTCCGCCAGGCCTTTTGTCAGGGCCCAGTCTGACCCCTCTCCTCCTACAAGACCCTACATATAATAGGTCTCTCTAATTCCTCTCACCGGTTCATATAAATAGCTGAGCCTGGTGTGTACCTAAGGTTCCCAACCCCTATAGTCATAATTTGCCGGTTGCCTTCTGATCTTATTTGATTTTAATCCGATTTTAAGCTGTATTTCAGTCAATTGCTGAATTTTATGTTTTAATGTATTTATATTTTGATGTTAGCCGCCCTTAGCCTGGTTATGGCGGGATATAAATAATAATAATTATCATCATCCCCATCATCCTACAACTGAATATAGAACATAAAACATTTTCCAGATGAGAACCTACAGTAAGTGTTGCAGACTCCTCAGACACCCAAAGTTAAGTAGCCTCATGGCTTTTCAAGACTGGCCCGAGGGTGCTCCCACAGGGGCTCACCTGATCCCTGCCACTCCAAAGGGGGTCAAAACTCCTATTAACTTTTTACTGGCCATGTCTGTTCCTGGGGGAATCACGGTATGGATTACTCCTGTGAACCGCCCTGAGACCTGCGGGTTTAGGGCAGTATATAAATTTGATTAATAATAAATCCAACACCTTTAGAGAAAAGAATTTCACAGGAACCTCCTTGCCTTTGAAAACTCAGTAACCCAAAACTGGTTAGTTTGCATACAATCATTTTATATTAGACTAGAAATCCCATGTTATGATTTGTTTCACTCCCTCCCCCTCTATCTCATCCATGGAATTTCTCTCTCTCTTATAAACTTTGTTTACTAGTCGTACATAAGAATGTGGCATAGTCATTTCTGGAAAGTATGTCTGAGTGAGCAGAGTTCTCTACTGCAGAAGTGTTTAATTATGGAAGATTAAACGTCAAGCCAGCCCTGCTTTTTATTATTGAGGTTCATAGCCTCTCTTCCCTCCCCCCCACCCCCACCCCCAAATTGGCCATGGAGTCTCTCTATTCCTTCCTTTCTTGCAAAAACAGTTGTCAGTCCCTCCTTGCCAATGCCTGATACACTTCTGGGTCCGCGGATGGGTGGGGCTACATTGGCCTTTGCCTTTTCATTTGCAGACATGGAAGGGAGGAAGGGAGGGAAGGAGAAAATATTAAGCCAGACAGAAAGCAGAGAGTTGACCTAAACTGCTGGACAATACAGTGGTAGTGGAACAGAGGAAGTTTTGTGGGGTCTCATACAGGGTGGCATACACAGCATACATTTAAAGCACATAACTCTTCCCCCAAATAATCTTAGGAACTGCAGTTTAAGGGAACTGGGTATTGTAATACCGAGGAATAAACTAGAGTTCCCAAGATATATATGTCATATAACTAACATGCTAGGAACACAAGGCTCTGGGTCTTAAAAGTATTGTGAAGGTGTAACAAATTACTACTATATTATATTTGATTGTAAATGGTGGAGTGCAACATGTTAACTGGACCTTTGTACCTTTGCAAAGTTATGGGCTAAACGGAGCTGCGCTCCAAGGTTATTTTTCAAAAGCAAACTTGAGAATGGGACCATTTGAACTGCTCGCATGGAAGTACACGGAAGCAGGAGTGTTCAAAGCCCAGGTTTATTTAAAGCTCTTATTCTTCACATCGGTGTCCTGAATTCAAGATTGTTGTTGTTTAGTCGTTTAGTCGTGTCCGACTCTTCGTGACCCCCATGGACCAGAGCACGCCAGGCACTCCTGTCTTCCACTGCCTCCCGCAGTTTGGTCAGACTCATGCTGGTAGCTTCAAGAACACTGTCCAACCATCTTGTCCTCTGTCGTCCCCTTCTCCTTGTGCCCTCTATCTTTCCCAACATCAGGGTCTTTTCCAGGGAATCTTCTCTTCTCATGAGGTGGCCAAAATATTGGAGCCTCAGCTTCACGATCTGTCCTTCCAGTGAGCACTCAGGGCTAATTTCCTTAAGAATGGATGCGTTTGATCTTCTTGCAGTCCATGGGACTCTCAAGAGTCTCCTCCAGCACCATAATTCAAAAGCATCAATTCTTCGGCGATCAGCCTTCTTTATGGTCCAGCTCTCACTTCCATACATCACTACCGGGAAAACCATGGCTTTAACTATACAGACCTTTGTTGGCAAGGTGATGTCTCTGCTTTGGTTCCCACCATCTTGAATTCAAGATGGTGGGAACCAAAGCAGAGTGACCAAGAAACAAAAGGGAGGTTGAGCGTGCTCGGCTGAAATCTGCAAATGTACAAAAATATCATTTAAATATAAAATCTAAAGGGGATCCCCTCTTCCCCATCAATACCTAGCTCAGTGAGGACAGACCATGCTCCCTTGTTGTTGTCAGACGGAAATGAAAAATGTGAAATATATGCGAGGAGCAAAGGAATGGCATATCCTGGAGGGAGGGCAAAGCTGACTGGCTAGCTGGAAGTGTGAACAAGAGAGCTCATGTTAGGAAGGAGAGAGAGCGCCATGTGGCATACAACCCAGAGTAAGGAGTTCTGCTTGCGCAATGGAACAGTCTCCTCTCCTCCTCCTGCCTGCTGTTCTGGAGTGGGGCAAAGCCCTGTTGTGCTAGTGACAAGTCCTTGCACAGGCTTCTGCTAGTATAATTGAATCTGTATCATGTGATCAAGGTCTTCCTGTCCTGAGTCCATTCAGCCTAGCATCCTTCTTCCTACAAGAATCAGATCCTAATAAACAGATGATCTGGCTCAGTAGGGCAGCTCGTGTTGTCTTCAATAATATGTGGTTCAGACTGTTACTAAATCAGATACATTAGCCTCGCCACAAATTGTAAACGTTTTAACATACAGTACTGCATTTATGTTAAAACAGTCTTCAAAGAGCCCAGTGAGGAATTTTAGTCTAAATGTACAGTACATGGGAAAACAAACAAGGGTTTTAGCAAACCACAAGCTAAACTGGAGTCAGAGTTCAATGCAGTGGCTAAAAAGACAAGCGTTTCCAAATGGGTTGGGATTCTTTTTTGGGGGGGAAAAACAAGCAAATGGATCTGTACATTGGAGGTTTATTTGTATTTTTTTTAAGCCTGGGGGGATGTCGTTTTAAAATCTATTTTGTTTTTATTGTATAACTGCAAATTGCCTTGAGGCTTATGTGAAAGTACCGTATTTTTCGCTCTATAAGACGCACCAGACCACAAGACGCACCTAGTTTTTGGAGGAGGAAAACAAGAAAAAAAATATTCTGAATCTCAGAAGCCAGAACAGCAAGAGGGATCGCTGCGCAGTGAAAGCAGCAATCCCTCTTGCTGTTCTGGCTTCTGGGATAGCTGCGCAGCCTGCATTCGCTCCATAAGACGCACACACATTTCCCCTTACTTTTTAGGAGGGAAAAAGTGAGTCTTATAGAGCAAAAAATACGGTAATAATGCAACCCTGAGCTGCATCAACAGGAGTTTCGGTGTCCCATTCAGGAGTAATGGCACCACTCTAGAATGCTTTGGTCACTTCACCTGAGGAACAGGGCGCTACAATTTAAGGAAGAGGGCAATAAAGATGATGAGTGAGCCTGAGACCAAGGCTGATGAGGGAAGGTTGAAGGATCTGGTTTGGCTGTGTGGGGCAGAGCGGACATTACATATTTGACAGGTTGCCACATAGATGGAGCAGGTTTGTTGCTCCAGAGTGTGTGACCCAAAACAATGGGTTTAAATTACAAACATTAGGAAGAACGTCCTGAACTGTTTTGACAGTGGACAGTGGACTGCCTCAGAAGGTGGACTCTCATCTATTACAGGTTTTTAAGCAGTTTTTACGCTATCTCAGATGCTGCTGTTGTGGGGTCCCTTCATCAGCACTAAATGCACTTTGATGCTCTTCCAGCTCTTTGATTCTAGCACCCGGTGCAGTAGGTAAAGCTGAGAAACCAGTCCTTCTTGAAAGAGTTCTAAGTGAGCTTCACAGCTGAGCAGGGATTTGACTCCAAGTCAAGAACAGAAAAGAAAAAGGATAAGAGAGGAAGGCTGTGATAGGAAGACATAGCAAATGTAAAAGGCCCAGATAGGAGAAAAGAAAGCTGAAGAAGGATGGGGGAAGAAATTATAGTAGATGGGTAAAAATACTTTTGAGAAGAATGTGGAGGTGGGGAGGGGAAGATATAAAAGAATAAGCTTTCTGCATTTTGATTCTGATTCAGCAAATTCTGCCTAAAATGGGCAGGCTGAGTCACAAAACCTCCAGAGCAAATGTACTGAACTTGAGGAAAGATGAGCTCCTAGTCGCACAAAAAATGCTTCAGCAAAGAATTTAGTCAATTTTCTAACATGGATTAGGTATCAGTAAAAACCATCACCAGTAATTATCAAACTCTGCTTCCATTTTGTGAGTGGTTCTGCTGCTGCATCACTGTTCGCCTCAGCAATTTTCAGCTGTCTCAAGGTAAGGCAAATGGACTATCCATGATTCTGGCTTGATTCATCCCCAGAACATAACCCCCATGTAAGTTGAGTCTCACCTCTATGACAATTTTAGCATTTGTACTCTACATGTTAAACAAATGCAGGGGACAGGCCAACAGGTCACTGTTTCCCAAGTTTACGACAGATGACATGTGGCAAATGTATTCAGCACATTACGTTCCAATAGTCAATTTGCATGATTTAACGTTGCACCCAGAAACTGCTACGTTAGTTTTAACTGTAAACTGCTTGGAGGCCTCTGTACAGCCCAAAGACCAAATATGATTTCCCCTCCATCTTCAAATTATCAGTTACCCTTCTACTTTGAATGACAAAACAGATATTGCTCAAATTAATGCATTCACCACTTGCTACTCTCTTCTGCTTGTTACGTTACACATTTTGTTTTCTCATATTGTAAATCGCCCTGTGATCCTTGGGTGAAGGACAGTATAGAAATTTTAATAATTAATACTACTTACTTATTCCAAGCTTCAAGTTTGTCAGATATCTCAGCACTTCCTACCTCTGAAATATCAATCTTTTAGATCAGGAGTGGGAAGCCTTTATTAGCCTATGGGTCACATCATTCCTTCCTGGGCGACCTCTGGGGATGGGCAGCAGAGACAATGGGCAGAGGCAAAATGTGGGTGAAACAACAAATGTGAACTTTACCTTTGGACAGTAGGCTAGCTTCCACATATATATGCAGCCCCTCTCTGTCCTTCATTCATGCAAGAGGAGCTATAAGAATTCAAGGACACATTTCAGACAGTCAAAAACTAGTAGAGGAGGATGAGAAGCTGGGCAGGAGTGTGTGTGGACTGGGGGGAGTCCCAAAGGCTAAAGAGAGAGACCTGGAGAGCTGCACTGAGTCCCCTTAGCCTCAGGTTCTCCACCCATTTAAAACCATGATGGAGTCCCTTAAGGTTGCCAGGATGCCTTTCTTGTTGATTCCAAGTACAAAATGATTCATGACTTAGAAGTTCATTCTGGGGAAGGAAGCTGCTTTAAAATTGTGCATGAAATGGAAAGAAACAGACATTTAGGGAAAGAGAGTTTTATTTTTAAGCTTCTATGAGGGTTTTTACAAACAGAGTAAAAAAAAAGCTTTTCAAAAGTAAGCAAGAATGTCATTTACCTTATACTATTGTAGGTATGTTTCTAAATCCAAAAGTTCCACTAAAATTGATCAGACTGGCCTCGCTGCTTGGAGGCAGGCAACTACTTCTGACAAGCTGTTTGGACTGCTGACGGGGAGGTGGGGTGCTGACTAGGAAAAGGAAAGTCTCTGTTCTAAAATTTGGTGCATGCCAAGCAGTGGGCAGTGAAATTTAGGACAGTGAAATCGCACTGAGAGGTGACTAGCAAACCATAACTGGAAATAAGTGACACTGAACTGTCCTATGTTGCTGGACTGAACCTACAAGGTTGGGTCCCATAGAAAAGAGTGTTTCACAAAGACTCTTGAAGACACCCCAGGGAGATACTATTCTCTTATTATCTTTTAAAATCCAAGGTACAACTGATATTTTAAAAAGGGCAACTGCTCGATTTCTGATTTCTCAGCATGTAGGGAAAGCAAGGAGCTCAGCAAATTATCCACTCACCTCCAAAACTGGCCAGAGGGCCTAGGGCACTCTAAGCCTGAAATCATTTAAAATCAAATCATAAATCAGAACATTCCTCTTCTGAGACAAACTCCAGTACTTACTTTATTGGAATTTACTCAACATGTTATCCCTGGGATAAGCCATTTCCATGCTTTCGGAACGTCATTATAACATCTAGCATACTAAGCCACATTAAACCTTTTCTTGCCCGTGACAAATGGCTCTGGGAACAACTGGTGCTGGTGGGGAAAAACCCTCCAACAAGATAAAGAGGGTCCATTAACCGGACATTAAACTGGAAGTAAGTAAGGAGAGCTACTAATAAAATGGCCTGCTGTGGGGATAGGAAGGAGATGGTTATGCTATTAAAAACTCCACAAACTTCCAAACAAATAGCTGAAATACTTTGGTATATAGAGCATTACTTTCTTTTTAAAATGGTTTGGTTTACAGCACCAATGTGAAGCTAGAGCCAAATTATTATTTTTTAAAAAATTAAGAACCACTCTACAGGTAAGTGTATATATATATATGGTGACAATTTTGTTGTTTTTAAGAAGCTCCCCTTAAGCAGGATAAACAAAACAGGACTTCTCTCCAGACCTGATCCCAAAGTTCTCTGAGATAACCATTTCTCCAAACTTCACTGTGTGAGTGTACAAACCATCTCTAAAACTAGGATGTGACAGAAACAAGTAATGTGAACTGTCTCTCCTAAGTCCCTTTCCTCTACCTACAGGCACCCCCCATCAGTTCATGTTGCATGCCAATTCCTATGCTACCATCCTGAAATATTGTGTTCTTGTATTTGGGCAAAATCCACTACAGCTACAGAGGAACAGTATTTTCTCTCTACTTGGGAATAAAACTCAATATTGGCAGGGTGTCTGCAAGTTCTCCAACTCATCTCCAGGTCAATCTTCCTCTTTTACAGGGCTATAAATTCTCATGTTTTTGACTGCAACTCTTGTGAATCGGGTGTTTGGAGAATAACCTAGAACAGCTTGATCTACATTAGAAAAAAAAATTCTTAAAAGGTAACTGACTAGCACTTGTTTTACATTAAAATTCTGAAGCCAGCAGGCACGCATAAATATTCAACTTATCAGCTTAATTATCATTTTAAAGCAAATTTCATGAATTCTTCAACACAGAGTTTGGTCAATCTGCATAATCATGATTCTCTTGATTTCCAGCCTCAGTCCTTCTTCCAATATTACCTATGAGCAACTTCACCGACTCTTATCCTTATGATATTGAATCCTGGGAATTTTAAAGTTACATGATTCCAAGACTTCGCGTGCCCAACCACAGCCCAAGCATTTCAAGTCTCTTAGAGAAGAATCAAGCACTGGAATTAATTTGGACTGTGGTCTGCAACCTGAAATTAAATCTGTTTGTGATGCTCCATTCCTCCACTTTGAGAAAACAGTCTACTCACCAAATACTATAAATGAAAAATACACCCTCCATAAGAAGTCAAAGAAAGGGAAGTTTTAAAAAATAAATTAAACACACACACACACAGTTCCCTGTGGGCAATAAATAAATGTGCACAAAAGTGTAGCTTTGATTACTTGGAACTAACATGAGGGAGGTTGGTTGAGCAAGCAAAGCTAAACTGCTGGCCGTCTGAAACCTTCTGACTGCTCACATGAGTACAGCATTGTCCTGGTGGATGTCCGTGATACAAAGCTTCCAGGTGTTTCCATGACGCCGATTTCAGTATAACAGGTCAGCAAAGGAAGATACAGCATTGGAGAAGATACAGCAAATTGGCTACTAGTTCTATGGTGGCTGCAACTCAAGTCAATTTGGCTGCCACCACTCAGTAGCTCTGCTCTCAAAACCCTCTATGAAACTTTGGATCATGCCCTTTTTAATGAAAAGGCAGCAAAGCAAAAGTTTGGTGGCTACAAAAATAAAACAAAATACAAAAACAAAATCAAGCAGCCCCTAAAGCTTAAGGTGTTCAGGCAGTCCTGAATCAAGACAAGTGACCAAATTTACAAGTAATCCAAAGTTAAAGTCCCTTTCTGTATAAGATAGAAGTTACTTCTATTTACTTTAACATGCAAATTTATAATATATGGTATATAGAGAATATAGTGAAATGCTAATGTCTAGAATATAACCATCTACCCAGCTAGTCTCTGCCTTACCTTTGGCATGATTTTTTTTTTTTACAGTTTTGTTTGTTTTAAAATCCCCCATTTGAATTGCATGCACCACACGCTGCACACCTGTGCCCCCCCCACCCCAATATCCCCACACACTTTAAGAGCAGATGTCAGGCAGGCGATTGTAAACATTTAGCCATCCAGATTAAAAATAACATTAACAAAGATTTGTTCTAAATTAATACATTAAAAAAATAATTTAAAAAATGCAATAAAACTGCATTTTTTTCCTCAATTTTTCTTGAAAAGACATCTTGTGTTTTTGAACGTTTGAAAAAACCTTTAACGTTTCCCAAACCTATCCCACCCCTGTAAGCTCCCCCCACCATGGCAAGCTAAATTAAAACCTTCTTTTGAGAATGGAAAACACCCTTCCACATTTGAGAGTTAGGCAATCTCCTGATAAGAGGTTATTCTTGCTTTCTCTTGAAGTAAAGGGAAGATGAACCAGGCTCTTCAAGAGGTCAATTGTTTTTGGGTGGTCTGCCGTGTTTGAGAGCTTCAAGTCCAAAGGGAAATAGAATACTGTATCCAAACTCATTTCTTGAAAGGGACAAATGTGCAATTTTTTAAAGTGAACCCAGAAGCTTTCCGCTTCAAATGCTGAACAACAATCTAATAATTCTGAACCTGTGTAAATATTATGTTTTATAATCTACCCCCTCCCATTTTTTTTGAACACCGGCCATGTTCTCCATCAGGATAAATTTTCAGTTCACAAGAAATATTTTCAATTTTGAATTTTAACCTTAATTGACATTTGCACAACTTCTATTTTTTTTACAAAAAAAAAAATCTGATTTAGTTCTGCGACTTTACCAAGTCATTGTACTGCGTTTCATCTAATAGTCATTTTATAAATACTCAAGTACATACTTCACTATGTACTGAAGTACCTGCATGCAAACAGTCTAATTCCCTTGAAGACCCTTGCTGGTATCTTTTGCCTTGCTAAGACAAGAACACAAACTCAGACACCTGGAGAAATCTCTTGGTATCTCTTCTAGCTACTGCTCTGCTGTACATATGATGAAATGTGCAGGAAAAATCTCATACGTCACATTTCCAAACATGCAGGCAAATTTATTTCACAACTTTGTGGGAGGAGCACTTCTAAACCTTGACGTCTTGAGGCACTAGAGAAAGGAGAGCCAAAAGATTTATATATTTATTTAATGGCTGGAACAATCTTCCTGATGGAAAGTTAAAACAGCGCAAAGCTGAAGTTACTTATTTTAAGCAACTTTTTTTTAAAAAAGGGCTCTTTTCTTAAATTCCAAGTTCACAAGATACGACACAAATGTTCAATAAATATCCACTAAAAAAATCAACGGACAAAATAGCTTTTCAGGAGTTACATTACAGGAGGCACTTATTCATAGGACCTGACAGTTCCATCACTTGGAATCTTAAACGGAATAAAGCTTTTAGGAGCAGCAAAGCAGATACCTACAAATTCTTAAACACCAAGAAGAAACAAAACCCAAAAGCCATCTTTAAAGAGAAAAATCTCATCATTGCAAAGCCAATTCCATCATTAGGGGCACCTGCTTTCCATTAGCACTAGAAAACCCAGTGCTCTAATTCTTGTACTCTCAACTATCTTCCAACCAATGCTTCTTGATTTAAGATTTCCAGGGCCTAGCCAGCCACTAAAGATTAACCAATTCATGCTGGCAACTGCTAATAAAAAAGTTTTGAGAGGCTCTGTGCTCTAAAGCTAAACCATGGTTTTTAGGTCAAGCCAGAAGGTAGATCCACTGCTAGTTCCACTTTTAGATATCAGCCACTTTGGAAAGGTACCAGTGCCAGTTGTCATACCATGTATCACCAGTTCTCTGCCAACTAGTATGCTTCATTTGCTAAAGTACATTTCATAGAAGTCCAATGGAAGAACAGGTTGTAGAGCCAAAAGGAGGGCACACCCAGCTTTTAGGACAAGGCGATAAAACCGCTCCCATTGGACTGCTTCTACTAACCCTTTCTATTTATCTCTTTCCCACACCTTCTGTACTTCCCAGTACACACCGCACATTAACTTGACATCCAATTTTAAACACCACTTTCTTCTACACACAGCCCAGTGCCATTCTCAACTTGCACGTGCTGTTCTTCCACCTGGATCTCGAGTCCAACTTTTTACACTTACAATATCTCCTCTGTTCCCGCACCTGCGCCAGCATTCTCTACCCAAGGTGCTTCACTTCCCGGACAAAACGACAAGACACGCTCAGACCTTTGATGACTACCAGCCTGCTTTCCAAGATGAATTCTCAAAAGTGGTGACTAACTCCACAATTGCTGGACTGTGCAAAAGCAAGCAGAAGGGTGAGGGCCTATCACTGAGATAGATCATCCACGGAGAAGACTACTGCAACTGGTCCTACTGGTCACCAGGGCTTTAGTTCTCCTATGAGTTTCTCATTATATCTTTCAGACACTCTACCTTGTCCTCTGCTATAAGGGGTTTTAGCCTCTCCCCACTCCTTCTCTAGGCAGTTCAATATTTTGACAGTGTACTGCTCTTCTTGTCATCTTGTGGAAGATGCCCTAGAAAGCATGCTTTACTCTTCTCCAAACCATTTTTTGTGTGCAAGTGACATCTCAAATCTGCACCTTTATGGGATCATTCTTGTATCAATTTGAAGTTGGGAGGCCTGAACGATTCCTAACCAAAACACATTTCTGTGGCAAAATGATCTCCTATGCCCTTCACCCCGACAGATGATATCTCCAAGTAGTCTTAATGAGCTTTCTTGTTATTTTGCTCAAGTGAAACACAAAACTGCATTTCTACTATGTTTGTCCTCTACCCAAAGAGCTTCCAATACGGCAAAAAGATCTTGCTATTGAAAATAACAAAGTCTTTTGCCTATGCGGAACCACCCATTTATTTATTTTTTTGAAAAGCACGACTCAATATCTTGAAATCAAAACCATGTCTGGATGTACATTACTGACTCTCTAAATCAAAGTTTAGGAAGTCAGCAAACATCAGGCATGCATTCTCCCCCTTTACCCCCCCCCCCCCCGTGTTGGTGCAGAGATCCTGGTTAGTTTCAGCTGCAATTCCCCATTGTGTCTGAATTGGCAAACTGTTATTTTACTAACCAGGATCAAACCATGGTTTATTATTACTGCTAGAGAACTGTAACAGCTCAGTTTACTATTTCAGATCCAATGGGAAACTGTAGTTTACTCTAACAAGATCAGATCACTAATGGGAAAGGTAAGTGTGTGAGTTTGTTGTTTGTTCCTGGTTCTCAAACTATGGTTTAGCACACTATTTTCAAGCTACTTTCAAACTGTGGCATAATGTCTTTGGAAAACACTCAGATTTTCTTAAAATTCTGGAGAGTTTAGGAAGACATCATAGCCAAAGTTCACAGAAGAGGCTAAATAAACATCTTGTTGAAGCCTCCACAATACTAAAGGAATTCATCTTGGAAGCTAGGCATCTCTTAAACATGCACCGCAGCACCACCTTCTGTTTTTCATTAGACACCCACAGGTAAACTTCATTGCTTTTCCTACTCCACTTCCATAAAAAACATTAATATTCACTCACTGTTTCAACAGTATGGACGCATCTTAAATCTGAAACTTTCTGTCTCTGCTCACATTTTAGTTTTCACCAGCTCTTCACTTCCAACTTTCTCTCATACAGCAAATGTCTTTTCATATAATACACTCCACCCATTTTCTTTTAGGCACAAAACCACCTACTCATAAAGCCTGTGTGCAAATGAAATTGCCTTCCTTCATATTCCGAAAAATTCTGCCACATTAACAGTCACTACTGAGGTCAGCAGAATAACTGAACTTCCACACTGTGTTGTAACGATGTCCCAGTCACAAAGAATGAAGACCTCCACCCTCTCAGGAAATGAACTCTCCATGTCCTCCAAGCTCTTTGGTAACTTGCCTCATTTTGTTAGCAACTATCCACTCTAAAAATCTAATCAGTCACAGAAAACACCCACCTACTTCTTCACAAGTCAAGCAAGTGCACTGCCCCATTTTCAAAGGACCCTCTTGGTCTGGTCTGACTTTCTGGCAGGTTACCCAGCACCCCCAAGCACTTTGTAGGACATGCCCGAACATGGATTATGCTGTAACTGCTCCTCCCTCCACTAATTCTGCCACTGAATGTACCTAATTTTGGCCCCCCTTGGAAACATAATACAATATAGGAGCTCCCCCTTGGAAACAGCCAGAATATAGATGGAATCATGTCTCAAGGAGTTGTACTAAGCAGACAGCCCAGCATCATCAATGACCACAGGAGCATCTCCTTTTCAGGACATCCCAAGTACTGTTATGACTTTAGTCTAAAACTTCTGTGTGCGTGTGTGTGTTGGGTTCATGAAGTTGATCTATACATCTAGTATAGTACGGCATCTGACAATGCAGTGCACCATCATGCCTGCGCCACAAGTAACCACTCTGACCCAAATATCCATAGGATTGAGACAAGAGCTAAGATTATGGTACTCCAACCTTTGCTAGCAAGAGAAAGCAGGAATAAGCCTCACCTTCAGGTTAACAGTCAGAGCTTCAGGACTGTGCTTTAACCTCTGGACTACCTGAAATGCAATTGGGATTGGCAGAATTGACTCAAGAAGAAAACCAGGATTCATTCCCAAAGTCTCTGACCACCTCTCATTCCCAAGGCGGATGGTGGCAATTGTTGCCCCTAAAGGTTTATATGACAACTTCAATGACCCAGAGACCTTGGTGCCTACAGCATGGCCCCAACACTTTGGGAATGCCTGCCAATTAGAGTTAATTGGAATTCTGTCCCTTCTGGCTTCTTATCCTGTTAAAAACACTAGCAGAAAAAAAAGCTTTATTCTGAAAGAGTAGGATTGAGGAGGGTGCTCAGCCTTCATCCTCCAAGCCTTTTGGATAATTTAGAATCCCGCCTCTGAGATTTCATGAAGTCTGAGCATCTAGACAGACAGTGCAGATTCTAGCCCATGATCTCCAAAGAGCAAACTCTGACCAATTCTCAACTGGAGATACACACTTGTGACCAGTTAAGAATCGAGTCAATTAAGTCCACAATAGGGCATAAATGTGTTACTATTTCAATATATTAAAGAATCCCTAAGACACAGCAGTAAGAATCATTTGGGCTGAATCTTTTTTTAAAAAATGGCTTTCTTGATGCCAGGATTATCTTTTAAGTTCTGCTTTTCCTTTTCTTAAATACTGGAAGAAAATGAACAAGCATTTATCCTAGCACCAAACACACACTTTGGTAAATAAAACACCACTGACAAAACTTTGTTCACGCTCAAAACAAAAGATAGGAACCCCTGAGTTCAAAAAGAATTGAAGAGGGAAAAAATCACTTTAACTGAGCTACTCTTGGATGAGAATAATTCTCAAACTTACACTTTCCTGTCTCCCCAAGCCCTAAGAAAAAATGAAACCAAGACAACAGCAACAGCTAAGCTCAGAATCTAAAGCAGCAGACGACCCATCTACGTCCAGCCCCATTCCCTCTCAGCAAATACAATCCCAAAAACACAAACGAAAAAACAAAAAACAAAAACAGACATTAATAACGCAGGGATGGGTGAACGGGTGCAGCAGGCAGCCCGCAGCACCACAAGTCCAAACTTAATAAATAAGTGGTAAAAAAAATATCTTCTTTTTCCTTTTGCGTGTTTTGTGTCTGTTCACAGTGCGTGAGCAAGGGTCACTGTTGAGCCTCCAGACAAGGTGGAGAGAGACAAGCAGGGAGCAGCTGTCACTTCGTGGCAACTCCGGATGGCAGGCGCTCTATCACAGAAAGATAACAAGCACAGGCTGGAAAAGGCCTTGTATTCTTGGGCTGCCTGGTGCCAGAAATGCCAAAGGCTCTAGAACACACCCACATTCCAGAAAGACCAGACAGCCACCCCATCTCTTCATGGCAATACTGAAGGAAAAGACAACATGGGCAAGGGTGATTTGAGCAGGTGAAGCGAACAATTCATGCCACTGAAGAGTTGCTGCTGTGAGGGCAGGTGTCTGTTGTGGTGCTCTCTCTTGCCCCACCTTGCAAGCTCTGTCTGCCAAGGGGTCCTTCCCTGGCACAATAGCCACTCTACATGGCTACCTGGTGAAGAATGGCAGGTGGTGCTGGCTAAGGATGCTACTCGTGCGGGGTGACTCTGTCTTAGCCATGACATCTTTGAACCAGGATGCCACATCCACTTCCAGTGTCTCATAACGCTTGATGAAGTTATGTTCCTGCAAAGGAACAGGCAAAACGAGATGGAAAATAAGCAAGGGAGTCACACCACCTGTGTTATTTCTACAGAGCTGTGAGCAACAGTTGTCAGCTATAGCTAAGCAACAAGGAGGATACACAACAGCACCAAACATGAGCAGGGAAAAATCTGACCAAAGTCAAATAAAAAAGTAAAAGAACTTTCCCTCTCCTTTAAAGAAACTATGTGGAGAAAAGAAAGGATGTCACTTTATTAATCTCAGCTTCCATGCCAGTTGGCACAAACTAGTTCCAAGAAATGTTACTGGTTATTTCTAAACTTTAAGGATTGGCAGAAGCACCCACTGTGGCCTTTTTCCAAGCCCTGGGGGATTTTTTAAAATATTCACAATGAAAGAGGTGTGACCAATACTTACAAGTAGCTTGTTGTACTTTGGTCTCTTCCTGTGATCTTTAGTAAGGCTAGAAATAACAGAAACACACATTCAAAACACATGATCCAATTTATTTTATGGAGCAACCAACACGGCATGTTTCCACTACCTGATGCATAATGGATCCTTGCAAACAGAGCTCATATTGACATAGGTCTACTCTAAGTTTCAAACTCTCTCAGCCAAACAGGATGAAGTCCATTATCCTGCCATACCAATAATCTTTCAGGGTCAACTTCCTATGCCCAGTATCCCATGGCAGTTTGCAACAATCTTACGTGGGGTTGTTTGATGGAATCCAGGAGTGGCAAGTTGGACACATAAGCTCAAAGTTAACTGGAACAAAACAATCACTATCAGAAGTTGATTTTCTGTTTGAACATTTGTGGAAGTGTCAATGCCAGTTGCAAGGAGTGCAATTCATTTACAGCTGCCTAATTGTTGGAAGGAATGGAAACAAGGAAAGATGGGGAAATGTAACTAACTTACGACATATTACTTTTTATTTCCGTGGCAATGAAGGACTTCTTACACCTTTAGAACCGGTACATCAGACACAGAAAAGAGGTAAGAGCCAGGAATGTGTAGACAAGAAGAGGTCATACACAACGATGTGCTAGCCCAGAATTTAAGCACAGCTGTCCTGGAGGCAGATATGGGATTTCCTTTCTAGGTGGAAATCACCAGCAGAGGTTGAGTTCAGTCTTTAGAAGAGCATGGTACCAGTTTGAACAAGCAGAACAGTTCCAATTCTTTTATATACACTACTAATAGTACTGAAGATGGGGTGCCCTAGAATGAACATTAGCCAATATCTGAGAAAGCAACTGGTGTGCAAGAGTTCAGCAGGAAAGTGAGGAACCAGCTGGAACTGCAGGGCTTCCTGTCTATGTAAGAAATGTTGAAGCAGCCGCTCTACATAACATGAATTTAAGGCACTTCACTCACCAGTCTTTCACAAAGGACTGGAAATCCACAGAAAATCCCATGTTGTTTGGGAGAAGGGGAGGATCTTCCTGCAACACCTTGGTGAGGACTTCAAAATCTGTTTTACAGTTCTTGTAGGGGAACTGACCTGTAGCCAGCTCAACCTGCATTAGGGGTGGTAGAGAAATGAAAAATAAGTGATTAAAAACAGAAATAATCTAAAAAGCATTATTATCATCAGCATCTCTTCAATGATGCTTCAGTGATGTATATGCCACTATTTGCATATAAGCCACAGGGCAGTTACAACAAAGGTAAATAGATAAAAATCCATACAAACAACACAATTCTAAATGATTGTACAGAAAGAGACGAGAGCAAGAAAGGGAAGAAATGTAGAACAGAATGATCACTTGGCTTATCCAGCCTCAATAGTAGAGACAAAAATGGGGTTCAGGATAGCCAGAAATCAGCCTCCTTTGAATCAGTTAACTCCATTAAAAAAACTGAAGAAAAGAGAAGAAAAACTCACCCCAAAGCTTATTGCTGTTTATGTCATGTATTAAGGACTGCATACATTAAAGGATGGTTGAGATATGATCCAGAACCTGAAGATCCCAACAAGGGTACACAAATTTCCTTAAAAATGGGGAGCAGGTTTTACTTACCAGAGAGATGCCCAGGCTCCAAACATCTGCACGGATATCATAATCTGGTTTTGAGGGATCAGGGGGATCTATTCTCTCAGGCTGGAAACAAAAAGATTATTACAAATTCAGTCAAAAATAAAACCTCTTTGCCACTGATCTCTTTATCTGCACCTAGCAAGATTCCCCTAATTATAGAAGCCAAACCATGGGTGGAATTGAAAGCAACACGAAGTGGGTGTGGGTGTGCACAGAATGAATGCCACTCACACAACAAGACTTCCCCCATCCTCCTAAACCTGTTCTGGGGGTTCCCTCAACCTTCCAGAGCAGATTTAGGGGGAAACACATGGGTACATGGGGAGAGGAGGGAGAGTCTCACTGCATGAGTGGGCCTTGTTTCGTGCACACAAAAACTTAGCTGAATCCCACTGGATGTTGCTAAGACAAAATTGCAGGCTGCTTTGATACCGTAACAGCATCTGCATAATAGTTGCCATACAGTTTCCCAAAAGTTCAGGCCAAATCTAGTGACAACTTTCTACAGTAAAATGCAAGCGATGGAATTCTTAGTCCTGCAGAGAAGTTATCGTGACACATGGTGCATTTCAACGGCTGCAACGAAGTGGGTCTGGCCTAGAGCACTGCTAGGATGAGAGACTGCTAGGGATCATACCCAACCCATGCAAAGCAGCTTGGAGGAAGAATGACATAAAAGTTTAACAAATAAAGAGTATTTAATTAAATCATACACAAGCTATTCTGAGCAATTTGTAGGAAGAGCAACATACAATGTCACTTTTTTTTTTTGCTCAGTTCCATCACAGCACAGCAAGATTCCTGCTGCTGTTCTCTCGCCATCTGCCCATCTCTTACCGCCATATATGCTGCGCAACCAGCACTCCGGGTTTTGGCTTTCGAGTCCACCAGCCTCCCACTGATCCCGAAGTCACACAATTTGATTTGCCCCCTCTCATCCAACAAGATATTTGAAGGCTTCACATCTCTATGGATGACACCATGCTTCTCTTTCAGATAGTAGAGCGCTTTGACAATCTGAAAGCAACACATCGGAAACAATGCGGAAGAATTAATCGTTGCTCACTATAAGGAAAACAACTCAGAACTAGTCTAGAACTCACGATACCCTTTTATCAACGTGCCTGTAAAAACATGTTGCTGCTTAGAGAACAAAGGTTATGCACTCAGCAATCAGTCTGAGGCTTTCGTGATACTTGGAAAAGATAGTTTCAGTTCTCTGGGGCAAAACGTCTTGTATACACAACAACTTGTGGGGAGACAGCGTTACAGCACAGCCCTTCAGTCATGCAGATTACCAAGCAGTTTTCAGGGATACCACTGGGGGAAAAGAAAGGTGGCGTGTTCATGAACTGTTGTTGCTATTGAAATGCTGTTACTATTCTTGGAATCCTAAGGTGAGATATTGGGCTTCATTTTTTCAGTGTGTGATAATACTTCAGACTTCAACCGAGCCCTAGATTTTATCACATCTCATTATGCAGCATCAAGGGGGGGCATGGCCAAAAGGAAATCAAAACAACCACGCAGAACAGAACGCCCAGTCCTGGGTTCCAAATTTTGCCAAAATCCGCCCAACAGTGCAGTCACTATTTAAAAAATCTTATTCCCTCTGCTGTCTACAACAGCATTTTGCTCCAAGCAGGGAAGCTTAGCTCATTTTTGTGTGCCAAAAGAGAAACAGAAGTGTGAGGCTCAAGTAAATGGAGGAGAATGGTATATAAAATAACAAATAACAAGTGGAGAATGGTTGCTGTGCCTTCAAAAACTGCAGAAAATGCAGCTGAAAAAGAATAATACCTGGATGCCATATGCAGGAAGGAGTTTGAAGCACAATGTATCTCCTTAAAAGCCATGATCATGGAAACCTGGAAGCAATTAATGGCTCCTCTGTGTCATAGACAAAACAAGCCAGGTTCTACCTTGTCATGTTGTGTGGACCTGGACTCATGGCTTGTTTCCTACAAAAAAAAACCTCAAGTGGTAACCCAAGAATAACTTTGTTACCACTCATCAGTTTGGAGGGAACAAGCCATGAGCCCAAGTCCAGGCGACATGACAGACCAGATATATAGCTTGTTTTATCTGTGAATCTGCCACAGCTGGAGCAAGGAAGGAGTACTATTAAGTAGCCTATACCAGCATGCTATTCGTTCCATGTTTAGCATGACATGTGAACTGGGCCAATGTCTAGATGGGGGAAATGTGAGATCTAAATGTAAAAAGAAAAAACCTCACCGCCACAGTCATCTTTCCCAAGATCCTCTCAGGGATAGGCCCTTGTATTCGTTTTTTCAGCTTCTCTGCACATGTGCCCATTAGCTCCATGGCTATAAAAACATCAGTCTAAGGGATGGGGGGGGGGGAGTAAAAAAAAAGTAAAAGTTAAGGTTATTATGATGTGGCTGTTCTAAATACATTGAAAAATACAGACGGACTTGAGAAAACAGTAGCATCGTCTTCATTTACATTTGTGATGAAAGTTCCAAAGCACTGAACAATGTAAGGACAGTCATGACTCTTCAGCACCACATCCAGGTCCATCAGGATCCTCTTGTTCTCCTCTTTGTTACCAGAACGACGCATTTGCTGAACAGAGAAGAGAATGGAAATTAGGAGCAGAAGTGGAAAGAGCCAAAAGAGTCGCGGGTGATAATGCTTTGACCCACAAAGGGCCTCATGGCCCTTAACTGTTTTATGATTAATTCACAGAGCATCACTACTTTCCATCAAAGAAAGTTAAGGCCCACTTAATCCTGCCCAACTGGATTCTCTCTCAACAGCTGACACAGGAACCAGATAATCTGTGGCACCTAAGAGTTTCACCAGCAATGAACCCTCTAGAAGTCCAACTCTGCCATTTCCTTTCATCTTAAGCTATCTTCCACTCAACACCCAGTAGATCTACCTCACCTTCACAGCTATGATGTGTCCAGTCTTCTTGAAACGCATTTTCCACACCTGTCCACACGTCCCACTTCCAATCTCACCCAGATTTTCTAGGTCATTGATTTCTGCTTGGTATCTCTGTGAGAAGATGAGCACATAGAGAAGCTACTCATCAATCCATTTTATATTGAAAAGGGTGGGGAGTTGCTTTTGGTTAATTCTTAATATACATCAGGCTTCAATATATTTCGAACTGCTGCACCTCTCAAGTCAGCTCACCTGCCCTCCGATGGTCAAGTAACCCGTTTGCTTCATAATTTCCTGCAGTTTCTGATCAATCTCTATACTAGAAAGGGAAAGAGAAAAAAGGAAAAATATTGTGTTTGCTTCCATTTAGCCATGGCACACGAACATCTCAGACCCTTCTCTCTGCAGAAACGGGCTCCATCTCTATGGAGAACCACCCATTCCTCTTCTCAACAAGGGCATCTAGACAACCCTACGAACTAGTAGATCTCCATCATGAGAGAATTTCTAATATGAATTCAAAGCCAGCAACTCACAAGTCAATTACATAACAAGACACCTCAATCTGCAGATCAGAACAGTGCAGGTTAAATCATGAGTTTTTATTACCTGGTGAAACCCAAAAAAGCAGCAGGTCTTCTACTAACTCCCAGGGCCATTACTGTATATTTTTGTGTGCATGCTATAAATTACTCATTTAGCAGACAAACTTAGCACGTTAATTCACAAACAGGAGAGTTTAAACTTTGCATGGGCTGCTACTGATATTACATGATATTACAAAAAAAAAAAAATGCAACTCAAGGCAACTAGGGGTTATGAAAGTTCCATATCTACCTAACAAAGATGGTTTGAGACAGGAGCCCTTTTCAAAAGCTCTGCCTCTTACATCAAAAGAACAGTGTGAAGCAGCTGTTAAGACTGTGGCAATAGCAATAAGCAACAAGATTAAAGTGCCTAGAGAACATTCAGTTCCCCAACACGCTATTATCCACGGCTGTACAGGCACAAGGACAGCAAACGCTTCATGTCTTGTGCGCAGACCTGTCTGATCAAATGGCAAGCACAACATAAAACTTTTGCTCCAAACTGCTTCCCTTTCTCAAAACAAGTTGGTCCCTCCTGTCTCAATACAGCAGTGAAGATGAGCACAGCACACCAGAACCTGCCTCATTTGCTCTAGTTCTGCTTACCTCTCCATGCTCTTGTTCATGTGGAAGGGGGGCTGAGGAGGCAGGCCCAGAAAGTTTCGGGGGCGTGACGGATGAGTGTGATGATGCTGGGGCGAGCTGTCCAAAGAGGTGGAGCGGCTACTTCCATCGTTGGCTAAGGGAAGCTGCAATGCTGAGAGGAGAGGAGAGGAAAAGTCAGGCAGAGAGGCTTCAATGCATGGGCTCCAGGTTCAAGCTAGGTTCCTTTGCAGCCCAAGCCCACAATGTTTCTTGTCTTGAAGGCAGGGGTGCTAGAAAACCAGCCTGTGGTTCCAATAAAAAGTCAGTTGTTACCTTGACTTCTGAGGTGTCAGCTTAGCCCTACTGTACTCCCAAGGTGTTCTAAAATCCCATCTTCTCAAATCTGTGTGGAAGCCACAGCATTTAACTGTACCATCCTGGGGATAGCTCTATCTGGGCACAATGAATAGGTCTTCCCCTGTTTTCCTGAGAGGATGGCCAGGCTTCACTCATATGAGGATCCATGCAGCAAGTTAAACTGGACTGTTGGTGCCTATGCATATATTAAAACAGTTGGCATCTGTTGACTGGGAATAAGCCATAAACTGGCATATTCATGTTACATTGGTAGGCATCAGTGACCTGCCTGGTAGGCAGATCAATGACTGTGTGGATATTATACTGGCAAGTTGTTTGCAGGCTTAATCTGGGCCTAGGACCAGGAGGGAGAGTATGTGTGGTTTAAAATTAAATCCATTTTTAGAAAGAACCTGCTTCTGGGACTAAAGATAAAGCCTAGTTTCTCTGCCCAGGGGCTTGTGCAGTGAGTGTGATGTGAGATAGCACCAAGAACTTTCTTCCTGCTTGGTCTTAGCACAAGCATATTTGGACAGAGGTCTCTGCTAAGCCTGAAGAGAGCTTTCTAAGGGCAACTATCCATTTTTGAACAAATCTAAAAGAGGGGACTCTTCAGGGCACCTAGATCAAGAAACTGCTGTATCCTGGGAATAGCACAGGCAAGCAGAAGTCATGCTGCACAGGTTTTAGAAACATCTGTTAGTAGCTGAATGGTTACATCTAATCTTTCCAGCACAATGTGTACAATTATTTGATACTGCAATTCTTCCCATAACCTTTCATATTTTACCTGGTTTCCTGTGTCTACATAGGTTTTAATCCAAAAATAGGAAGACACAGCGAGGCACACAGCCAGAGTACAACAATTCTACACAGACATCCCAACTCACCTCCAGTTAGCTCAGAGGCTAAGCAGTGCATCATGAGATCAAGCAAAGCTGCAACTCATATTATTGGTGATATGGCTTATTTCTAAAAATGGGAATAGGAGTGTCCCTTAAATCAACGAGTGAATAAGTCGTAGTGCTGGAGTGGGGAAGCTGTGACCCTCCAGAAGCCGGAATCCAACCTGCATCAGCCTTGATCAATGGCCATGCTGGCGGGAGGTGGGAATTCAACGTCTAGCAGGACACAAGTTCCCCACCCCGGCCCCAGTGGATTTGCTTGCTCATTTGAAAAATAAAAAGCTCAGCCACACACAACTTCCTTCATCAACCTCAACAATAGCCCTTGGCTAAAGTAGAAATACTGGCTTCCATATTGCAATCTTGCCACTAACAATGACAAGGTTGCTCAACGGAACTCAGTAACAGCGTTATTTTTTAATTTTAATTTCTGAAACACTTCTATCCCCTCCAAGGTTGCAAATATTAAGGTGGGAGAGGCAGAAAGAAAAGTGCTGCTACTGTCAGTTAGTTATGATAGGTTGCCGGTACTAAAGTGGATTCTCAAGTATCAGTTTCCTGATACTTGGGCAGAAGTGATGATTTCAGGCAGGAATTATGGTTCAGAAGAATTGTGCCAGGTTCTATACAAAATACGTAACAAGTGAACCCACTCTCAATGCTTGGGCAGCCCCCAACTTCCACTTTGAGAGCAGCTGCGTCAGCCATGAATAACAGATCAACGTGCAATGCAACATGCGAGCTAGAATTCTGTCCTGGGATCTAAAGAGGCATAATAGTTCATAGTGAGGCAGTAAAATGTTTTGACTGCATTTCTTTGAACAACTAATTCTTACAAAAGTCACAAACTGCTCTTGAAATTCTCCTCAGCTTCAAAAACAATGTCTTGTATGGCGTGGGGAAAGAGAGGAGCTGCTGTTTGAAGAAAGCAAGTGAGAAGTCCCCATGGACTCTCCTGGCCCCAGGACTGAGACTGCATAAAATAGGAAAACTTTTAAAAATATAAACAATGAAGCTCTATTAAGATAACAAAATGTACATCTTCTGCTAAAAGAGCTCCCTTTATATTACATCCATAATCCTTACAACTTTTATGTAAGGTAGATCAGTACAACAGGTGGAGAAAGGGATACTGAGGCTAGCCAAAAGAGGTCATGAAGTTACATTGTAACAAGGGATGTCTTAACACTCAGATCAGCTTATTCTTGGTATGTTTCATTGTAATGTGCAGTGTGGTCCACGCTACAAAGATTTATAGGATGACAACATCATGGAGGACGTGAGACAGACCCCCAACAGGGGTTTTTTAATTGTGGTTCATCTCAATTAGTACCAGTTCATGAAAACTACTAAAGGTGATGCTTGCTTCTCTTGCAAGTGACCACAAAATGCTTGTACATAATCCTTTGGGGCAGAGGATAGGAGCAAACCAATGGAGTACAGGTCATCTGAATTCAGGTCCAAAAAGGAAGCTTCCTCAGCTAGAAAATTAATTAAGGAGAGCTGACTATTTCTGAAATATATATATATTTAAAGGCATAATCATTTTTATTGCTAAGGACAAGAGAATTCTAAAATGGTCAGTGCAGGATTTTTAAATTCCCTGAAAAGGAGCTTCTAGTGTAACCTGAAAGCAAAGAAAGAAAATACAAGAAATGGATGAAAATTTCTGCAGTCCAGATTGACAAAAAAGCACAAGGCACCAGATTCCGCTAAATGGTCTCACTAGCAGAAGTCCATGCAAATGCTTCCACCACACAACAGTTTTTTCCCCCAATGCCCACCCAGTGGCTGGGGGGGGTGTTTTAGAGACTCCCCAGAATGACACAGGGGGAGTGTAGAGGTTTTTCCATCAAACAAGCAGAACTGCTTGCACCAACAGAGCAATCTCCTCAGTGCTACCTTGAATTTCTCCAAACTTATTCAATTACCAGAAAGGCAAAGATTAAAGCACTAATTACAATGTATGTTATAAATACAACATAGAGGAAATAGTATGGGTTTTATTAAGGTTTTCTGTTGCAACAGTAAAACAAATTTCTAATGAGAAGTTTGGAGGATGTGTTGGTAGGATTGGTTCTGTGGGCAAAGGAGCAAAATAATCTAAAGGTGCTTCAATTTCCATCAAAGGACTGGGGTATATAGGTGGGTCCTGACTAGCTAAGTCACTAATCTTAGAAGCAGCTAACTAGCTAAGGCCTAGTTTCCACAAATAGCAGATCAAGCCTGGCAGATCAATGGTAGAAATATAAGTGTCATCGTACAAACATCTGCTCTCCAGGTTGTCTCCACCTGGCAGGTATGAAAAGCATTAACCTATTTGCTTATTTTAGGGGATAAAAACTATTTAAAAGAGGTGGAAATGTTATTGCAGCAAAAATGGGAGATTCAACTCTGATGAAGTCTCAAACACTATTGAATTACATTAATTTAAGAAACCATTATTTAATGTGATATTCCTTCCTGGTCTCCCATAGTTTTCAGAAACACTGCAGTCTTGCTCATGGAACAGCTATGTTGTATAGCTTAGGTTTGGCAACAATTTTTCATAAAGTTTGCAATGGCATAGGTTTTAGATTTAAAGGAGCCACACAGAGCAATTAAAAAAATCTTTTTCAGCACCATAATGTATCTTTGTGGTGCCTTGGGAGAACTATGGAAGAGTTTCCTCAGAAACAATGTAAAGAATAAAAAACTCATTATGAGCCATACATTTGTTCCTTTAACTGGCTTTTTCTTTCTTTTTATAATTTGGCTTTTCTTCCCACACCAGAATACATAGGTTAAAGAAAGGGTATATGACTCTGCAAGTGACTTCAAAAGCAAAGCGCTACAGCAATTAGTGAAGTTAACAGAATTCTGCATTGAGAGGACAGCCCATTCATTTTGAAAATCACCACTACAAAAATAAACAGAGATTGGTCTTAAGCTCATTAAAAACCCATCTGGTAGGATCCATGTCATTTCAAAGTTTTCTTGGAACATGTGCTGATATTCAACATTAGTCATGCTCAGAACAGACCTTCTCAAATAAATGGACTCTGGGTTGGACATAGGTGCATATCACTATAGTATTTTAAGCCTCCGCAGTTCAAATCCGTCAAACACTTTTGACTGCCATCTAAATATGTACACCATTTCTGTAGATAGTTTCGGGCAATATTCTGTTTATAAGTTAAAGAATCAGGGACAATTTTTTAATTTAAAATTACATTTTGTATCTGTTTCTTTTACTACAACTTTTTTTAATGAGTACCTTAGGGTTCTGAAAGAGCAAGGGATCCAGGGGCCAAAATACCAAAAGGGTGAGTCAGGATTATGTCTACAACAAAAATGACTGCAGTTATAAGCAAATGATAATTTTCATAGATTTTTCTGGATAGAAAATCATCATTTCACCAAGTCCCACACTAAGCAGACATTTACAAATGAACTGAGCTACAATCTCAAAAGTTTTCTTCTGGCTTCACTTGGTTTTTAAAAAAAATATCTCTCTTATAAAACATTCAGTCTTACCTCTCCAATGGCTCTCTATTGCATGCTCTTATAGCAGTGGTTTGGGGCTTCCTACTATTGGGAACACTCTGATTTGTCAAGCACAGATGGGATTGTGCCTATAGCAAACTGCAGGCAGTAGATTAAAGTTGCTTAAGAATCTCTATTAACAAAAGCAAGCCAGTGACCAATGAAGCAGTATAATTTAACCCTGGAGGGAGTAAACCTATAAAGTGAAAATAATACCTTAATAAGAGTATTGTGATGGACAAACACTGCAAAGTTTATTGGCAAAGAAGTAGCAGTTTTGCCATTTATAAATGTGTTCCATAAGCCTCTACAGCAGGGGTAGCAAACACAGTGCTCTCCAAATGCTGTTTGACTCAAACTCCCACCAGCCCAGCTGGCTTGGCTAATGGTCAGATAAGATGGGAATTCAAGTCCAGCAACATATGGAGGGCAACATGTTGGGTACGCCTGCTCTACAGAATTCATTGCTGTTTTCTCCTGCCTCCTTAGGAACATAATGTTTCTTATACAGTCAGTCTCATGGGACTAAACCAGTTTGGCAGTGAGTAATTCTATTTGGGAATATGGTTTGCCAAAAAAGTGCGTTTCAGCTGCCTTGACACACACACAATTATCTAGGCTGATACGAGTTTTTGTACCAGGCTGGCTTATATCTGAATCATGTGTGCCATATCTAGCACAATGCAACTGTGCTTGCTTGGCCCCTGGTAGTGGGTCTGAACTATGTGATATGCCTCCTGATTGATGCAAGAGGAGTGGCGTATATTAATCTCGGGGCTTATTCATATGTTGTAAGACAGACAGAAGTGGCAGCTTTCACTTTCCCCCCAATTCAACTGTAACTTGGGATTTGTTTATCTCTGAGAGCTGCAGGTTCCACATTAATGAAGTCTTGAACTTCTTCTTATACCCTTCTTTATAACATAAGAAAGAGTTTTCAGAACCAGTAGCAGAATCACGTTTGTTGAAGTAAGGAGAAAGAGAGGCAGATATCATGAAAGGACACCAGCTTCTCTCTGGTTTCGCCATCTTTAATGGAGCTAAGGTACCCTCCAACACAAGGACAGTCAGGATGCTTCTGTAAACAGAAAAGGGCTTAATCTTCTTGGGTTAAGCACATGCTTTCTGTGATGTGCAGTTTGAAAGGTGAGCATATGAACCAAAGTTTCAACTGAACTGTCCAGACTAGCATGGTCCCATTGGATGGGGACCCTCTGGAGAGCAGCAGAGAATTCTGCCTGGAAGCAGATGGGCATGAAGAAAGTAAAAGATTATCAATCATGCTGCACCCAACAGGATAAAGGGTATACTCTCTTAATCCTAGATATCAATATACCAATTCAGAAACCCAGAAACATTAATGCTTGTGAAAATACTGCATGGCAAATCTAGCTGCTATTCTCCCCATCACACCCTACTACACTGTACACCTCCCCCTTGCATCCAAATATAGTAATAGCCTGTGAAGGAGAAATCCATTCTTATAACACGCTCCCCGCTCAAGCTCTCAATCGAAGAAGCCTGCATGCTACACTACAGCTTGATCATGCAAACCTGTCAGCCTCTGTCTGCCAAAAGGAGAACCACAGCAAAGGAGAAAATCATGCTGCAGAAATGGTCAATCAATCCAGTACAACACTGGAAAAGGTTACATTAAAGGGGAAGAAAACGGCTGTAGTGGGAAGAACAGGACATGGAAGAAAGCCAAAACAGAAGCAGAGCAAAGCAGGAAGGTTCAGTTGATGGGCATAAGCAGGTACTGCACACAGAATGGAAGCAGAGGAAAAGAGAAACACTAGTTAGGCTGCCGACATTGGAGGATTCACCAGATACTTCAGATGATGTGGTTTGCCAGCTATGGGGCATAACCCTACATGGCCATCTCAGGCCAGCGCTGACTGAATTCAACATGAACTCTACTTTGAATGACAATGGCTAGGAACAGGGAGGCAGAAGTGCAGGCAGAGCAGACTTACACATTTTGCAAGCTTCATAAATCAGCTTAAATTACTGTAATGGTGATAGCTAAGCTAAAAGGACAACCTAGTTCCAGCTGCTGGCATGCCCATACAAGGCTCTTCTTTAAACCAGCAGTTTAACCAGAGTTGAAACCAGGCTCAATGTACCAATCATATTAAATGTGATAGAAACTTGTACCAGATGTATTTGAAAAAAAGATATATTGTGTTAAGGGCAAATTCCCAACTTATTATTTTAAGTCATGGAAATAATTATTCTTGCAAATCACCTCTAAACTGAGTCTGCTGATAGAGCTTATATACCTGACTGCTCAGGAAAGGCACCTGGAGTTTCATGGCATAATAATGTTTTCTTTTGCTTAAACTTCCCACATTGCAGCTTTAAGGCATTCCCCTAAAGCCAGTTCAAATAGCTCCATATTGTCTCTGCTTGTGAGCCACTAGTTACTTTAAACCAGGAAGCGGTGGATTTAATGTGATTTAATATTCTGATTAAGAATGCATGAAATAACCACACATGTGATAAAGGGTTAAAATTAAATATCATAAACTAGGAAATTAAGTCCCTGATGCTTCTAGAGAATGAGTTACAAAGTCAGCATTACTGATATGTTCTCAGTGAAATATGTCTATCTATGCAATAATAAATAAAAAGTCCTGCATTTTAGCAAAGAGATTTCCATGAAAAAATGAAACTAATGGAAGTCAAATTTCTAAAGCCACAATCCTGCTGGGTTAGGTGGGGAAAATATATCTGACCTTCAGAAGTATTAGAAAGATAACTGTGAATCCTCCATATTTCCAAAAATATTTGGTTATATTTAATTATGCTCTGTGTCAGTCCCCATGCCTTTAATTTTAAAAACCCAGTCAATATTCATAGGTTTAGCACTTGTTCAAAATCTGAAGTTACACCAAATATTATCACTACCCTGGAAGTTCAAGGCTCACAAACCATGTAGTCACTTCTAAGATCACTTTCTCTCAAGAGATGATGAAATACATACAAATGTATTTCAGCTATCCAGACAAACTGGCATTCTTCTGAACATACATTCTTCATGGGCCATGGAGATAGGCTGGCTTTTTATGGAAGGTACTTTAGAGACAGTGATTTATATCCAATGTTAGTCATATCACCGAAATTAATGGACTTGACCAACTTAAGGTGACCAATTTCAATGGTTCTAAGTAAATGGATAAAATTCAATCACTTGATCCTGTCTCTTCCTGGCATATACTGAATTAATCCTGTGCCAGGCAAATTACAGATATGATTATGAGTGAGGTTCAAGGAACGCCAACCACCCACACAGGGAATGAGAATGAAGACTAGACTTAACACTTCCTTTTAGCTTTCTATTTGAATGTGTATTTTTTTTATAAAAAAAAACTTTTACAAAGAAAAATAGGCCTGGCAACGGAAGTGACAAAAGGAAGAAAGCATGTGATCTCAAGGGTTTTTTTTTTTACTTCTAGTGACTGAAACAGCCTTCATGTGGTAGCATGTGGTAGCATTCCAGTCACAAATACAGTGAAGCATCATTGGTCTGTTACATTTCTGCGAAGGAGTGATTTTTTGCTATATAAGGCCAAGCTGGTCTCTATATAAGCAAGCAATCTTGAATTCTGTGCTTAATTTTCTTTAAAAAATACAATCTACAGTTCGTCCCTGTGAAATAATGTATGCAAATAAAATCAAGTGGCATAATTTGTCATCGTTGCTCAATTTGTATGGATTTTTTTTTCATTTGGGGATATTTGAAATTGTTTATTCTCCAATGGTTGTCATGCGGACAGCAGGCAGGACTTCCATAACAATGGGAGGCAAAGGTTCTTTTCACACAAGGAGACTTTAAAAACAATATTGCCTAGAAGGGCCATTTTAATAATGTCTACCTCCAACCTGCCGTTCCGCTGCTGGACTGCAAGTGCTTCTGTATCTTTTCCCCCCCAAGACAACAATCTATAGGCCTTTCATAACTCAGGCCTCTTGTGATTGAGAAGACAAGCTAAGCAGGCAAAGGCCAAGACAGCATTTGAATGAAAAAGTTAACTAGAGCATGACACAGAATCATCTGTAGAGGGATAAGAGGAGTTTCAGGTTGCAGAAACTGCAAGCTGAGAGATGTGGGCCTGCGTCTTTGCGCTCTGGAAACTTTCCTTCCATAACGAAGCACAAAAATGGTTTTATTTTAATTCTAGCAGCTGCATTCTATCTTCCTAATCTCCCCATCCTCCAAAACCTGGTCATTTTTAACACCAAGCTTTCTACTACCTATTCCAAATGAAATGGCTGGGGAAACTCAGCCAGATGGGTGGGATATTATATTATTATTATTATTATTATTATTATATATTATTATTATTATTATTATTATTATTATTATTATTACTATTATTAAATGCAGCATGCTGTCCCACAGAACAGGATGCAGAACTTGTGGCTCTCCAGATGTTCCTGGACTACAACAACCAGCATCCCTCACCACTGGCCATGCTGGTTGGAGCTCATTAGAATCCAACAAGATCCCCCAACCCTGGCTTAGAAAGTGGTTGTACAGCAGTACTTAGTGAAATAACTCAAGCCTATATTGTTGCCTGCATCCCAAAATGCATATAGCTTATATGCTTTTTCACTTCTACATTAATGAAAAGAATAAAGATTCTGAATATCCATTTTAAAACAAACAGTCCATCAATCATTGGAGAAGTGTACCAGAGAGGAAAAGTGGCACTGCACCATTTAAATTGCAAAATGTCTCACTTACTATCCAGCAATATGATCCATGAATTCCTTTGGAATTCAAGCAGCAAGCTGCCATGTTCCTCTTTGACTACATTTACCCAGAAAGAAGACATGGAAGTGCACCATTTACAGAAAAATCCTAGGCATGGCTACTTTTAAAGTCCCAGTGGTTTCTCACATGTAGAATTTCAGGTAGCAACATGTTTTTTGAGACACAGCTAATGTATTTTATACAGGTAGTTGCCAATCCTATATATTTGCAAGTGTCACCTAGGTTTCTTCATCTGCCAATTCAATAGACAGCTTACAAAATAGTATTTGTGGGATTGTTCTTTGTCATTAGACTTCTAGGCAATAAAAGACACAGTGGTCATATTTTAAACTTTCTATACAGCCACAATAGAAAAAAACAATTCAAAGTTAAAGCTGGAATCTTCCCATTCACTCAAATATAAGAGAAATTAACTAAAATTAAGTTTTCCAATAAATAATTTGAAAAAAATGAAGCCAAAAAGTTGGAGCTGAGATGGGATTTTGTGGCAGTACCTGATCAGGTGTGCAGACTCAAGTGAAACTAACCCACCTTGCTCGCAAGCTGCTCTGGTTGCATAGTTAACCTTGGTCAACAGTGAGTTGCCTGTACCATGTGCACTTCAGATGGCTGCCATGAACTGGCAAGTCAAGAGTAACACATGCTTAAACCTAATAATCATACAAACTATCAATCTGCTGCTTTCAGAAGAAAGTGTTAGAATAATAACTACTTGAAAATGGAAGGGTAAGAAATTCTGCTGGATGGCAGCTGCAAAGAACAAGTGGCATAGCACAAAAGCACAGGTAAGAGCTAGTGGAAGGCAAGACTGGAAAGCATTGGAAGGTAATCTAATGAAACACATTCCCATCCTGAAAGGCTTCAAAGCACTGTAAGGCAAGCATCCACTAGATAAAATGGCAGACTAGCCCCTGTACTTTCTATACTCAAGGACTGCTGCCTCTAGGGTAGAAAAACAATGCAGTAGCTATTTCACAATGCACAGCTAAAGTAGCTCAGGGTAGAAGGTGAAGAAACCCATTTGCATAAACTAAAGACTGTGACTTTAACAGTTACAGTGCAACCCTCTTCATGTACTACCATGGACTCGTCCAATCTGCCATGGATGCTTTGGTTGAGATTCCTGCATTGCAAGGGGTTGGACGAGATAACCCTCAGGGTCCTTTCCAACTCTACAGTTTTTGATCCTATGATTCTATAAGCACCAATATGCCCAGAACCTAATTAATTCATTAATCTTAATAAGCGATATCGCTACAGCAATATTAACAGTACAGCATCCTTTTAACTTCCAGAGCATAATTTTAACATCCAGAAGATCAAGGACAGCTCTCTGTAAGAGGCAGGGAAGATTCCAGCACCATGCAACAGCAGCAACTAATTAAAAAATGAGGAACTAACTTTATTTCTGCTGTGGACTCCTACCCCGTATCATGTAGGGTATGGCATTAGATCTGTGCTTCACTGAATTTTATTAACTAATGCATGTTCTTAAACAATAAAATAAAATAAAGCTATCTCTCACCTGACCTTATATTATCCAATTACAGCTTATTTAGGTAGCAATTATATATTTACGGCACACATCTCCAAAATATGTGCAATAAAAGCCCCAGTGAATAACACTGGTCCAGAGAATTGTCTGAAATAGCTCATTTAGGTCCATGTCTGAAGCTTAGCATATTTGGGACCAAATGATACCTAGACAGGAATCTGCATGGAAAACCTGTTAATAGTAATCAAAATTCTTTTTGGGGGAAAGAAGCATACAAAGGTATCAAATACATATAAAAATATGCCCTCCTGAGATTATATCAGAAACATAGTCTGGCACCGTTGTGGGATGCAGCACACACTACTAGGAGCTTCATAGAAATCTGAGCCCTGCTCAACTCTAAGGAAGGCTACTCTGTTCCCATCTTAAAATCCCTACAGCAGCTGCCCTTGACTAAAAGGACAGTCTTGACTTCCTGCCCTAAAGCAAACTAGTGTACAACAGCACTGACAGTTTGCTTCTGGGTTCTACCTCAGAGGCAATTGCACATCACAAAAAGCAGAGCCTATTTAATTTTGCTGTATGCAGGTTGACATTTTGACATTGCCTTTCCATTCAGGAAAATCTAAGGAAATGTATGGCAATATGAATTTCTGCCAATTGCCACTTGAGGGCTCTGGCACATTAAAGTGGAAGGTGGAAGATTGAAGGTGGAAAATATCAGTGTGAAAATTTAATGGTTACCTGTCTTCAGAAAGTGCTTTGACATCATCAGGAAAGGAAGGTGCTAAGCAACTACTGCAGCTGTGGACAATCAAAACATGTTTTCATGCATGGCCTTACATACCGCTTTGCCTAGCCAGTCTTGGCAAGTAAGGCTAGATCAATAGTAAAGGAGAATACGAAAGTGGGGAAGGAAGCAGGGTCAGACACACACTTGGAAGAGAAGCAGACAAGTGGCAATTCTATGCAGTTGAAGGAAGCATTAAATAAATGATGCAAGAAATCCAAGCTGCGATGATAAAAAGTTCTGGTACCTGCACGTTGGGATGGAGCGGGAGCAGGGCTTAGAGTGATCACAATAACTGGATTGGGAAAAGGAAGAAAAAAACACGATAAATCACAACAGAAACAATCAAATCATCAAAATGAAAATAACTCATATTCAAATCAATTTCAGGATAAAGAGTGGAGGTGGCAAGAAACCAACAAAGGGGACAGACAAGGTGAAAATGTGATGCATCAAACAGTAAGGAATCAATTCCACAGGTTTCACATCCCTAGCGCTTCTAACATGAAAAACAGCTATGGTTCTTGTTCTGTTAGTCAACAATTCCCTTGCACAGCAGTGTTCTGGTCAATGGCCTTCCTTCATTCCAGAAAGCAAAACCCATTCACTATGGCGTCATCAACAATCTAGCCCAGTGCTTCACAATCATAGATATACATGAAATGTACTTAAAGTACCCAGGGGCAAAGCTCTAATTTTTCAAAGTCAGCATCAAATGTCTATGTTCCAAGATTGCACCTGGCTGACTATATTATGTGCATCAAACTCCACTTCTTTTAGGCACCAATGCCGTTCAAATATTTCATATTCCTAGATGCCTAGGAAACCTTTTATCTGTGATGTTCCAAGGTCTGATCACAGTATAAAGACTTGCTTTAAAGGCCATGATCTTGCTATACTCTCAAAATGACGTTTACTAACAGCATTTTAAACCATAAGAGGTGACTAGGATAATCTAAAGACGATAACATAAATTATGCTCCTTGATTCTATTTATGTTAAACAGACCTCTCATAAGCAACATCTCACCTTATTCAAAACCTTATGCCCCTGCAACTCATGAAATATTTTCTACTTTAAGGTATCAAAACATTCTAGTTTTTACCCAAGTGCTCAGATGCTAATAACTTCTCTTCATTTCCCCTTGAAAATTGCTTTCTAAAAGACTTCCACCCCAACTGATGCACGTAAGTAATTTCTTTTTTGTTATAAAATATGCCCATTCTCTAAGAAAAAATAAAAGGTAAAAAAAAATCACAAAGTTTTTAGTTGATCCCCAAGAAGTAGAAGCAGAAATGATTGCTCCTGCTTTTGAAAGCTAATGAGATTTAAAAACAATTGATAAAAACAGTATCTTCTGCTAACAGCCTCTACCTCAGGGATGAAGGACCTGGGGTCCTCCAGAAGTTAATAGACTTCCAACTCCCATGAGACTCAGAGAGCACTGCCAATTGTCAGGGATGATGGGAACTGGATTCAAACAACCTCTGTAGGGCCTTAGGCTCCCCACCTGTACTCTAGCTTATCAAAGGAAAACCACCACTCTCTGAACCATCACCTTATTTATTCTTTCATTCTGTTGGACCACCACTACATGCCCTGAAAGGGAACAAGATCTGAAATAGGATATGAACTCCTTGCTTTGGTTCATGATAACACATGGAGGTTAATTAACTGGCTAACTGATATACGTAATGTTATAAGCAATATGAACAGCAAACAAAGTACACCTGCTCATAACATCAAATCATATACATACAATGAAAAGCTCTCTGGTGTTGCTTCTTGCAGACTGAGCCACAGCACCCTGGGGTGCCTTGAATGATGTTCAGGGGTGCCATGGGCAATACTGGCCTCTGTCCCTCTTTCCTTCCCTACCTTCATATGATGCCTTCTTGCATCTCTGCCTCTCAAAGGCTTGCACAGTTGGTTGTTTGTTGCAGCAGCCTTGGCTACAAGCTCCCAGGTGAATGCTGTGTCTGGAGCTGACCAGGGCGTGCTTCCCAGGCCCCTGTGGGGTAGTGAGAGGAGGCACCTCTCTTTGGGGCAAGCAAGGCAGCTCAGAGACCAGGGGCAGCAGCTGCAGATGCCCAGAGGACTCCCATGGGGAGAAGAGAGGAGGCTGAGGGAGCCCTCCACAAGGGAGCTGCCAGCTCAGCAGGCAAGGGGTGACATAACTGGGCTCCTGAGGCCCACAGGGGTATCGCACAAAGAATGTAGTTGGTCAAGGGAGCCATGGACCCAAAATGGTTGAAAAACTGTGCCATAAGGATTACTTGGTAGGACTTCTGTCACAATGAAATCAATTTTATAACCTACCAATGGTGGCATCATTCACAATAAAAACCTAGTTGTACTTCCAAATATATTCTCTTGGACTTTTATAACTCTTCAAAACTTCAATTCAACCCACCATTTATTGTGAATACTAACTGTAAATGTATAAGAAATCCCAATTTCCACTCTGTTTTTGCAAGTAAGAGCCTGAATAAACAAGAACTGATCCTCACCATCTTAATAAAATAAATCAAGAAGCCATGTCTCAGTCATAATTTTACTTTCCCCCTCATTTTAGTCATGGGTTCACTAAGAGACACTGGGAAGCAAATCTCTCTAAACTACAGCCCCTTTCTTAAAAGTGGTACATACAACTTTATAGAGTTGCTATGATCACATTATCACTGAAAAGTGTTTTACACAAGAGCATTGTTACAAGAATTATAAGTATGAGAAGTCTATACCAATGTAACAACTTGTCAAAATTCTACTTGCCTAATGCTAATAATTTTAAAAGGTGTTTTAAATTGTCATAATTAGTTAAAATGGATTAACATGATCTGCTTTAAAAGAGTTAAATTTCAGCAAGGCAACTTTTGAACACTCCATTTTCATCATGTTCATTTACATCTGGCATATAAGCACCCAACAGCACAAACCAGAAGTCACACATATTCTACAAGAAACTACTATTAACATCTTCTTACAAAAAGCCTGCAATTATGAAGACATGGCCACATAAGTCATTCTCAAATTTCCTTTTCTAAAAGGATACCCACATGCAAAATGAGATGTGATAGCCTGAAATGTGAATCAAAGTGCAGTGTAGAATTCAGGAATTTTATATCAGAAGCTTGAGAGTACGGCAAAAAACATCAAGTACATAATAGCTTTTTGTTGCCTTTGTGGACTACCCAGAACAAAATAGAAAGAGTTGAAATTCATAAAAGTCACCTTCAATAAAAACTTTTTATTCTGCATAAAGCAGACTGAAAGACTCACATTACACTTAAGTTTGAGGCTAGTGTGTAAAACAAAAATCCTGGAGGTGCATCTGGACTCTCCATAAAGCATAAACTTTTGTTTCTCCTTTTAATCTCTCACCTACACTACCCTTGTCTCATTCCACTAGAGAAACCAAGTGTATGTCTTGTCCTTTTTAAATGAATACAAAACCTCCTCTACCTCTACGATCTGGTAAATTAGACTTTCTCTGTTAAATAGCTGTGGGTCATCCGACAAAGTAGGAAGGATACAGACCTTGGTTCTAGTTCCACTATACCATATAAGAAGGTCGCATCTATTCTTGCTGAAGAAATGCTTCTTAATTAGGGAAGGACCATGACTCTGTCACTCTTGTGAAATATTTTGTAAACATTCTTAAGGTTAATGGGGTACATTATTAGGCATTCATGAACACTATCTCCCTCACACAAATGTGTGAAAAGTAAGCATACAAGATTTCAGAAAGACAGAATGTGACCTAAACAGAAGTACATTGAATAAATATTTAGAAAGCCTAGATCAGAAATGGCTATTCGATTGGATGGGGGGTTAGTTCAATGACTCTCCCCATGTGTTCAAAGTTAAGGGGTTTGCAGAACCACATGAGCAGGAATTGGCTCTTGCCAATTACACAGCAGGAAGGCCCACTCACCTGCAATTAGCACACAGGAGAAGGGGCTCTACAAATATACCAACATCTGTGCATCAAGATCCCAACTTATGTGGAGAACCTTGATGCACACGACTGATGTTTTACCGTGGTTTCCTATTTTGTTGGAAGCCTCCCACAGTGTTGGGTAACCCAGTCAGATGGGTAGCAAATAAATAACTATTATTATTATTATTATTATTATTATTATTATATGTATAGCAAGCCTCTTTTCACATAATAAAGTGTGGGGTACAGGGCTGCTAGATGCTGCAATAGAGCCAGGATTAGCTCATGCAGCCCCACAATCCTCCTCACATAGTCTCTGAATACATGGAAGGGTTATCAGAAACCTCCCCTAACTAATTACACACACATAACCTATTAACCTATGGTAACATACACAGTGTAATCTCCACTTCCAGCTTCTAGACTCAGGATTGAAAGAAGCTACATCCAAGCCACAAAACCACAATGGAAAGTGGAACCAGAAAGCATTACACTCACATTAAACCCACAACTAGTTGTAGGAGCTAAAGCATCCCTTCCCATCCCCCGCCCCTGACATCTTGCACCAGGTGAGCTGATTTGAAAAGTGGCTCAAAACTGAATCTGTTCTTTGTTCTTTATTGGATATTAAAGAACAATTCAAATATTAGCATTAGACTATTGGAACTGCTCGTCTATATCCTGGATTCAGAAAACCCCAGTACTATGTAGATACAAGAACCACGTGGGTGCATGGGATAATCGAATTACTTCCCACACCACCAGGATAAGAAACAACCACATTCCAATTTCAATCTCAGCAGAGATCATGTAATACAAGGACCAGAAAACAGAAGAGAATCCCATTCTATCTCTGGCCAGGACAGCAGGGCCACTGGGAACCTGCACCCCCTGCCTCACAGGAAGTAAGGCAAAAGGGAGACCAGTCTGGCCCCATTCATCAGCCAGAGAATGAGCAGCTGCCGGAATTTGCTTCCTCCCTCCCCCTTGCTTCTAGAAAGAACACTCAACTTCAATTGCCAGTTGCCCTGAGACTAGAGAGCTGATGAAAAGCAAGCTCTGGTCCCATCCAGCAGCTGCTAGATTGTATGTGTGAATTGGGGGTGGGGGTGGGGGGTTGTATTGTTACCTCCTGCTTGTAAGTTGCCTTGAAAATTGTTTGATTGAAAGGTGGGACATAAATCATCAAAATTAATAAATAAGCATCCACTCACATGATGTTTGTTTGTGCATATTATCACGGCACTGCAGGTCCAGACAGTGTTGAAATAGCTCCCATGCTCCAGAGGTAATTCAACTTTAAAAGCAGTGAGGAACAGATGAGCTTCACATTTTTCCTCCTCTAACTGACTTTAAAGGGAAATCTTCTCCCTTTCTCAGTGACATAGCTACTTCTGGATTCTGCTCCAGCAGCAGGCAAATGCATGCAGTAGAAGCAAATGCAGGGACAGAGACATCCCAGGCACTATGCTGAATGGGGTAGAGTCTACCTACCTGCACAGGTAAGAGCCCTGTGTCTGCACCAAAACTTGGAGCTGTGCATGCTTAAATCTCAGTTGTTATAATTGGAGATTTGCTCCAACCACAGTAAGACTATCAGAGGTACTCTGATCAACCTATTAAGCCATTGGCTTGTCAGAAAATATTTATGATTTAGATTTTTTGTTCATTTCACTCTCGCCCTGGCAATTTCACCTTGGCCACACAAGTAAGTGCCTTATTCACAGAGACAGACTATACAGCTAGGATTGCCAAACAATTAGAAATCAGATTTAAAAATATCCCAAATCTTTTCAATGTCACTATCATTGTAATATACATTCTATGTTGCTTATGACAAACTTATACATGTTATCAATACACTTTCTAATATTTTGTCCTGTGTGCCAAGTAAACTAGTAGCAATACAATACAATTACAGGGGGAAATCCTTCAGTGGTACAAAAAAATATTATTCCATGTTAAATTTCAGCTCTGTATCTCAAAATATGGGTCAAACAGCTATAGTAAGCATAAAAACTTGAGCTGTTGGTTGATCATGAAAATTTTAGTCTGTTCAAAACCAGTAGCTCAAGTTTGTAGGTTTTGACCCATACTCTATTCTACTGACTGAGCTTTTCTGGCTGTGAACAACCCTGACAACTTTATTAAAGGGAGGCCTATAAATATGCCAAATAATTAAGTTCCTCTCTCAGCTCTCTTCTCAAGTGAATATATTCACATCTTGCTATCAGTGATTCCCAAACTGCATGCTGGAGCATCTAATGTGTCATGAGAGAGGCTGAAGTGTGTCTTGAAAGAATTAAGTCACCATATTGGATGCCTACACTTGTCTATATCCCTCAGCATATGGAAGCTACAGGTAAGTCCTTGCCATAGTTCATGGTACAATTGGCAAGTGCTTGGTCTTCCTAGAAACACCAATGAAGATAACTAAACAGAAACAGTAAACCAAGATGCACTATTAACTAGACTATGACACAAGAAGGATCCCTGACACACATCTGAGTATGGGGTGAAAGATGCATTCAATTTTAATCCAAGATGGGGTGGGGAAACCATATGAGTTTTGGAAGCACTGCTATATACACAATATGGAACTTTCCTGTATTTAAATTAGAACTTAAATAAAGAGCTCTTGTGAACTTCTTTGTTTACAAAAAGATACTAGTCCAGCAAATGACAGGAACCTGATCTAGAGAAGCATACACTTGGGGACATTTCTGAGCACAGCATATCGCTATTTCATGGTATTCCTAACCCACCCCTCCTCCCTCTCCACTGCAGGGTGTGAGCAGTTGCTTAGACTTCCCTAACTTTAAAAACATAGTTATAATACGGCAATTGGGGGATCCTAAATCCACTTTTACTTCCTCCAGTATAACAGTTACAGTATAACTCCTTGTATATCAGTTTTTCTAATCAGAATACAGTACATGGGAACTCCTCTTGGCCTCAGGAAAGCAACTCTGAGCTCTAAGTACTGTCCTCATTTTTAAAGAAAATCTCAAAGAACCACGGTCCACTAACGCCATCACATCATAAGCTCGACACACAGGTGGTTTCCGATTCCCAGGAAGATCGATTAACCTAAGGTCCCCAATGACCTCCTGTCGGTGCCCCCCACTGATACACTCATTTCTTCTCCTTCCACCCTATAAAAACCCACACGCAGATCATAGCCCGGGCACTAGGTCCCAGGTCCCAACTCTGTTCCCTACATGTTTCTTCCTTCTCGAACTCTTCCCCGCCCCCCACGCCCACGCCTTCCTCCAAGTCCCTTCCCCACTGGATTCTTTACCTTTCCCCTGGGTCTTCTTTCTCCCTGCCCCGGTGTGTCCTGGCCTTGGGCCTCCACCTCCCTCAGACTCCGTGGTAAACAAGAGCCCCCTTGTTTCCCCGCCCCGGGTTTCCCGACCCCTTCGCTTCTCCGGGAGGACCTTTCTCTACCGGCCCCTCTCCGGGGCAGCTCGGCTCTTCCCATCCCCGCCCCGCATCCCTCCGGCCCCGGGGCTCCTGCCCAGGCGGGCCCGTGTCAGTCGCCCAAGCGGGGGGGTGCCTTCCGCGGAGCCTCCCCTGCCGCCGCCCCCGTTTCCCCCCTCAAAGCCTCCCTTACTAGGCCGAGTCCGGGCCGGACTGATGTCCAAGTTGAGGTCGATGCGCCTCCGGGCCTCCCTGTTCTCCTGCTTCAGCTTGGCCTCCAAGCGGGACAGTTTCTGCTCCAGCGAGGACGCCGCCATCTTCCCCCCCCTCCCCCGGAGCCGCCGACGCTGCCGCCACCGCGCAGCCAGAATACACAAACACCGCAGTGCGCACGCGCCGAAAGGACCAACCAGGCCACCATATTATCATCCTCCTCCTCCGCCCACCGCAAAGGCACGGCTCCACTTTTGCCCGCTGTGCTTGTTTTGCCTCGCGGTTTTTCCTGGCTCGCGCATGCGCGAGGGCACCAAAGTGCTGCCCGAGCTCAGTATCAACGCGGCCGCGCCGTCAATGATATTTTGGACGGTCTCCTCGCCAGTATTCGTGCATCTCCACTCAGCTTTGATGGGGACTAGGGAGCATGTCTGGGAGTCATGACGGGTCGGAGGGGTGTTAGAAGATGCTGCCCTGTTGCTCAGTCAATAGAACCTGAGGCTCTTAATCTCAGGGTCCTGGGTGCAAGTTCCGCGGGGAGCAAAATATTACTGCAGGGGTTGGAGTAGATGACCCTCTGGGTCCAACTCTACAGTTCTGTGATTCTATGGCACGTACCTCTCACACTTGAAGACCAGCGGGAGTTGAACTGCTCCAAATACGGAAAGAGCCTTTTTCCCTGTCTGCGCTTGGGTTTCCTTTGTGCTTCTTTAGAATTTGTGTACTTGTTGCATTTATATGCCGCCTTTTCTCCCGTCTCTCTCCCCCACCCCCCGCCTGCACTGTTCTGGGGGTTCTCCCCACACTCCGGAGCAGGATGCATTGCACTGCAGGGCATTGCACTAGCGGGAGCTGTCGCACTGGCTTCTGCTAGGTCTGACCTGTTAAACCAAATAGGAAACCAGGAAACGCAGATAGGGAACCAATGGAACCAGCTACAACCTCATGAAAGGTCGCTGGGGATCAGTTTGCTAGGTTTTTAATAAGGTTGTCTATTTCTTGGTATTGTGGAGTACCCATGATAGAATGTTTGCTGGGACATCCAGAGTACAGGTCTAAGAGTCGAAAGAGCTGGGCTTATATTCCTTATCAGAGTTGCTGTGGATCTGTTTCCCATCTAAAATGTGAACTGCAGACTTTTAAGGGTCTGGTGCGAACATAAGAAGAGCCTTCTGGCCCATCTAATCCAACATTCTGTTCTCACAGTGGCCACCCAGACGCCTGTTGGAAACTCACAAGGAGGACAAGGACACTCTCCCTGCCTGTGGTTTCCAGCGGCTGGTATTCAGAAGCATTTTGTCTCCAGCAGTGGAGGCACAGCTAGTAGCCACTGACAGCATCCTCCATGAATCTGTCTAACATTTTGTCCATCACTGCCTCCTGTTTCATAGTTTAACTATGCGCTGCATGAAGAAGTACACTGGAAAGCATGTTATGAGATAACAGCTACCAAAGTAAAGAGCAAAGCAAGCCTTTATTGCATTCTCTTAGATGGTGATCAAGTTTAAGAAGAAAACTGCATGTATATTTATATACGTGCACACACGCCTCCATCCTAAGACACACACATCTTTAATTTTAAATATATGCCTTCTACTTCAGGGGTGGCGAACCTCGGACCCTCCAGATGATGGATTCCAACTCCCATCACCATCAGCTGGCATTACTAAGAATCAAGGATGATAGAACATGTAGTCTAGAAATGTGTGGAGAAGGACCATGGGTTCCCCACACCTTACCTACTTGATTCTTACCTACATAAAAATACATATACAGATTGTATCAGAAGGAAATGTCGAATCCTTACAGACTCCTAGAATTTTTCTGTGGAAGGTGCAATGCTGGCGGGTGGGGGGGCATGATGCGTCAATTAGTTTTACGTACTGGTTTTCCTTTGACTTTCCTGCCATGGTCTGTCATCTCTAATTCAGATAACATCACCTGCGTGACTTTAGCTACAGTTAAGGATGTTTTGCCTTCAGCTAGAACATTCTGATAATAATGGTTTCTTCCAAGAAAATGCAAACCATAACAGGCCATTTCATTTCTATGGGAGTACAGTACTTTTTGTCTTCTGAGTTCCACTATGTTGCTCCTTTCTGTTTTTGGCATTCTTCCTTGTTTGTGTTTAAAATAAGGGACATTGTCCTGAATTGTTTTTGGAACTGGGGACACCACAGAGCTGTCTCATTTAACTAGAGACTACTAAGGTTACTTTGTGAGCTTGTTCTCCCAGCTTATCCACACTTCCTCTCATCCTGCTGCTAAAGAGCAGATTTTCAATTGAAAAGGAGCAGGGCAAGGGGGGAACTGCTTGGACCCATGCCTTGAAAGTGTGGGTCATGCAGAAATCTGCAGGAAACTACTTGGACCCATGCTTTCTAGGCATGACATAAGTGAAAGTGTGGACTAGCCCTTTGTCAATCTGCTTACCAGTTAAGAAGACGGCAATCCTATATCCACTTACAGTACTTTAGGAAGCCCCATTAACCACAATAGAACTTCTGGATAGGCATGTATAGGATTGTGCTGTAAATCATTGTTTCTGACTGCAGGGCTACAAGGCCTCTCCTTTTTTATATAGGTTATGGTGATTTTTCATTCTTGCTGTAAGAAACACCTCTTTTCTTATGTCAGTGCCTCATTGACACATTTTCCATATATCCTTAAAGTGTCATCCCTCTAAGACAGGCAGGAAAGGGAGATGTAGGAGGACTTATCCTCTTTGTTTTGGCAGAAGGGCTTGTTGAACCCACACTTGTTTCATTAACAGATGAACGGCTTGGAAATAGAATCATAGAATTATACGGTTGGAAGGTACCCCAAGGGTCATCTAGTCCAACCTCCCGCAATGCAGGAATTCTGCCCACAGCCGTCCCAACCTTCTGGTTAACAGCCAGGCACACTGATGGCCCATTGTGCCATCATATGACTAATATTCTCCTTTGGTTTCAGAAAGTGGATCACTTCACTACCTACAACTCCTTACACTCTTAAACTGAAACTGTAGAGTCCTGCAATTCTTTTTTTACAAACAAACAAACATTGAAAAGATCATTTGGAGAAAATGTTACAGTTTTCTACATTAATTTGTATGTGCTTATGTGTTTACTTTCAGCATAGTTCAGGGAAATCATGCCAACTCAAATCTGCTTCTCTCTTAATATCTCAGGGCTAGAACAGATGCAATAAATGCTACAGCAATCCTATGCATATTTACTCAAAAGTATGTCCCAATTGGACTTATCCCCAGGTCAGTGTATTATTTGTTGTTGTTGTTGTTGTTTTAAGCAGAAATACAGAAGAGGCTTTGGTTTCTATTGAAGTTTTCCAATTATTGGTGCCAATTCCTTGATCCCTTCCCCCACCCCCAAAAACACACACAGAGAGAGAGAGAGAGAGAGAGAGAGAGAGAGAGAGAGAGCTGTTATTAACCCCAGGGAGGAAAGTTCACAGGCAACGCAGGTACCTGTTGTTTTTATTGCAGAGCAGCTAATAAAAACTACTGCATTAAAACAGAAACGAAAGTTAAAGGATCCAGTTGTGAATCTGCCTTATCTTCAGCCCTCAGTTAATCAGAATATCAGAGGCTCCTTAAATTGGATCAGACTATTGCTCTGTCTAGGTCAGTATTACTGACCGGCTGCAGTTCTCCATGGTTTCAGACAGGAGCCTTTCCTAGCCCTAACTGGAGATGCCAACGATTGAACCTAGGATCTTTTGCATACAAAGCCCATGCTTAACTATTGAGCTGTACCCCTTCTATATTCATATCCATATGAAATCCATATTCATAATCCCAGCCCAACAGACAGGTCTGAACAGTGCATCTTTCATCTTGCCAAAGTTGCTAGAGAGATACTGATGGAGACCCCTGAGAGAGACAGCCCCAGGTTGTAATGTCAGGAAATGTGATGTGGAATACTGTGGGCTTTCCTAGGTCAGTGGGGCCCATCTTGACCAATGAGGATAGAGAAAGGTTAGTATACCTATTTTTCTGGCTGCTTTAGTCTGGGACTGTTTGCAAGCTTCGGGACTTCCATTTCACAGAAGAGGGCCCTAGGTAGCCTGGCAGCTTGTGAAGCCTTAGTTCTCTGATGCCCTTGAGTATCAATGCACATGCAGCTGCAGCCCTTCAATACTTGCCTTGTGTTCAAGGCCCACATCCAGCAAAGAGCTCTTGCTCATGGCTGAGAGGAAGATGGCAAACCGCCAGGAGTATAGTTGGTCGCACTGATCAGCCATGTGCAGGAGGAAAGCAAAGTCGTTGTAGACATCTGGGATGCCAAGAAAGTGACTGTCTTCTCGCATTTGCTTAAAGGAATACTTCTGCAGCGGCTGCCGCAGCAGCCACATCAATGGGTAAGCCCCCACCACCCCATAGAGGAATACCAAGAACAGGTAGGTCACCATCAACTTCTGCAGAATGAAAGCCAAGCTGTGGTTACAGAGGAAAACAGAGTAGCCGGTGAGGTTCTCTGTGTCCAGCCAGCAAACATGTTCAAAGGAGATGGCTCCTATGCAGTTGGAGGTGTAGCCCAGCACAGTTAGGATCTTGGCAACTTTGAAGATTGTTTGTCCCATGTAGACCATATAAATCAAGCTGGCACCTTCAGCATGTGCCCTGAATCTGCAGATCTTCTCAAAGAGTGCCCGGCCCTGCTCCCTCTCCTTCCAGTCAAGGATAGGAGAGGATGAAGGGGAAATAAATTGTTCTTGACACCCTCTAGTATCCGTGGTTTTGGGTAGGTCTACGAAATTCTGGTAGACCATTTCAGAGACGGCCTTGATGGTCCAAGGGGACTCAAAGCATTTCATGAGGATGGATAAGAAGTGTTCGATCTTTGAGGACGTCTTAGGGTACCTGAACCAGAAGTTGCTGCTTGCCATTAAAACCAGTGAGTTGACAAGTGCTAGGTAAGGAAAATACTTGGAGAACCAAGGCAAAGCATTCTGATAGCAGACATGGTTTATGTACAGGTACTGCTGGTAGTCAAGGTTGATTGGGCGTCCACTCTTCTCAGCAGAAAACTCTTCATTGGTGGCACTGTCCATAGCTCCAGGCTTGAGCATAGCTGCTGTGGTCTCATTTAGCTTGTAATTCAGTGGCAAGCAGGTCATATGGTCAACAGAAATCAGCAGAGTACCTGAGAGGAGAGAGACCATAAGCATTGCTACTACCAAGTAGTCCATCAGGACATCCCACCAAGGCTTTAGAGTCTGGAACCGAGCGTGGGCATCACCGAGGAAGGTCACTTCTGTCAGGTTAAACATCACTAGAAGCAAATGGTAAGTGGGAATTGAGTAACATCCTTGGCTATTGCACTGAAACAAAGTCTGCTTGTTTAGCACATTTAGCTAGTGCTATATATATATATATATATATATATATATATATATACACACACACACACACACATATACACATACACACACACACACACCTAAACTGTGAGCAATACAAAGTTACACGGAACAATATAAAAAGTTAAACATTAAAACTGTTCAGCTATAAATGACTAAAATACAGAACTGGTCACACTTCAAGGAAGGCTTGGTTAAACAGAAATGTGTTTGAAATTACAAAACAGAAGGCGCTTGCATAATGCACATTGGGAGGGAGTTCCATCATTTTGATGCTGCCACACTGAATGCTCCTCTCCTGGTAGTTGTACAGCAGGCATTGTGTGGCACTATTGACAGCGCCGTCATTGATGAACAAAGTGGCCAGGCATAACCCAAACTTAGAGACAGTACAGTTATGGCGAGGCTTTCCATACTAGGAAAGGCTTGCCTTGACCTGTTGAGTTTCTGCCTGCCATACAGCTGCCAAAGACACAAGAACCTCCTGTTTCCTGAGCGTCAACCATAAACCAAAGTCTAGGCTGCCATCCTGCACCCACTTACCTGCGAATAAGCCCTGGTTAACACCAAGAGACCTTAGGGAAGATGCATCCTGGCTGCTACGGGGAAAAGAAGGGCAAACTAAAGAGAATCCAAAGACTATAAATAGGACAGACAGAAACAGGAAAAGTGTGCTAAAGAACAGGGGGATTCCTAATGCCTGGTGTCTAAACAACACATTTATCAATCACAGCTTCATTCGTTGGTTACAAGCATTGACAGGCAGCAGCCCCCATCTTGCAGAAATCACTTAGAAGGGTACCTGTATGTTTTGCTTCATAACTTTCCTGGAAGGCTAGAGCCTTACTTTTTAAAAAAAGAAAAAATAAAAGCTCATAATCTGTCCTCCCCCGCCCAGGGGCACCAATGTGGGCAGCAGGGCATCTGTGGATGCTGAGTTGGAACTGCCATTCCAAATGTGAAAAAATAATAATCTAGGGCAGGGAGGGACTTGTAGCCCTCCAGTTGTCACTGGTCTTAGGCTGGATCTAGACACATAAAAAAAGTGTTTCCGGAAAATGCGTTGTAAACAACATAGTGGGAAAGCATGTTGGTGAAAGATGGAATTCCACAGTGCTATCTGGTGTCACAGTGTTATAACGCATATAAAACACTTTTTCCTTACTAATGTAGCTGAGTCCTCAAGCTCCTATCAACCTTTGCCACTGAGGAGTCTGCAACAACATCTGGAGAGCCACAGGTTTCCCACCCCTGACCTATGGACTCTTACTGTATTTTTCGCTCCATAAGATGCACCTGACCGTAAGATGCACCTAGTTTTTAGAGGGGGAAAGCAAGAAAAAAATATTCTGCGCAGAGCATGTAAGCGGCTCTCGCTTTTCTTGCTTAAAACCCTTCCATCCCTTCTCCCGCTTCACTGTGTGTGGCTCTTGGGGGCTTTTCCGCAAGGTGGGAGAAGGGACTTGACGGGCTGCCCTTCTCCATCCTCGGGGAAAAGCCCCCAAGAGCTGCACACATGCTCCACGTGACTCTTTAAAGGGAGCGCTGAGCACAGCCCGTATGCATCCCAGGTAATTTTTTAAAAACAACCCTGCGTTTTTATTGTGGCTTCTTTGTTATTGTTTTTAACATTGCATTTTAGTTTGTTTTTATTATTTTATCCTGCATGCTGTCTTGATTATGCTTTTGGCGCAGAAGAGCAGGATATAAATACCTAATTGAATAATAAGAATAATTGCAATGAGATGGAGTGGCTTGAAAAATATTCAATACGTGTTTTTTTAAAAAAATTCTAAGAATATAATTCATATAGCCATCTGCCGAGATGCTCGCCAAGCAAGACCTATCTCCAAGTCATGAATAGCAACAACACTTCCTTACTCACAGTTTCTCCTTAGATCCTGTAACCAGACTTTGCTTTGTGGAAAGCGGAAAGATGGAAAAATGCCTTAAGGCTGTACAGAGGGTGGTTTACTGTGTGGCGTTTAGGCAACTTTCCATTTCCCCATCTTTGTCTTCCACATCCTACAGTGGATCAGGCAAGTGGGAAATGGCCTAGGCTTAATGATATCTTACTCTGAGTAGATGGAAGAATTACTGTTACTTGAAGTTGAAAAGCAGAGATACCAATAAGTGATTTGCACATTTGTGCTACAAGTTGTTTGTGAGAGGATCTAATCCTGGTGTCTCTGATAGCAGCTGTTGCTTTAGTTCCCAATTCATTTTGGCTGTTGCTGCTGACAATGTTGTTGTTTGTCCACAATACGCGGGGCTCCTCCAGACAACCTGTTTATTCAACATTCATCCTGATATGCTTGCACAAAGCTTACACAATAGTTGGACAATGTCTGATCTTCATTGAGCATTTGTTCTGATTTATTTATGGGGTAGTTATACAGCAAAGAGTATTTATCTTACATTCACCCTTATGTGCGTGCAGGGTCTTTATGTGTCATTGAACCGCCCTTAGACCTGCAAGTACTGTATAGGGCGTTATACAAATTTAATAAATAATAATAATTCATCATCCCACACTTTTGAATGCATTTCCCCATCACTTTGTAAACTGTGAAAAGTCCAATGTTGTTTATTTAAAGTGGATTTGTGATACTAGGATGACAGAGGGTTGCAATCCACTTTAACTGTGCAAACCTAAAGTTCCAGTATGTGTTTGTATTCCTCCCACAAAATATCAACAGTTTGGGGGCACCCTAAAACATCCACCAACAAAACACACGCACTCCCAGACACTCAGCCTTGAAACAGAACCACTTCACTGTTGCCAGATCTGCAGCAGGCTGTCCTTAAATATCATTTAGAAGGGTGGTTTTAGCATGCACAGACACAAGCATTTTTTTGGCTGTGGTTATAACACTGGTCGTGGGTTACATGCCAACCTTCTCTCCCTCTCTGACTTCCTTATCCCATTTGGCATCAATTCCTCACCTGCAGGCGGTTCTAGAACTCCTCATGCACAACCTCTGCTCTTTTCTCTCCCGCCGGCAAGGATCTTCCTTTCCCAGACCCTCTCCTTTGCTTGTGCATTAAGCCTGCACACCACACTGTACTCAGTGCAAGAGGCTTTATTCCGTTTCCATGGCAGCTCCAGGCAGGATGAAAGGACTGGAGGAAGGAGGAGGGAAGCAAAACTCGTTGCTCGGAATTCATTTGCTTGCAAAGGAATTGCTACCAGTTGTGACAAACTCCCTCACTCACACTTCTTATTCTGTCTTCTGTAACTCACTGTGAAAAATGGGGGGGGGGGGGGAGGAAGGAAGGAAGGAAGGAAGGAAGGGGCTAAGCTACGACCACTAAACCACAAGAGAACTCCTCACCCACAAAACAGTTCCCTGCCTTCATTTTCTCTTCATAACAACCCTGTGAGGTAGGGAAGGCTGATAATAACAGCCATAAGGTCATCAGGGTTGGGTGGAGTGGCTTGAGCAAGAAATCTGTTCCTGCATTACACAACTGTGAAATAAAGAGGCTAAAAGGTTTTCAGAATGAATCAAGGACTAATTGAAACTTTGAAGAATGTGACGCACATGGAAACTCTAGCCACACAAGAGAAAGGGAAGGGCACACAAGTTGATACAGGTCAGTCTGAAGATCCACATATCCCTGGTGTAATACTAACATGATAGCCATCACAGCATACTGGCTCTTGTAGGCTGCAAGCTCCCTGGAGGCAGAGGCCTGTTACATGGCACCCACTGTGTGTGCACAAACCAGGACTCCCAGCAGACTGGTGTCTTAATCTCTGCAGCACCAGGACTCTGCTTTAACTGCATGTTTGGCAGGCTGAACTCTGCTTCAACTACATGTAATACTGGTCTACCTGAGCATTCAGTCATGTGACCCTCAAAGGCCAATCCCTGTCCACTAGGCCCAATAAAGCCTTAGCCCCAGTCTGAGGGACTCTTCTCTGTTGTGATGCCTGCACCCTAAGCCACTGTCCCTGTTTTGGACCACCCACTCGTTCTTTCTCAGCTCCCTCAGCTTCTCTAGGTCCCATAACAAGACCTGAAACCTGACTGACTCATGTCTTTTGCATGTATCAGCTGGTAGGTCCCGCCCTTTCTGATGTGTGGTCAGAGTTGGCACAGATGCAATATATTTTGGTCAAGGTTTCATGTACTGTATTCCTTGATTCAGTTTTGCAAAATCTCTCCTTAAAGTTGCATTATTTTTCACTTATACAATACAGGAACATAATCACCCACTCTACACACATACAGTCTTGTAAGACCTGACACAGCCGAACAATGTGGTTGGTTGCAATCCCAGAAATCTGTATGCTGTGAAGACTGGTAAGGAGGCTTAATTCCATATTAGGAATGGACAGTGGCCACCTATTTATTTATTCCCTTTAAAAATGTATAACCTTCCCTTCCAAAAGGAAGTCTGCAGCTAATTGATCGCATAGGAGAACAAATCGCAGTTGTGCATAGGCTGAGTCTTCAGTGGGGTTTGAAGAATCAGCTATTTGACTTATACCTGAAATGCCTTGTCTAGTAGAGTTTGAACAGCCACATCTTTCACAAATAAAAGTGCATTTTATTATTGCTCTTTGAGGTGCTTGAATAATTTTAACCACTAGGTGGCATTACGCTCCAACACACAGCCAATGAACCTAGTGACGTAGCACATAAATGCTTAAGCTGCCATGTTTTCATACACAAGACCCCCGTGTAATCCAAACAAGTATTTGGGGACCTATTCATTCGTTCATTCATTCATTCCATACATTTTTATGGTGGTAGTGCTGCTGTTCTGCAAGAAGATCAAACCTATCCATTCTTAAGGAAATCAGCCCTGAGTGCTCACTGGAAGGACAGATCCTGAAGCTGAGACTCCAATACTTTGGCCACCTCATGAGAAGAGAAGACTCCCTGGGAAAAACCCTGATGTTGGGAAAGATGGAGGGCACAAGGAGAAGGGGACGACAGAGGACAAGATGGTTGGACAGTGTTCTCGAAGCTACCAGCATGAGTTTGACAAAACTGCGGGAGGCAGTGGAAGACAGGAGTGCCTGGCATGCTTTGGTTCATGGGGTCACGAAGAGTCGGACACGACTAAACAACAAAGTGCTGATGTTGTGACCCACTTTAGATTAGGCTGCAACCTGGTAGTGGGTCCTCAATCCACCAGTTGGCCTCTGATCGAAGAGAGAATATAAATCTGTCAGGTATCCAATACTGGCATAAGTAGCTACTGGAGCAAATGATCCAGTCCGACATCTAATCCATCATGTCTGGACCCTTTCAGTCATTGCCCATATCAAAGGCAGTGGATGTACATAGTGACAATCCCAACTATTTCTGACAGACTCCTCTGTGGTGCAGTGCAGTGTTTTCCCAAACCCCTTGCCTGAAACCTAAGGTGGTGTACTGCTTAGAATTTATTACATTTGTATACTGTCCTTTGCCCACATATCTCAGGGCAGTTCACAACCTAAAAATACAATATAAAAGCACAATATACATGATAAAAACAAGAACAAAAAAACCCACAAGCCAATAACCCCGCTCACCCCCTCCCACACACAATTTTTAAAGGGGTATAAGTTGTCAATCAGCCCAAGGTCTGGTTGAAAAGGAACATTTTTGCTTGGCATCTAAAAGTGTATAATGAAGGCACCAGTTGAACCTCCCCGGGGAACTTCAGACCTGGGCAGGGAGAGATGCAGGCCCTTCACACCTCTCCTTAGGACATGCCTCCTCCTGAGGCCACACCCTTCATTGGCCCTCAGGTGTCTGGTTGGAATGTGGCCTTGAACTGTGCTTCTCGCTTGCCTGGCTTACTCCCAGGTGCTGGGGTTAGGATTGCAGCCTCATGGTCTCTGCTCAAATGCATAGGTCATCTTCCGAGGCCCATCTCTAAGTGTTTCAACCTATTTAGGTTAGACTGGTGGTGGTCAGAGAAAGGGACTTTTCAGTGGTGGCACCGCATTTATGGAATGTCCTCTCCAGGAAGCCCAGCTGGCACTTTATATCCTTTTAGTACCAAGTACATGGGAACATAGGATTCTACCTTATACCAGGTAGGGCTCCTTGTCCATCTAGCCCAGTAATGTTTACTCTGAGCAGCGGCTCAAGTAGGTGAGTCTTTCCTATCACCTGTTATCCTTCACCTGGAGACTGAGGTGGCCTTTTGCATGTGCTTTACCACTAAGTTATGCCTCCTACCCAATTAACTGAAGATCTCTTACATTGATTCTGGGCTTTTACAATGTTTTACATCTGTTTTAATTCTGCTGGCGTTTCTTCTACCCCCCCCCCCAATGTTATTTAAGTCTTTTAAGTACAGTGGTACCTATGGTTAAAGACGCTTCAGGTTGCAGACTCCGCTAAGCCAGATATAGTACCTCGGGTTAAGAACTTTGCTTCAGGTTGAGAACAGAAATCGCACAACGGTAGCACAGCGGCAGCAAGAGGCCCAATAGCTAAAGTGGTGCTTCAGGTTAAGAACGGACCTCCAAAATGAATCAAGTTCTTATTCCGAGGTACCACTGTAAATGCATTTTGCCAGGAAAACAAAAATGTGAACTGCCAAATAATTACTTTGCTGCATGCTCATGTAAACACCAGGCCTCCCACCACAGTGTTAACACCATCAGTGTTATTCATGCTACTAAAACATGTTCCTGCACAATAGGCCTGTTTTACAACCTTGCTGCAGAACAGCCTTTTCCAATTTTCTGGCCTCAGAAGCACTCCCAAAATGCAGCTATGTTGGTTGGTTTCTCCCAGTGAGTCACATAGCAGGTTCTCCTTCCCACCCATTGCTTCACATTCCCACCCATCTCCTCCTCCTCCTCCAACCACCATGGCATGAGGAATGAGGCCTATTGTGCCATTCCCAGGTATGAAGCATTGGCTGGCTGTCTGGCTGGTTGCCCCAGTGTAGGGCACAGCTTGCTCCTGTCAAAACCAAGGCTCAGCAGCTGAGTCCCAAGGACTGCTGGTGAGAGTGCAAATAGATATGGCTGTCTCCTTGCCACCTTTCTATTTGGTCTTATGAATGTTGACTCAAGTGCAAGTGGGATTTATTCCCGTTATGTGCGCACAGGACTTCAGCCTTCGTTGTTCAGCAGGCTCTGAATTTAGGACTTCATTAACCAAAACAATAATTACAAGGGACTACTGCAACCTCTCCCTTATTGTGTAAGTTCCCTCAAGCAACTAGTTCTCAACAAATGGAAGGTGAAATCATTATCCAACCACCTCTATATATTCAATCAGGCCGAAGACATAGGAACTAAACTATTTCAGACCAGGACCAGATTGTGAGGTTTCTAAGGACAAGGCAACTCTATGAGCAAAGACAAGTGGGGGGTTAGGAACATTACACACACACACACACACACACACAGAGAGAGAGAGAGAGAGAGAGAGAGAGAGAGAGAGAGAGCTAGCACAGCATCTGCTAAAAGTGTGCACTATTGTTTCTTAATGCCATGTATTTCAGCTCTCTCTTATCTTTAATAAACTTTTTCTAAACATACTTTAACTGGATATGAAGCAGTCTGCTGCCAACAGGTAGGATTCTGAGACCAAGCTTTGGGTTGCTTTGCCATTGAGGAAGCAGGGTCCCTTTCCAATGGCTTTTACATGCCCCAAAGTGCTCTGCAATCAGGTAAAGCAGGAAGAGAAGGCCAGGTTATAGCAGGCCCAGAAGAGTCTGCTTGTGTCTCAAGAGGCCATAAGAGAGCTGAGACCCAAAGGGACAAAACAGAAGCAAGCCCAAGCCACCTGGGAAATCAGCTCAGCCAACTTGAACCAAAGGGGGGGGGAGTCCCACATCTCCTTCATGTGCTAAGCAAAAGGCACTTACCTGCTCTGATTACAGAAAATGGGTAGGAAGAATGTCTGTGCTTATAGGAGGAGTGAGAAAGTGACTCCCCTAATTCAACCTATGCTGGGATTAGAATATGTGGAGAACTGATTAAAGGCTCCAGGGGGAAATGAGGTGGCTTTTCATGAGTGGTAGTGAGGATGGGTTTTCACAGTGCAGTATTCCTTCTCTCTTCCATGTGTGGTGCTCAGTGAAATTACGTGAGAAGGCAATGAGGGAGGAAGTGAGTTCTGAAGAGGATCCGAGGTGCCGGGCTCTCCTATCCTGAAGTGGGAAGTGATCTGAACAGCCAGAAAGTTCAGCTCCAGCACTCAAGCAGAACTGATAATCCAATGTCACCCTGATTAGAATGTGACAAAAACAGAAACCAGAAGGGATTAAGGTATACATGCATATGTACACAGACACACACAAACATAAGAAGATTCCTTACAGTCAGTGGTATGTGAAGGCATTGTGCTCTGGCCGTCCAGTGCTAAGGAACACAGCCCTTCTTTGAACAAAGAAGTAAAAGGAATTAGGCTATTTCCCTGTTGAAGAGTTGCCTGTCCCTGATTCCCCACCCCATGATATATAGGCATTTGAAACCGCAGAAAAGAAAGTTTTCTAATAAGCTCAAAAGATGGGCTTTGTAAGCTACAGGCCTGCGAGCTGAACACATTGATGAGGAGAAGGGAACAGAGATAGGAGTTCTGACCAAAACAATCCCGCAAAGCCCCAGGGCATTTCACAAAGATACACGAGTACACCACACATGTACAAAAATAGCTATAATGATGATTTGGTCAGGTGTAGCTGTGCTTCCGCCCCCGCCCCAATGGATAATTCCTGTGGTCTTATCCATTCAGAAAACAGGGTTGTTTATTTTTTAAAAAGTCACTTTCTACTTCTGCTCTTTGTTGTGTCTTTTCAATTCCTTTGCTCCCTTATTAGGGTGAAAAGTTCCCATTCCCTCCTTGGTTCCAGCCGAAGATAGAACTTCAGCCAGCTCCCCCATTCAGTCCATGTTTGGACTCAATGGGGCCAACACATGAGAGGACACCCCTGTCCCCTTTATCATTCTCCTCATCACTGATCCTCCATTTTCTCCCTAATTTCCAAAGGCAACGCCTCATAAAGACTGCTCTCCACCAGCAGGCCACTCCGTTTGAGCACTGGGCACTGGCCAATCTCCAAGGGAAGGGCCTGAAGGGGGTTTCCTCTCAAGTCTAGTGTGGAGAGTGAAGGCAGCCAACTCACACGGTCAGAGAGGCGGTGCAGTTTGTTGTGTCCTACTTTGAGAACCCTGAGCTGCTTGCAGAAGAAGATTTCGTTTGGCAGTGCCTCTAAGGAGTTGTGAGAAATGGCAAAATGCTGAAGGCTCTGCAGGACTCCCATCCCAGGGGGGATGACCTGGATATTGTTATAGGAAAGGTCCAAAGTGTGCAGCCTAGAACACTGGAATAGTTGGGAAGGGAGGACCTCAATGCGGTTATGGCTGAGGTCAAGCTGCTCTAGGGTCTTGAGCTTGCGGAAGTGTTCAGGAATGCTGGAAATGTGGTTGTGCCAAAGTTTGAGGCACACCAGCTTGCGGCAATGCTGGAAGCTGATGATCTCCGCAATGGACTGCAGCTGGTTATCCTTGAGGTCCAACTGCTGCATGTTCACCAGGCTGAAAACAGCATGGGGGATGCGTTCCAGGTTGCAGTTTATCAGCTCCACTTCTTGCACAGAGAAGAGCTTCTTGAGGTTGTTGAGGGTCACTAGCTTAGTCCCATCGTTGTAGATCCTGAGCTTCTGCAGATGGGCGGCAACGTCAGACACGCTAGGTGGCAGTTTTGAGATGTTGCTGTGCAGAGTCAAGGTCTTCAGATTCCTCAGCTCACGCAGGTTCTCCAGAGTTCCTGCCCGGCCCATCTCTGGACTGAAAAGTCCCGAGATGTGCAACTCTTCCAAGCCTCTCAAGTTGTAGGTCCATAGCGGTATATCTTTGATGTCATCAAACTTCACAGTCATTACCTTCAGCTGCTCACGGAAGAACATAAGAGAGGTGAAAGAGAGCTTGACGGGAGAGTTGATCAGTGTGAGCTCCTGGAGCTGGGCCAGCTGAGTCACTGAGGGTGGGAATGTCACATCTTTGAGGAGCTCCAGCTTCAGGGACTGCAGCTCATTCAGCTCAAAGGTGGTGTCAGGCAACCCTGGTAGCATGAAGAGATGGAGCTCCACCCGGCCTTGGGCGTTGGTTTGCAGCTTCTGCCGCAGTTTGTCCACCGTCCACTCATGACTGAGGTTGATCTGCTTGAGTCTGAACTCGCTGACCTCGGAAAGGAAGACAGCAAAGCGCTTGGAGTAGAGGGAATCATACTGGTCAATGAGGTGGAGCATGAAAGCAAAGTCGTTCTTGACGTCAGGAATGTCGCTGATGCCTGTCTCGTTGCGTGCAAATTGAAAGGAGTACTCTTTCAGCGGCCGGTGAAACAGCCAGTAGAGCGTGTAGAGACACGTCATGCCGTATATGCCAAGGAAGCAGATGTAGCAGATGGCCAGTTTGGAGAAGAGGTGGGCTTTGGTGTGGTTGCAGCAGAAATGGTCATAGCCCGTCATGTCCTCCATCCTGACAGTGCATGGCACAATGAAGCTGATATTGGAAACCAAGGCTGCATTGTAGGCAATGATGACGAGAAACTTGAAGACTTTGAGAACGGTTTGGCGGATATACATGGTGTAAAGGATGTCTCCTTTTTCAACGTGGAGCCGGAACTTCTTCACCTTTTCAAAGAGAGCTTTGGCCTGCTCCCCTTCCTTTTTGTCCAATAGGCTAACCGGGGAGGTCTCTGAAACCTTCTTTTCTGACACCGATCCCCCGGGGGGGTTGAGTTCAGCTGTCTCGCTGGGAGCACTGCTTTTCCTCCTCCGGTACCCCTTCTCTAAGAATGCATTTTCCTGGTTATCCCCAGAGACTTCAGAGATGGCTCGAGTAGTCCAGGGCGAGTCAAAGCACTTGCTCAGGATGGAGATAAAATGCTCAATCTTGGAGCTGGTCCCAGGAAACTTGAACCAGAACGAGGTGCACGCCATGAAGATGAGGGTGTGGATGACCACGAGGTATGGGAAGTATTTGGCGTACCAATGGAGGGCCGTCTCATAGCACATCTGATTGATGTAGCTGTACTGTTGGAGGTCTAGGTTGTTCTTCAATCCATTCATTCGCTGGTTGGCAGAGGGTCCTACTGGCTCAGAGACATTGGCTCTCTTTTTCGTGAAATCTTCACAAGATGCACCAGTGAAGGTTGTGCCATCAGGCACATGGTTGGGAAGGCAGATAATCTTATCTTGTGTTACCTGTCACATCAGGTTAGGAAAGAGAAGAGAGGAACATGATATAAAACAGAAGCTGGTGGTAGAACGCAACAGTTTATATGAGGTGGGGATGAACAAGTACAGCCTTGAAGTGGCTGAATGGACTGTACCTCTTCATATATTTTTTTAAAGTCCCTGCAGGTAGAAAACTAGCATAGCAAGGAGTAGGCTGGTCTAGAACAGCTCTTTCTGATGTGCTGGTTTCACTTTTAAGGAGTTTTTGTTCTACATGTTATTTAAAAAGGCATCCTCCCCCACCTGTAGTCTGAAATGATAAAGTCTAATATCTAATACTGCTTCATGTGTAGTCAAAATGGACCTAATTTAAATGAACTGATAATCTAGTCTTAATACTAAAGGGGCCAAGGGGAAATCTGCCCCTGTATAAACCTGCTAATAACTCGTCTGCATGCATTTTCTATGCTGTGTCAGCTATAGGGCTGCGTTTTCAATACTGATTACAGAATGAGGGGGTTGCATGAGACATGTCTTATCTTTCCTTCCCAAGGATCTAACCCTCTGTGGGCTTCTTTGGATCTGAGGAGAGTTATGATAAAGCACTGGCAAGAGAAGGTGAAGTCATGGCACAGAGGTCCTTCCCAGCCCTGCTATGGTATCTATCACCTAATACTTCATGCCCTTCACACGGGATAGAATCTAAAAAGTTGTGGCTCCCGGGCTGCATGAATCCAGTATACTCAGTACTCAATCCCTCATCTCTGCCACATAGGGTCTTCAACGTTTGGAGAACAGAGCCTCCCTGCCTACGTTACTGAGGCTGCACAGTGCTAGGCCACCACCCCTTACAAGTGGTTGGATGCAGAGAATCCAGCCCCCCAGGCTGTAGAAGTTGACCATTTCTGTGCTGGGGTCGTTTCCACCCTTGCCCAGACTGCCCCCAAATATTTAGAGCCTCTTCTCCCACAGGCAGTGAGTGGATCATCACCCCAAGATTCCAATGATTCCAAGATTCCAATTCTCCTTCCTTGGAGGTTTTTAAGCAGACGTTGGATGGCCATCTTTCATGGATGTTCTAGCTGAGATGCCTGCATTGCAAGGGTCCTTTCCAGTTCTACAATTCTCTGATTCTATGACACCATGGCAGCACCTAGGCACTGCGTGGGCTCCCCCCATACTCACTCACCTGCAAAGTGCAGCCAAAAACTCCTATCATCAGCATGGCTATAGTGATGTACTCGGCCAACACATCCCACCATGGCTTGAGAACCTTGAAAGCAGGCTGCTGGTCTGTGAACTGCTTGAATTCGGCCACCGGGATCATACTGCCTGCCAAAAGACAGTGAAGGATTAGAACAGTTTAGACAGTGAAGGATTAGAACAGTCACCTCTCACTTTTAGTAATGCTGGGCTGGCTGCAGGGCCTATAATCTCTCCCTGTTCTTGCACAACCTAGGTGTCCTTTGTCCAACATACATACACCACTGGGACAATGCCATGTACATGAAGAGGGAGCTGCCTTCTAGACTGGTGCCTGCCCTAAAACACTTTAATAGCCATTGTTTACACCTGACAGAAAACATAGCCAAGTTAGGCAGATTCTGGCATCTACTGCAGTAGCATCTCTAGGCCCATAAGGACCCCTTGCAGTGCTTTGACATGCTACTTCCTCTTTCATGGGCCAGCATCCACATCTCACAGTGAGGCAGCTTATCTCAAAGACCAAGAAAACCCATTGTTTCTACAGTATATGGCTGCCACACCCAGCACTGAAGCAGGGCAAGGCAGGGCTATCTGGTCAGCAACACTGCTGCAGAGGGGACTCACCCAAGGATTCAAGAAACTGCCATTCCTCGCTTGTGTTTGCTAACGTATTTAAATACACAGGGAAAATAGAAAAATACAGATAGCAACGCTGGCAACCTAACAGCCCCCCAAAGTGATGATGCTAATAGATTTTATTGTGGTAGTTTGAAGTACAAGCCTATGTGGAAGCAAAATTTTATTTTTAGGACAGGTATTTTTTTGTAGGGTCTGGTATTGAGAGTTGAACAAGAGAGGTATATTCATAGTTTGGACCCTGGTCTTGGGGATGGAAGGACCAGACTCAGGGCCACATCTGCCTGGTATATGATGCCACTGAGAATATAATGCCTGATAAATGTCACACTGGAATAACGGGATCAGTGTTGCCTATTCAGACGATCCCACTATGCTACCAACTATGCTGCCTTCTATGCAAGATTCTCAGAGATCTAAATGCACAGCCATGCCTTCTTCATTGAGGAGGGCAAGACCTACTCACTCACCCAAATAGAGTACTCATGGTGAAGATGGATCTGGCTTCCAACACCACCAGGAGAAAATCTAATCTTTGAATGGACTGGTGTAGGTATGGCAATCTCCTTGCTATAGCTTATGCAAAGTTCCTTCGTCTCCTCTCTTTTGGTTTAGGATGGGATGGCAGAGTCTGAGTCAGGAGTTACATGTGTATCTGTCCTCTGGATGACACCTTCTGCAGAAACCCTGAAAGAGCAACCTTCACAGCTACATTCCTGCCCAGCACCTAGACTCTGGTACCATAGAACAGAGCAGTCTCTGAGATTCTGGTTGCTATAGTAGTGCTCTCGCTACACTGGCCTGGCCAAAGATGTTGGAGGAGCAGCATGGAATGTGCCAAGGAGAACCAAGGACATGGAAATGCTAATCCTGCCTCTAAAGTCTAGTGCTGCCTCAGCCCCACCAAAATCCAGAAGGAAGATACTCTTTAGCAGTATGATCAGAGGGTGCGATCTGTTTTCATCTCCCTTTCTGTTTATCTAATGACCCCCAACATTGACTTCTCTTCTCTTGGTAGGCATGTAGGATCTGGTTCTGATGGTCCTTGATTGCTCTGTGCTAGTCATTCTATCGAAGAGGAACATAAACAGAAACTGCATGGGCAAAATTCAGAGCAGCAGAGGGCAGCATGGCAGCAGACTGAGTATCCATGGAATCTGGTGGTCCCTGAACGGCTTCATCAGTTTCACCACACATTAACTGTGTGTGGATGGCTGTGGCTTCTCAGTACAATTGCAGGTTCCCAACAATGTGCAAACAGTGAAATGTGTATATACGAAAGGTCAGCATGAAGTTTAGGTGTTGGTTAATGGGGGGGCGGGGGAACCATGTAGGGAAAACATACTGTGCTTAGTATGGTACAGAGATTTTCTATATTATTTTTTTCATAACAATAATAATTAATTGTGTTGTGAATCACCTTTCCTCCAACAGAGCCCAGAGTGATGCACAACAAAGGATAAACAACAGAAATACATCAATGATGAAAACAAATACAGAGCTAAAAGCAGTCAACTGATGTTTCCATCTCCAGTTCTGAAACATTGCACTACTGTACATTGATACATATGCCTCAGGTGTTTGATTTATCACCATCTATGTCTCATTTTCATCAGGCAGGATTCATCCAACTTGACTGATGAAGTTATAGTTCCAAAGTAAATAACACTTTAGAAAAAGTGTGAAAAATACGCTTCTCTCTAGACTCACCCAATACCAACATTTCCTTAATCTAAATCAGACTCCCAAAGCTGTGTGGTTTAAGAGATGTCAAATTGGACCAGGATAGATTGACCACTGTCATCCATGTACTGGTAACCCCCCCCCCCCCCCGAGTGTATTGCTGCAATACAGTCTCTGTAGGGCTCGACTGTCGACTGGGACTAAGACTATCGCCATCATGTTATGCTACTGCAGAAAGAATTGCACTGGCTGCTGATTAGTTACCAAGCTAAATTCAAACTGTTGGTTTGGGTATACAGGTTGAGACTAGGATACCTAAATGATACTCTTAACTCTTGTATACCCAGTTGGTCATTGCACTCTGAAAGGGATGGGCTGTTCCATATGATACAGGAGCCTGGCTTTTAGCATGGAGGTACCTACTCTTTGGAATTCCCTCCCATTTACACATCAGGCAGGCACTGTCTCTATGATATTTGCAGCGTCCATTGCAGACCTTCCTTTTATTAACAAGCCTTTTAAGTGGAGATCTTTTGTATTAGATTTGAAATCATTTTTCTTGTTTTTCTTGTTGATTTTTTTCCACTGTGAAATCACTTATCAAGAGATTTTATAGGAAACAATAAATGGAAATGAATAAATAAATGTGGTAGACTCGCTTTGACTCTACAGAGTCAGCCAAATGGTTTAACTGAGACAGGCCTGGCAGCAACTGGCAAAAAAGTCCCCCAGATCAAAGTCAATTTTGATGGTGGAAGGGCACTTCCACAAAGAGACTATTGAAAGTGAGAAAAGGTGTTGGTTTCCATTATCCTTCCCAGCCTTCCAAGAGTTGTAGAACTTGTTTTCTCACCGCTACTAACCTGTTACAAAAGATCATTGGGTGCAATTTACTAAGACGCTCCTCACGGGCAAGTGCAATGATTAACAAGAGGGGTGTTGTTATTGACTGCACCAGGGGAGACCCCAAAATCACCCCAAGGAAAGGGCAACCAGGATGACCAAGTGGCTTGGAGCAACTTCCACATGAGAAAAGCTTACAACATTTGAGGCTTTTTAGTTTCAAAAAAAGTCAAGTAAGCAGGGGACGTGCTAGATAGAATTAGATATGGAGTCGAGAAAACAGAAGTTATTCCTCCCTCTCGCATATACTAGAACCCAGAGACATTCAATGAAGCTGAATGTCAGAAGATTCAGAACAAAGGAAAGCCCTTCTTCGTGCAGTGTGTAGCTAAACTGTGGAATTTGCTCCCACAAGATTGAGGGTTGGCCACCAATTTGGATAGACAAATTTGTGGACGTTCTGCCTCCCCTGTCGAAGGCAACATGCCTCTGCATACTTGTTTGTGGGAAACACAGGCAGGGAAGTTCTCTTGCAGGATTCCCATGGGCATCTGATTGGCCAATGTGATGCTGGGGAAGATGAATCTTTGGCCAGAACCAATATCCCTCCATGGTAGATCATTGGTGCTGTTCCCCAACGTCAATTTGTCTCCTTTTGCTGAGAGCTGGCTCATGCCCTTTCTTAGCTTCTTCCATAAGAACATGTCTGAACAGCTGAAACAGACACAGTCTGCATAAGGTTCTGGTTTCTATGAGCACCAAACCAGCCGGGTAATTATCTCTGAAAGTTACCATTCAGAGGAAGCAGCCAAGGGAAAAAGAAGCAGGAGGGGGTGAACAGAGGGCAAATCCAGCAATTTGAATAATCAAGCTTTTAATGAGACTTGTAAAATGTTCTGAAAGTAATGGAACTTATATAAAAGTTAATGTTATGAGTAGTAATTTTCCATAGAAAGATCTCTTGGAACAGAAATAGCTTCAGGGCGTCCTAGCTACCAGCTCTTCTGCTTCTGTCTCCGCCCAGTTTAAGGAAAAGAAGTTTTTTTAAAACAACAACAATATGCTTTGGTTCCCAAACTACCTGCCTTCCATGCTAATCTCAGATGGCATATACCTTCCAAAAAAAGAGAGTGGAGCACCCAGGAATTCTGCCTTCCAAATCATTTCCCACACCTGCTAATCCCTCTGCCTCCTCCTGCTCCTTTCACACGCCACCTTTCATCCTCTCTCCACTAAAATACATCCCATTATTTATTTCATTTCACCTTTTTCTTAAAAAAAAGCCCCTTGGCGTAAAGCGGGGGTGGGGAACCTCATGCCTGCAGGCCAAATGCAACCCTTGAGCCCTCTCTATATGGCCCTTGGGACTCTATCCAGACCACACTTCTCACTATCCCTTCTTCACAGCCTCTCCCCATATTAAACCATCCCGGACTGTGTGTTCATCATCTGAGGCCCTTCTTCGTACACCTCATCCACATGAGGTCCAGAAGGTGGAGCGGGCCTTTTCTGCAGTGGCTCCCCGTTTATGGAATACCGTATTTTTTGCACCATAACACTCACTTTTTCCCTCCTAGAAAGTAAGGGGAAATGTCTGTGCGTGTTATGGAGCGAATGCCTACGGGTGGCGGGGGGGATCTGCTGCAGTTGTGAGCAGAGGATCCATGGTTCCCCTTCCTTCCCTCCTCCGTGGCTCGCTTTGAAACAGCAAAGCGGGAGAAGAGACGTTGAGTGGGGAGGAGAGAGGGACAGAGAGCCTGCTTCTTTAAAGGAGCAAAGTGGGAGAGGAGAGGAGCCGCTTACACGAGTGTAAGCAGCTCCTGTCCGGTTGGTTCCTTTAAAGCAAGCAGGCTCTCTGTCCCTCTCTCCTCCCCACTCAGCTCGCTACATAGCAGCAAAGTTTTTCAGCTCTCTAAGCCGGGGATGAGCGGGGAGGAGGGAGAAAAGCAGAGCCTGCTTGCTTTAAAGGAGCAAAGTGGGAGAGGAGAGGCGCCTTCTCCCCTTATACCCCTCTTCTGCATTATTAGCAGCATCCTTCTCCACCCACCCCACGCGTGCTCCTTGTCCCTTGAGTGCTTTTCCTTTCCTCCCCACTTAAAACGTGGTTACAAAGCATGGATCCACATGGATCCTCAGGATTTTTGCACTGGGTCACCCCAAATTCACCATCAGATCACATAGCATGTCCATGGCTACATCTTGCACCAAAAAAATCACGCACCCACTGTTGCCTGGGGCCGCAGTGGTGCAAAAACGTGTTTACAAAGCACGGATCCACATGGATCCTCAGGATTTTTGCATTGGACTACTCCAAACTCACTGTCAGATCACATGTCTGTGGCCACAGCATGAACCACAAAAATCATACATCCACTGTTTCGTTTAGAATATTTTTTTTCTTGTTTTCCTCCTCTAAAAGCTATGTGCGTGTTATGGTCGGGTGCGTGTTATAGAGTGAAAAATACGGTACTCTCCCCAGGGAGGATCACCTGGGCCTTCATTACATATTTTTAGGCACCAGGAGAAAACGATACTCTTCAGCCAGGCCTTTGGCTGATTAATATCCTATAGCCTTTCAAATGTATCTGTGGGAAGGGGGTTGTTTTGGTTTAAATTTTTTTACTATGTTTTATCGTGAATTTTATTATGTGAACACCCTGAGATCTTTTGATGAAGGGAGGTATACAAATTTATTAAAGAAATAAATAAATCACACTTTGAGGGGTTTTGCCTGGCTGGAATGTGTCCTTGAACTCTGATAATGCCTCCTGCCTGTGTGGATAAAAGGAAGGAATGGAGGGAAGGAAGGAAGGAAGGGTCTGCAGGTGCCTAGAGAGCGAGAGTAAATCAAGATGTGTTATAATTAGGGAGGTTCTGTGCCAGACTGACTGTACAAGTCCTTATCCCCCTACTTCCAGTCCAGACTAAATACTTTCTAAATTACAGTCACTCCAGCGGCTGTGTGTCTACGTATTATCTTCGTCAAAGTGGAAACAAAACAAGAGGTACATCAAGCTGTGGTTTCATTGTCTCAAGCTGCAGACATGCCACACGTTTAAAGCACACCCAGCCAGAGAATCCTAGGAACTATATAATAGTTTGCTAAGGGTGCTAGGAAATGTAGCTTTGTGTAAGCTACATTTCCCATGATTCTTTTTTGTAGGGGGAGGGGTGCTTTAAATGCACGGTGTGTAAATGTGTTTGCAGCCTTTGAATACACAACTGTGTGGGAATAAGCAGCTCCCAAACTCTGTCAAATAAGCTGAAGAGTCTCCCAGAAATAGGCAGGTAACACTGAAAGGGAGCAGGGAGCAGGAACTGCTAGCCAACTTCCCCCTGTAATTGTTTATCTTTCCTATCAACTAGTTTTCCTTGCTGTTCTCCCCACTCATTCCTTGGAAAAAAACAGTATGTAAGTAGAGACAAAGCAATGAGTACCTGCTTTAGAACGCTTGAAAGTCCAAGACTATTTTTCACCCAAGGAGCATAACATTTAGTCGGGGTTGGTGGTACCTAGTCCTCCCCTTACTCGCCTCACCCCTGCAGTTTGAGAGACACACAGAGAGAGCGCTCCTGTATTTAAAGATATTGGAAAACTCTAGCAATTACTTTAAGCTGTCCCCACCACAGTTCCCCACCACAGGCAGCCCATTATGCAATGGCTACATTTGGGTAGAGATGCACCATAGCATATTTAAAGCACATGGCTTCCCCTGAATAATCCTGTAGACTGTTGTTTACCTCTTAAGCTACAGTTCCCAAGAAGCCGTGTGCTTTAAAAGTATGGTGGGGCCAAAACAGTGGATACAATTAAAGAACCATAGAATTGTCATCTAGTTCAACACAACTGGATCACATTAAAAGTCCATCTGGTCCAGCGTCCTGTTCTCACAGCCAACCGGATGCCCATGGGAAGCCCACCAACAGGAGCTGGTCTCAATGCCCACCCACCCCCCTCACCCTTGGCTACCACCATCCACCCAGGCTCACCAAGCCCATTTCCAGCGCTAGGGCTCATCCCTGGGGGCTGTGATGCAATATTAAGGAAGGAAGGCCCCTTTGTGCATGCGCAGGGTGCCATTCCAGCCGGACCAAATGGAGTTGGGGGGGGGGGAGAGCTTCCTAAACTCGGGAGCTACAAAATAAGCAAGTTGAGGAGATCTCTTCACCCAACGTTCCTTCATTTACGAGGAGTAGATCTCTCTAGCGCCCCCCTCCGCACTTTCCCACTCCATCGGTCAAAGGGGAGACCCCACCGCCTGCTAATCTTGCCCCCATAGTTTACCCGAGTGCAAAACGCGCGTTCACAGGGTAGCCATGCACAGCATCTCCAGGCACCGTCGGTGCGCGCGCCAGGCTCCCGTTGCTGTCGGGGGTCTAGGCTCGGGCATCACCTCGTCGGGACCTCATCCACATTCTGGGAACGGGCCGGGCAGAGGTAAGGCTACATGCTCGCTTTCTTGCCGCCAAGGTGGGGGGGGGGCAATACCTCTAGCGGCAAAGTCAGGGTGGGCCGCCCGCCGTAAGCGCGCTGCCTAGGAAGTTCCACGAGGAGCCCTGTGGGACTCCTTCCAGGTAAACACGCCGGCTCTGGCCGGATCTTGAGTCCCGCTCCGCGGCCACACTTTCGAGGAAGTGAATGGGGAACGCTTCGGTCCCTTTATGAGTCGATCCCGCCTCTCCCTAAAACCGACGTCCCAGCCTGCGTAAAGACGCGCACACTCACCGACGGTTCCCCCCAGCCGCTTGCCTGGAGTTTGTAGGCTCTCGCTGGCTGCCCCGGCCGCCCGGAAGCACCTGAGCCGGCTTCCTTGTGGCCACCTGCGCTAGGAGGCAGCGGCCCTTGCTGGCTTCTCCGGCGCCGGCGGCGGTGTCGGCCGGTACAAGTGGCGCCCTCCTCCCGTGCCGGGCCCGTCCCTCCCCAGGCGCCCGGCGCTCCCGCCTCCCTGCCCATTCCCTTGAGCTGGCTTGGGGAAGGGAGGGAACCTCGCGCAGGGCGCCGCCGCCCAGCCAAGCACCGAGCGAGAGGAATCCGCCCCGACGGCCCACGCGAAGCAAGGAAGAGCAGCCCGAGACGGGCCCAGGCCGGGAACCACCCACTGGAGGGTTGCCATTTCCAACTCCTCTCACGCTGCCTTGGAACCTCCCTCAAGGATCGCTGGACGTCTGAAGCAGATTCAGGATGGGGGGCGGTGCGGTGTTGGGACCTGGTGGATTCTGATGGACGGCTGACCCCACCTGGTGACCGCCATTCATGTGGATGTGGCAAAATGCAACAAAAGGGTTGGCTAGCTCACTGCCTCTTGACTCCTTCCACAGCTCAGAGCTATATCAGGAGAAAGTGAGATGACATCTCAGCAAGATCCAAAGTGCATCAGCCTGGTCACCACTTGTGGTGGTGGCTTTGCCCTTCTCTGTTTATCTCAAACCACTGTAAGGCTGCAATCCTAAACACACACGACCTGACTGGGATTAAGTCACATTAAACGTAGCAGGACTTCTTTTGGAGTGAACACGGGGCTCGCCCACCCATGAGGCAAGGTCAGGCGATGGCCTCAGGCGGCAGGATCCACAAGCAGCAGACCTGGCCTCCAAGAAATGCATTGCCCGCTGCTGCTGCCACAGTGGCATCAACTGCTGTGGTGCACTCCTTGGAGGATAGAACTGCAGACTCCCCAATAGCACATCTGCAGTGGCCTTTTAGCAAACAGGAGGTGCTGTTCCTGATGTTCTCGATATACTGGTAGATCTTTATTCCCATCATAGAGTTGGCAGGGGCCCTGAGGAACATGTAGTCCACCCCCTGCAATGCAAGAATATGCAGCTGTTTCTTACAGGGATTAAACCTGTAACCTTGGTGTTACCAGCACCACGCTCTAGTCAGCTGCGCTATCCTTGTCAATGTCCACTTCTTGTTCCCTTGGGGGAGGAGGCATGCCATTTTGTGGTTTGCCTCAGGTGCCAAAATGTTTTCGGCTGCCCTGATTGAACACGTCTGGGATTGCTGTGCTGGAGTAGACACACAGGAGTGTAAGAGCACCTGTGTCGCTCAGCCTCTCGTGGCTGGATGACCAGGCCCCTGAAAGTGTGACCAGGGATGCTAGCATTCGATTGACGTTGGAGAAAGACTGAGTTGAGAAATAAGACCAAGGGTACATATTGATATCGGAATGTATTAGATAAAATGTAAAGAAATATACAATAATAAGAGTACATTCATTTGTAAAAAAGTAATATCCAACGGGATAGACAGGAAGTCCAAAGTGTTGGTACATATATGATTTTGGAATAGTTTTTTTGTCCTTGTTGCTTTTCTTTAGGTATACAGTGGTACCTCGCAAGACGAATGCCTCGCAAGACAAAAAACTCGCTAGACGAAAGGGTTTTTTGTTTTTTGAGCTGCTTCGCAAGACGACTTTCCCTATGGGCTTGCTTCGTAAACACCGTTAATACAGTTGCGACTTGACTTCGAGGAACAACTCATAGAACGCGGTGTGGTAGCCTTTTTTGAGGTTTTTAAAGACTTTGGTGATTTTTAAAGCTTTTCCAAAACTTTCCCGACACCGTGCTTCGCAAGACAAAAAAAATCGCAAGACGACAAAACTCGCGGAACGAATTAATTTCGTCTTGCGAGGCACCACTGTATAAACTTTGTATACATGCTGAAAATTATATTATAATAAGCCTTGTGATGTAATATGATAATGTTTACCGATACAACATAAGAACATTAATAAATAAATAAAACTCAAAAAAAAAAAAAAAAGAAAGTGTGACCAGGAGTACCGAGCAAGTTAACCGTTTCCACTAAAGAATATTGCAGCTGTGCTGATGCAGTGGCGGCTGCCAGTGTTGTCTGATCTGCAGTGCCTGAGTCATGAACAAAACTCATCATCCAATGCTGCCCTCACCAAGTGATGAACTAAACTGAAATCACTCAGAGGTGATGAAAATGTGTTGTCATTGTTTGAGTTTATTTCTGTTCTGCCTTTTGGCCAAAAAAGCGTGCGCCCCCCCCCCCCCAGCCCAGGGTTCACACACACACATACAAAACACAAGTTTTGTACTACCTCTGTGGTAGTTGAAGGACTTTCCATGTGATGGTGTGATGAATGTGGCTTCACAGCAGATGCATCCAATCCTTTTTCTCTTCTGTGATCCCTTTTCCCCTGTCATGAGGTGAAGCTTTGGAGGAGTCGCCTTGCACTAGAGATCCATGTAGGTATTGCTGTTGCAAAAAAAACCTAGATCATGCATTCTTTGCAAATCTTCACAATCAGGGCAGAACCAAACTAGTGCTGGCCCACAGCTGTGTTGGAAGACCTTGGATGTTGAGAGTTCTCTTTCTGGTGGGACAAATGATTGTACGAATCTAGCCTTCGGTTTCCCAGCTGGGACATGTGCTGCTTCCATGCAGAGCACGTCAAAAAGGCCCCAGTGATCACACCATTTTAAGTCTTGTCACCATTTAAAACCAGGCCCTTGGTATCTGCCTGTGCTACTTAGCCCCAGGCTGGAAATGCTTTTACACACCTGTGATGATATGGATCTCGGTCTCATATCTCTGCAGCTCTTTTTGTGCTTGGACAAAAAGCCTTCTCATTCAGTGCCAGCAGCATTTCCCTCCCCTGGAGCAAGGTGCTGTCCCTTAGCATACAAAGGCACCAGCCATTGAGAGCCATTGAGTCATTCTGGACACAGTCTGTGGCAGGGGCTACCCAGAGATCATTCGGCGCTGCTGAAAAATGCAGCTGCCTCTGGGGTCACGCTCCTCCGCTTCAGCCAATGTCCAAGTGGGAGGCAAGGAAAAATAATCCCCTCTCCAGCCCTTACGTAAAATGTTTGTGGCAAGCTTGTAGACAAACCCTGTGCTAAATTCTGCCCTTTGGTGAGTGGAGGAAAGCAGCCTATAAAAGGCGGTTATTATGTTCTCAAGAAAGCTGATCGTTAGGACTCTGAATGGGCTCAAAGCCTTTCATTGTCTGGGGGGAAATTCACCCGACCCTGATCTACCTCTAAACAGACGTGCTCAGGTTGTCTGTGGTGTTTTGCAGCTCTGGTTGGAATAGACCATTTCTTCTTGACAGCAATATGTGTGTGGGCTGGGGAGCTGGGCCCTGTGTTGTTGCCAATTTTCCCCTTGCAAGAGTCTAAACAGTGTGGCTGTGTATGAAGGCCTGGATCCCAGAGCCCGGAAGCAACTGGCAGGTAAATGAAAGGAAGCCAGCCGGGCACCAAAGCTCCAGAACGTTGAGAAATGTGGCAGCTTGTTTCTGCTTCCTCACTCCTTCTGCTTGGTTTTGGAATTACCTTGCCTCTTGTTTGATGCCGATCATTTTCCCAAGGAAGAAGTTTAGCACTGGGTAATTTTTCCTGCTAAGTCTGAGAGTTCCTACGGGTCTGGCATAAATCCACCACCCTGGATGGACCAGTGACCTGATTTGGTATAAGCAGGGGCATATCTACTTTGAAACTTAATGAAGTTTAAGCTTCAGGGGCCCCCTAATCCTGGAGGGGCCCCATAAGCGACCTTATTCGTGCATGTATATAACATTTCCCTATTTTAACCCCCCCCCCACATAACTCAAAAACTATAAGGCATAGGAAATATTTATTCCCACCCATGATTTTGACATGTGAGATAAACCAGAACAGCAATTTTAATCAAAATCTGAGATGTAGTAGTTAAATAAATAACTACCGTATTTTTCGCCCTATAGGACACACTTTTCCCCCTCCAAAAATGAAGGGGAAATGTGTGTGCGTCCTATGGGGCGAATGCAGGCTTCAGGAAGCTATCCGCAAGCCTTCGGAGCACGGCGGGAGTGCCCGCTGTGCTCCGAAGGCTTGCGGATAGCAGCCTGCAGCCCAAAGCCCAGAGCGCTGCCTTCCCACTGTTCCCCGACCTGGTTTGGAGGCTGGCGGTGGGGGAAAGCAGCACTCCCCGCCCCCCCGCCAGCCCCAAAGAGCAGGTCGAAAGGAACCCAAAGCCTTCAGAGCCTTGCAGTGGGCTGCACATTTTGGGGGGTAGTTTAGCACGGGAGGAATTTGAGCTGGGCAGCAGTTACATTACTTATTCAAAGCGTTTTACCTAGAAATTGTTCCATATGCCTGCTATTGTCATTCCTGAGAGAACCAGTTAGGGAAACTTTGTGCACTCCTGTGAATACATGGTTGCTCTGAGGTGTTTGGGATAGCTGTTTCCTCACATGTAGAAGGCTTCGGGTGAACGCACCTTGAACGCACAGAATGCACCTTGTTTTAGAGGGGGAGAACAAGAAAAAAATTTTTTTTTCCTGTTCTCCCCCTCCTATGGTCTAGTGCATCCAATAGAGCGAAAAATACGGTAGTGATCTGTTGTGGAACAATACCATTGAAGGAGATAACAGTGGTTACCCAGACCTTATTACTGGTTGTGAAGCAGCCCCCAAAATGAAGGTCTGCCACATTTCCAGATTTCTATGTACCTATCTGATTATTACACCCTTTATTCAGCTCTATGAGGACTAGAAACATACTTTATTTTGAGGGGAAGGATCATACCTCAGCAGCAGAGCCCATGCTGGCCATGCCCCTGACTGAAACCCTTGAGAGCTGCTGCCAGTCAGTGTGGACAGTACTAAATTAAATAGACCAGTCTGACTTGGAATAAAGCAACTTCTTACATTCTTACTGATTTGGGACATGTAGCTAGACCTTATGCAGGTTTTGTAATAAAGGAGTCCCATTGGCAGAACAAGCCTGTATGCATGTTTATTCGGAAGGAAGTTTCATTCAGTTCCATGGGATTTGAGTAGGTAAATGTGCACAGGATCGCAACCGGAGTTCAATAGTAAGTGGGTGGAGGAGGGGAGCCTGGCTGTGCAACCCTGTGCGTGTGTTTGGTGATGTTTATTCTTTAGTAAGTGAGTACATAAGATTGGGGCCTCACTTTATTGCAGCGTGGAATTAGCATTTATTTAACCAGGAGATTAACAAGATACATTGCATCAGCGTTCCCCAACCTTCTCCAGGAAAAATCTGAGTGTGTTGTAGCTGCAGCAAGTGCCTAAGCACTTTGTTGCCTGAAGCAGAACCCAGATGCCCACCCCACTGGCTAGGGCTAAGACTTCACAAATTTTGCAGCGTCCAGGCACCCATTCCCATATTTTTCCATTCCTTCCTGGCTACCTCCTTTATGGGGCTGCCCAAAGCAAGGGCATCTCTGTTTGGCGCTTGTATTCCACATACAGTGGTACCTTGGGTTACAGACGCTTCAGGTTACAGACTTGGCTAACCCAGAAATAGTACCTCGGGTTAAGAACTTTGCTTCAGGATGAGAACAGAAATCGCACAGTGGCAGCGCGGCAGCAGCAGGAGGCCCCATTAGCTAAAGTGGTTAAGAACAGTTTCAGGTTATGAACGGACCTCTAGAACAATTAAGTTCTTAACCCGAGAGACCACTGTATTGGAGTGGGGTGGAAACTAAAGGCTGGAGGTTATAAGCATCGCCTAGAAACCATTACATATCACACCATTAGCAATAGCAGCCATCAAAGGAACATGCCAATATGCCAAGAACAATTCTGATGGAAAAGCATGGGTCACATTGGGCAGGCATACGTTGACCCAATACTGAGCCCTTGCCAGAAGTACCATTTTTTTCTGAATGACAAGCACTTGCCAAGATCTATCTATCTGTCCATCACCAGAAATTAATTTCACAAAGGGGTGGGGAACCCTGTCAAGCCCAAGGGCTGCATTCCTGCCTGGGCAACCTTCCAGGGACCACATGCCAGCGGTGGGTGGGGCCGGGGCAAAATGGGGCAGAGCCACCAATGCAACATTTCCCTCTGTACAGCAGGCTAGTTTCTATGCACAATCCTATGCCTTTCTTTGTCCTCCACCCAGGCAAG